GAATTTCGTGCTCGAAACTCCATAAAAATGATTGAATTTGTTGGATTTCAGGCGGCCAATCAGATGACTTCACTCAACGCCTTCTTAACTTTTCCTTATCATTCTTTGCCCTTTCAAGCTAAACTTATTCAATAATTAAGTCATCTTTTTCGATTCGTGAGTTGAGTACTCGGAAAAGTGATGCGATCCCGTGGGTAATTATAATTATACGTATACATCCATCCGCTTTTTCTTCCCCACTTTTTTTTGACCAATTATCGAATTCGTCCGGTCCTGAGTGGCCGCGTCGCGAATCGACCAATTGAAATAGATCGACTTGTAGGCTTGCTTTTTTTGATTTTATTTAAAAGCTTTTTGTGGATTTTAAGGGGCTGGTAAGCTTTTTGTAGAAATTTTGTCTTTTTATAGCAGCTTTGAAAAGAGTTTTTTTTTCGAGATTTACAGGTACATGAACATTTTTTTTCTTCAAAATCGAATCATAAATATTTTCCTTTCCATATTTTCAACATAAACTGACCGTTTGAATTTTTTTTTCAGTTTTTCCAAGATGAAAATGCGCTCCAATGATAATTCATCAAAAACCTTACATAAGCGAGCTTTCTTTCCGAAAAAAAAGCTCTTTCTGAAGAGGAAAGCGCGCTCCATTGATAAGTTATAATAAGAAATGAAAATTTGAAAAAAATATAAATTTTTTTCTTCTCCGTCCTCCACTGAAGGGAGGCAAAATTTTCCTCAGAAAAATCTCTGAGAAGACACTAGCTGGTCAACACATCTAATTAGATGTTTCATTCTTTCCCGTTCAATGTTTTTCAATTACCAAACCGTTTGTTCATTGACCAGGGATTCTTCTGAAAAAAAAAATAAGTCTGAAAGAACGACCGAAATGTTGCAGGATCTTTAGCATAGGTCATTTTCTCCAACGGATAATTATTCGAAAAAGATCATCGAGAAACAAACAAGAAAAGGTTGGAAATTGCTAGGTTGAGCAGATAATTTTTACTTGAAAGAATTATTTTTTTCTCTTGAAAAAGGAAACATGAATCAAATCTTTGCAACGTCGCCTTGCATTCATTACAAAAAAAAATCAATAATTCCATCTAACAAATCAAAAAAAAAGTTTCAAAAATTTTAATAAAAACCCGCTTTGGCCACTGGAGTGAGTTTCTTAAGAAAGAATATTATCATTGGAGCACATTATCCTCTCAAAACCAGCTCTTTTTCGGAAATTATTACGGCGAAAATAAGATTACCAATGAAGCATTTTGACAGGAGGTGTTTATTTTTTCTTTCCAGTCCTAGTAAAATATTTCTCTTTTTGCAAACTATTGATCGTTTTTTTTACGATCTTGAACTGTGCCTGCGACATGACAAATGAAACGGAGATCGAAAAATTACCCGAAATTGATTAGTTAGCAGTGGAGCACATTTTGACCGGAAATAATGGCTTCGAGAATGAACGAAGTTGAATTTATCAGACCAAAGGATTTTTTTCATTTCTAGCTCCCAACACCGATATGGTCATTTTTCTTTGAACATTTTTCCATTTTTTGAACTCTGCCTCTGACGTCGGCAAAAGGGGCGGAGCCTGAATAATTGCATTTTTGTGCCCCCCAAGTGACGACCTGGCGACCGCAAAAATTGTTGTACATCCGCCGTTATGTGATCTGTCTGTCAACGCCGTCGCCACACTGAATCTCGTCTCTCCCGATTCGTTCGATAATATAATCGTCGTCGTCGTCCCTTGAATTTCTCTGCCGATTGTCTTTCACTCTCTCTCTCCATGTTGTCAGTCTGCATGTAATCGACCCCTCCATCACCGTTCAGTCATTATCTTCTTCTCTTTTTTTGAGTTCTTAATTTGTTTCTAGAGTTTGGTCAGAGAAATGAGCTAATTTTCTTGATCGGGCCTTGTTAGCAAGAACAGGTCTCGAGTCGGAAAGTCGGGCATTTCTAGGGACTACTTTAGTAGCTCCAGCGCTCTTAAGTGGACCCTAGAAATGCTCAGAAACTTTCGGAGTCCATATGATTTTTTTTTTACCGAGATCCGAGTGATTGAACTGAATACTATATTATTTATCAATGGAGCGCATTTCAACCACATTCTTGGCTTTTTTAATTGACTTCCAACGAGCTGAGTGGCTTTATTGATAATTTGTTACAGTGCGCTCCAGTCATAATTACGACTTAACTTGAAATTTTTTTGAATTTTTTTCCCAAAAGAATTTAGCGAAAACAGATTATTTATCAGTGGAGCGCACTTGAACCATGTTAGTTTGTTTAATTAAGTTTAACGAAGCTTCTCTGCAGACTCAACCAAGCTTCTAATCGTTAAATTCTTCGAAAAAAAAGCTTCATTCAATTTATTAGTACAGAGCTGCTTTGAAAAGCTCCGCCAAATTTCTTGAACAAATTCAGTTCTTTTTTTAGTGACCTTTTAATCTTTGGTTACCGAAACTCACATTTTGTTGTCAAAAACTCTTTTTTACGGCCATTTAAACCCCCTTATTTGGCGCCGAATTTGGGCGCCGTTCTTTTTTTTTCCTGCCTTTGTTTTTTGTTCTCCTTGAGAAATCGTCATCGCATAGGTGTAAACTCCTTTTTTTTTCTGCCTCGTGAGTGGAAAACATTTTATCGATATTTTTTTTTGAATGACTCAATGGAGCCTAAAAAATTATTTTATTCTCCGCTAAATTTTTTTCCTGGTGAAGGAAAAACGAGTTAAAAATTTTTGGATGGAAAAAAATTTTCATTTTCGAGAAGGGTAATTTTTGGGAAATTCATGAGAAATCGAACAGTAAAAGGCGACTCATTTACGTGATTTTTTACTTTTTGTTTTTTGGAAACCTGAAGATTTGAGCTCTGATTACTGCAGAAAACGATAATAAGCAGTTTTATCAAAGATTTTGAAGTCTTCTTAGGTTCTGGAACCTTTTAAAATGCGACCAGATTTTTTAAAAGTTTTTTTACTCAATTTCGCCGTTATGAAACCCAATAATCTTTTCTCGGAATTTTCAAAAAAAAATTTTTTTAATTTTGATATCATCTTAGTTTTTTTTATTCAGCTAAAGATTCAAGAAATCAAGGTGATGAATTGAAAATTATAAAATTGAACTGTACTTGAACTTTTGTTTATTTCCGTGTTTTCCAACGTTAAAATTCCCTCTAATCCCCCTGAAATATCATTTTCATCCTCTTAACATTCAAAAGTTTCAAAATTCGGTAACTTTTTTTCAGTTGTTTTCTGTTTTTTGTTTCATTTTAAGTGGCGAAAACCAGCTGGGTACACTCTAATTTGTTAATTCCGTCAGTTTTTCTTCTTTTCGATTTTTCATGTTCAAGCTTCTGCAATATTTCGATGTTTATTTATTCAACGAGAAAAAGGAGCATGCGCCTTTTTTATCAATCTTTTGAGCAAACAAACAAGGTTTTATAATTTTCTTAGTTTTTTGAGGTTGAGATAGTTTGGATTTTGAGAGTTTTTTTTTTAATTTTCCATAGTTTTGTAAAATTTTTTCATTTATTCCTGCTTCAAGCCTGTTGGAAAATGATTTTCGAGTAGAATTTTTTCAATTATAATCCAATCTCAGCTTGTTTGAGGCCGCTAAATGACCAAAAACTGAAAATGACTCTTTTTTCATCAGACCTTTTTAAAATTTATAATGGATCCACAACGTTCAAGTGACTCCACGAAGTTCAAATTAACCGTCAGAGAGGAGGAAAAGATTACTAAATTTTGGAGAGTCAGACACGGCTATAAATTTTGCAAAAACACTGAACTTTAGAAAAACCTGCATGAATAATTTTTGAGTAGAACTTTCTCAATTTTGGAGAGTTTACAGCTTTAAATTTTGCATAAATACTCTGAAGTTTGCAAAAATATTTTCATCAGGCTCAGGTCTTTTAATGACTTTTCGTCTTGAGACCTCTACGAAATTTACGATGGACCTTCGAAGTTCAGGTTTTTTGAAATTTCTTCTTTTGTTTTTCTTTAATTTTTGCCTATATTTGCAGGTTCTTCAAGTAATGAGTCAACTATTAAAACTCGTTTTTCCTGCAACCAGAAGAATTTCAAAAACTGTACTTTTTTTTCCAGTGAAAAGCATTACCAGATAAGCCGATCACATCAGGTCAACACGAAAACAAACAACACACTTACTTGTGATGTTCTTATCTTATTTATAAAACCAACTTTCTTTTTTTCATGAAACCCGGAACTGTACAGTTCAAATGCAACATGTTGATCGGGAATGACGTACTGATTTTTGATTATTATCTCATTAAAACACGCCCAGTTTTGAAGAATCATTTTTGTTCGGACTCGATTTTTGAGATAATATTTATATTTTTCTGCTCCAAATTGCCAGCCCAAAGTGTTGTCACTTGCAGCTGGTTTTTTTTCCATTTTTTTCGCCTTCTGGTTGACTTTTTTCTTCGAATTCGGAATTAATAAGTAGATTCAGAGGAAATTAGACTTTCCTATAGTTTCAGGTATCAAAATTCGGTTTCGAAGGTTTCGAAGTTCGGAAATCTTTTTGAAAACATATTCTGAAATTGGATAGATTTCAATTTTTGATTATAAAAATCCGTTTGAAGCTGAAAAAAGGCTTCCAAACGGCTTCAAGTTTGTACAAATTTTGGCTGTCAATGATTTTTTTTCTATCTTGCAAACTATTTTAGAAACTTTTTGCAAGTTTCAAAAACTTGGCTTTTTCGGAAGAAAATTCAATTTAAAATGATCTTTTTCAAGTTTTGAATGTCACTTTCTATTGAATACTAATTATTTAGATGCATTCTTTCCACCTTCATTGACCTTAGTAGCTTCATTAGTCTTCTACTCAAAACTCGAAAAATTATGATAATTGTTTTCTACTTTTATTTTTCTCTCCTCTCTGATTTTTGAAAGTTTTCGAATTTTCTTTTTTCGTTTCTTCTCTTTTCGTTCGGTTGTGGTTCTTCGAAATGGCTCATGAATTGGGTTCAGATCAACTGGATTGGGTGAGATGCCAACCGCAGACGAGTTCGGCTGCACCGTCGCGGAGCTCCGCGCGCTCATGGAGTTGCGCGGCGCCGAAGCCCTCGAGAAGGTTTGTTTTTATCAGTTTTTGAAGATAAAGATGTGACTTTTTGAAGCTGATGACTATAAGTTTCAAGCCTTTTTTCCTGAACTGAGCAAAATTCTAGTTTAGAGATTGTACCTTTGCAGGCTGAGAAGTATGGGTTTTAGATCTAATTTTATCTTAAACTACGTAAACTTTTTTTTTTTTTTTGAAATATGACTTTTTTTAAGTTGCGGAATATGAGTTTTTAGACCCTATTTTGTCTTCAACCCGATGTTTGAAATTTCCTATCTCAAAAATTGAAACTTTTTAATTTTTATTGACTTTTAAAACTTCAATGAGTTTGCCTTGACTAGTTCTTTTCTTCAAATTTTTCAAGAAAATTCGCTGTAAAATCATCGAACGGATAATTTCGAAATAATTAAACCTTAAGCCTTGTAAACAGCAGTTTTTTTGATGGATCTGAAACTTTGAAAAAAATTCAAAAAAATTTACTCAATTTTATCCGTTTGTCTTAATAAGTTCCCACGTAAAAACTTGATTTAAATTTTAAAGACGGTTTTTAAAATTTTAAATCTTGAAAAAATTCTTCAACCACCTGTTTTTCTCAGTAAGGTTCTTGTAAAAGTTGAACCATTTTTTCAAAGTGTTCAGCCAAAAAAAAGAGATTTTTTTGAATTATCAATCACAGAAAATTTCCTTTCTCTTAGAAACTTGACTCACAGTTCAAAAATATCCGGAAAAGTTCCTGGATCATTACACCCGCGTTCTACCATCTTTCAGCATTTTTTTTTTTCCAAAACGAACTTTGAAGTCTATTTCCAATCAAAAAGACCTATAAAAGTGTTTTTGAGACCGTTTCCTTTGCAACAACCCCAGCGGCAATCTATCTTTTTGCGAAAGACCAAAAAAGAGAAGAAGGTCGAAAAAGAAGAAGATCTTTGGCGACAAAAAGTGACACTTTGTAGAATCGAATCTTGCGAATCGAATCAATCCAATTCCAATCAAATCGAATCGAATCGATAAGACTGATAGTTGATCAAAATGCACGCGAGAGTAACCTTGAAGGAACGGCGGAGACGAAAATTTGTGTTTTCTTCTCCTTCTCCTTCTTTTTGATTTGTGAGAAGAAGTGTACTGTTTAATGGGACTGGAGGAACTGATTGATTAGTTGACGAATTCGATTGGAATTTCTCCCCCCACAAAACGTCACCTTCTCTCTTGATATAAAAGTAATTTCTGTGGTCATTTGAACCGGGAACTGTTTTGGGAAGAAACTCAAAAATAAACCTTGAACTAAAAAAATGTTTTTAGAAGGAAGTTGAGATTCTGTACACACTTTTAAGAGCCCAACGTTTGGGACAACAATAATTGAACGAGTTTTTGAACTTTTTCCAGCTGAAAGTTTTTTTCACTGGGTTTTGAAGTTTCGTTTTCCGGAACTTCTGCGATGAAAGGAACTTAAAATTTCTAGGATGAAAGAAACTTGAAAATTCCAATCATACTAAAACTCATATCACTTAAAATTTGAATCGAAAACTTTACCAGCAAGAAAAAATTCGAACTTCTGACAGAAATTAGGAATCAAGGATTGGAATTTTTCGCCGAGTTGAGTTTACATTTGAAAGTTTTGAAACGGAGAAAAAAAACGACGCTAGAGACTGCAGTTTTATTATGATTAACGCGTTATTTCGAAAAGTTAAAAAATCACGTTTAATGGAAGATTTGGGTGAAAAAAACTTGAAATTCATCTTTTTTTCATGAGTGAATCAATGATTTTTAGAAGAAGAAGTATTGTAATATCAGATTTCAACAAGAAATTTCGAAAAAAATTTATGAAAAATCGGAACATAATTAATAGTCATCTGTATTCATAAGAATGAAAAAAAGTAATTCTCAAAAAAAGTTTTTTTGGCTTTGGCTTTGTTCTAGTGGCCTAAGGGACTGTTTGAGGGACATATTTTTTTAGAAAATTTTCTTTTTTTCTTTTTGCAAGGCTAGGGGGCGATGAATAACTGATTTCTCATCAGGTACAATCATCATACGGTGGCGTCGAAGGCCTGTGCTCAAAGCTCAAAACAGACCCTGTAAATGGCCTGCCCAATGACCACGACACACTGCACAAGCGTCAGGAGGTCATCTTTTTCCCTTGTTTTCATTCCCCGTTCTCTTTCTTCCTCCCTTTGTTTTTTGAATGAATGAGAAAAGTCGAATGGATTACAAACGGATTATTTGCAGGCGTTTGGCAAGAACGAAATCCCGCCGGCGCCCTCCAAATCGTTTTTCCGGTTAGCGTGGGAAGCGATACAGGTAAAAAACAACGGGGATTTTCTGAGTAAAAAAATGGTTTTTGATCTGGAAAAATCGATAAAATATACAAGTTTTAACGTTTTTTTGAGCTTGGAAGTGTGTAAAAAATTAGGGGACTCTTTTTTTATTCTGTTTTTTTCCCCTTAAAGGGCGTAATGTCAAGTTGAACTGTATGATTTTTTTTTCACCGATATTTTTTGTTGTACAGGTTGAAACAACAAGGAATTTCAGAAAAAGTTTTTTTTGACCTGGAAACTCGATAAAATGGACAAATTATAACGGTTTTTGAGCTCAGAAGTATGAAAAAATATAGGGGAATTTTTGATTTTATTTTCATTCCCTTGGGCGTAATTTTGTCAGGTTGAAGTGTATAATTTTTTTCTCAAACTTCGTTTTTTTCAATTATTTTGTAAATTATTTTTTTCTTTTCAGTCTGTAGTCAAGGTTTCCCCTTAAAAGATCAAAAATCATAAAAATCCTATTTCAAAAAAACATTAGAAAAAAACAATTTTTCAAACCTCAATCGATTTTCTTTTCAGGATATTACATTAATAATCTTATTGGTGGCGGCAGTCGTCTCACTCGGACTGTCGTTCTACAGACCCGAACACAATGCAGGTTTACTGTAGCTCAAAATGAGCTGTGCTCAATTTAAGTTTCTCAGGAAACGACTCGTCGGAACAGGAGGCGGGTTGGATTGAAGGCGTCGCGATTCTGGTCGCAGTCATCGTCGTCGTGATGGTGACGGCCCTCAACGACTGGACCAAGGAGAAGCAGTTCAGAGGTGCCTTGGGAGGGGGAAAAGGGAGAATCTCTTCGCCGGAGTAAAGGAGCGTGTTTCAAAAAGCGAAATTTTGTTCTTTGATGCGTCTGTTGCTCTGAAGTGGTTTTGAAATGATTTTTTGCTTTCAGAGCAACTTTTCTTTCCTAATAACTCCTTCAAATCTAATATGGGCGCTCAAAAAGTGTAAACTATGATAAACTTCTTTGGAGAGTTTTCAAATTTTTGTCTTTCTTGTGTGTTCTAGTCACCAAGAATCGTCATGATATGAAGTTACAATTTATTTGAAAAAAAATTTAGAAGTCTAAAAAATTGAAGAAAATATCTAAGAAAAGTAACTCGTTTTGGCCGAAAGTCTAAAATTGTTGGAATAGAAAAATCAGAAATAAGAATTAAAGGAAATTTTAAAAGTTATTCAGAAAAACTTGATGACGAAAACTCAGAAAAAAAACATTTTCTGCTTTTTTTTTGTGCTCCAGCCTCCAAGAATCGTCATTAACAGGATCTGGAAACATTATCAAAAAAAAAAAAAACAGCATAGATGTTTGAGCAAACATATAGAAAATTCCCAACCACTCTCAAACGTATTGTTAATGACCAAAAAAAATCGTTAAACTCTGAAAAAGTGAAACTGAAACGTATCTTCTACAGGACTGCAATCGAAAATCGAAACGGAGCACAAATTCTCCGTTATCCGAGGCGGCGAGGCGATCGATATCATTGTGAATGAATTGGTCGTCGGAGACGTCGCCCGTGTGAAATACGGTAATTTTTGGGGGTACAGTAACCAATGATACTGTAGCGAAACTGGAAATTTTGAGTAGTCTTTTTCTCTGTAAATTTTTATTTTTTGTTACGATCATTTTTTTTTGGTGGATTTTATGTAGCCGATGAATATGGTCATGATTTAGAGGGTAAATAACGAATACGGTTAAAAAAATATTAACTTTTATGGAAGTTTATTTCATACTTTTTGGTCGCCATATGTGGCATTTTCTGGACGATTTTGGGTAACTGGAAAATTTTGGTGTGATTTTAGATTTTTTCCATGATTTTCTTTCGTCTGGTGCGAATTTTTCTAGAGTATTTTGAGTATCTTAGCGAACGGATACGGTAGATAATTCTGAAAAACATTAGAAAAATTATTTTTTTATGCTTCTCATCTGCGAAGACAGTAATTTTCGAAATTACAGTTAGAGAGTAATACTGTATCGGGGCTAGAAGTTTGTGCCTTTACTGTAAGTTCTATCCTGAATTTTGGGGGTTTTCAGAGAGTCTGTTCAAAATACAGTAGACTAGGGATACTGTAAAAAAGTTGACATTTTTCGTTGATACTAGGCTTTCGTTTCGAATAGCTTCGAAATTGATGAATAAAATGATTTTAGAAGGGTAGCGAATTTTTTTCAAAATATGTTTTCAAGGTGACCTCCTGCCGGCTGACGGTATTTTAATACAGTCAAACGACTTGAAAATCGATGAATCCTCGTTGACCGGAGAGTCGGATCTGATCCGGAAAGCCGTCGATCATGACCCCGTACTCCTTTCCGGAACGCATGCTATGGAAGGATCTGGAAGGTTGGTTTTTTTGGCCTTTTTGAGGATTATAGTTGTTTTTTCTTTTGAAAATCTGATTCAAGTTGTAATTTTTTAACCTGGAATCGACTCAGAAAGTCGTAGTCCTGAAAAAAGACTCATTTTTTTACGATCTTTTAAATTGAAGTATTTTTTTAAAAAGCGATTCAAAAATATATGTTATTTTACCGTTTCAAAATGAGGTAAAAAAATGGAAAGTCGTCCATAAGAGTTCCCATTTTAACTTCAATTTTTTTCGAGTCGGTAAAGCATTTTTTTCTCAAAAAAGCAACCCAAAAAAATGAAAGAAAAAAATTCTTATATTTATTTTTGAAAAGCTTTAATAGTTCAAAACCCTTGAATGTTTTTGAATTTCCCCAACGAGTTTATCCAAAAAATCGATTTTTTCCAGATTTATCGTGACGGCGGTCGGCCTGAACAGCCAGACGGGTATCATCATGAGTTTGTTGGGCGCCGCGAAAGAAAAGAAGGACGAAAAAGCCGAAAACGGGACCCTCAATTGTAAATTCGAAACATGTTCCGATATACAAACGAAATTCATTTTCCAGCCTCACAATTGACATCTGTCGGCAACGGATTGCCCAACGGAGACTCGAAAAAAGTCGAGAACGCCATGCCCGTCGATGAAGATGGTACTTTCGACGAAGAAATGCTCTAGTATTTTGATATTTTCAGCCGGAAAAGTCACGAAATCCGTTCTGCAAGCCAAATTGTCCAACTTGGCCCTGCAAATCGGTTACATCGGATCGATCGTCGCCGGATTGACCGTCTTGATTTTGATAATCCGTCATTGTATCACCCATTATGCGATCAATGGAGAGAGCTTCCAGGTCGAGGATTTTCAAAAAATAAAAAAACACTATTGCTCGATCTTTTAAAAAAAAACCTTAAAAGACCGCTCCTAGTTTTTATTTCAATGAATAAGGCCGAAAGAAAATCATAGTCTTGATAAGCTGAAGATTTTCCCACCTTCTTAAAAACGTTTAGAGGGGCTACGGTAGTTCTTTTTACAGTCTTCAAAAGACCTCGTAAAATTTACCCCCAATGACTACAACAAGGATCAAATAAATAAAATACTAGAACTTATGTTTTGATAAAATTTAAAAATTCGAAACCCACTTTTTCTTTATTCCAACATTTTTCCAGGCCAGCGACGTCGCCTACTTTGTCAATTTCATCATCATCGGTGTGACCGTTTTGGTCATTGCTGTGCCCGAAGGACTCCCGTTGGCCATCACCTTGGCTTTGACTTATTCCGTCAAAAAGGTAATTAGAAACTCTAGGGAAAAAAATCTGTAATATCAAGAGAGAATAGCTGATTAATCAATAAATCACTTTTATTTCCATTCAAAAGAAGTATTCTGTTATTGAAGGAAAGAGGTACATTCTTGTTTTTTAGCGAAGAAGGAAGACATGAAAAAAGATAATTGATGAACTTTTTGTCACAATTTCGATGAACTTGAACATTTTGAAGATGATGAAAGACAACAACTTGGTCCGACACTTGGACGCCTGCGAAACCATGGGAAATGCGACGTCGATCTGCTCGGACAAAACCGGAACCTTGACCACCAACCGGATGACCTGCGTCCAGCAATACATCAACAGTCCGTCCCTCAAAAGTTTTCGAAATTTAAAGACGTTCTCCAGAGCAATTCTACAAGGGCGAAGTGCCGAAATTCGAGTCGATCGATAAAAGAACCGCCGATTTGCTCATCACCGGAATCTCCATCAACAGCGGATACAATTCGGCGGTTCTGCCACCAAAAAATCCTGGAGAGCAGCGGCAACAGGTAGAGTAATGAAGGAAGAGTAAAGAAAATGTGACTTTTATTTAAAAATCAGTGGGATTGGTCTACAAAAACTGAGCTTGAATTGTGTTTTTCAGAGGATATTTGAAAGTAAAGAGTATTTTCAATCGAAAAAAAAAAACAAAAATCCAATTTCGAAGTTTTGAAACTCAGATGTTTTGATCTTTCGAAAGAGATACGTTACGACTCAATTTGTGTTGAGTATACTCCAAAAAGGCTTCAAAATAAGAATTTTTGTGCACCAGTTGTAATAATTTTTCTGACGAAAATTGAACTTCTCTAGGTCGGAAACAAGACCGAATGTGGACTTCTCGGCTTCGTACTCGACACTGGCAAGAATTATGAAGATATCCGGCGGCAATATCCCGAAGAGAAGCTTTACAAGGTGACAAAAAATACTTTGGGAAAGTATTAGATCAAAAAAAATGATGAGTAATGAATAAAAGTAGTCGTTGATCTTCAGGTTTTTTACTTGATTTTTGCTTGGTAAAAAACCCTGAAATTCTGCAGGTCTACACGTTCAACTCGTCGCGAAAATCCATGATGACCGTGATCGAACTGCCCGGCGGCGGATTCCGGATCTACGCCAAGGGAGCCTCGGAAATCATCCTGGGACGGTGCTCCTACATCCTGACCCGAAACGGAGCTCTCGAGTCGTTTGGCGCCAACGAGTTCACGGATCTGACTCAAACCGTCATCGAGCCAATGGCCTCGGACGGCCTCAGAACCATCGGATTGGCCTACAAAGACATGGTGCCGGCTGGACAAAAGAAGGAGGATAACGAGGTTAGAAATTGGGTCTGAGAGTAGAAAAAGCTCCAGAGGATGGTTATAAGTAGATTAATGTAGAGCAGGTAGGGAGATTTAGACGTAAAGATTGTGACAATAGCCCCTCGAAAAAAAAAGGAAGCTTCAGAGAATAGTTATCAGTAGGTCAAGGTAGAACAGGTTGAGAAATTTGACAGAAACAAAGGGAAAATTGAGCCTTTGAGCTCTGAAATTATAGTATCGCAGTTGCGAACATGCGTGCTGGAGAAAAACTGAATATTTCATTTTTCTTTCACTTTTTTTTTTACTTCAATTCGTTTTCACTTTTTCAACAGAATGGGGCTTTGCAAAAAACGCTTCAAGTTACGAAATCAACAGAGTTATCAATGGAGCAACTATAACTTGTAAAAAAGAGCTTTTCTCCAAGTTTGCATCCTTGGAAATTTGAACTTGGAAAATAAATTTGACAACATTTTCAGATCGAGTACACTGGAGAAATCGACTGGGAGGACGAGGAGACCATCCGAAACGGCATGACTTTGATCGCGATCATGGGAATCCAGGATCCCGTCCGACCCGAAGTCCCAGCTGCCATTGAAAAATGCCAAAGGGCCGGAATCACCGTGAGAATGGTCACTGGAGACAACATCAACACGGCTCGCTCCATCGCCACTTCCTGCGGAATCCTCAAGCCTGGAGCTGATTTCTTGGCTCTCGAGGGCAAGGATTTCAATGCCAGGTAAGGGAATTGTCAGTGGCGCGTGCTTGGCTTTGAAAAGAGAGCCTCGGCTTTTTTTTAACAGCTTTTGGGGCCAAAATGGCAAGATTATCCATGGCGCACGACTGCTTTGAAAAAAGAGCCGTTTTCAAACATTTCGATTGGGGAGATTAACGAAAAGCTCAGAGTAATGAATATTTTGAAAAATTATATAGTTAGGTGAACTGAAAAGAACTTTTAGAGAAAATGAAGCGAATTTGACTTTCAAAAAAAAAAGTACTGCAGAGGTTTTTATGACCTTTTTCTCTAGAATCCGCGACGCCGACGGTAAAGTCAACCAGGCCAAGCTGGACCAGATCTGGCCCAAGCTTCGAGTTTTGGCCCGAGCTCAACCTTCTGACAAATACGTCCTCGTCAAGGGTATCATCGACAGCAAGAACACCAAGAATCGGTGAGGAAAAGGGCAAAAAACATTTTGTTGAATTTTTAAGATCTTTCGTGAAAAAAAAAATTATTTGTTTAAAAATACTCCCAGCTCAGAAATTTCGACATTATCAAAAGGCGAATTCGCTCGAAAAGTTTTTTGTTTTCATCATTTTCACCCATTTTCAGCGAAGTAGTCGCTGTAACTGGTGACGGAACCAACGATGCTCCGGCCCTCAAAAAAGCTGATGTCGGATTTGCAATGGTTTTGCTATTTTTATGATCGGAGGATGCTTCATTCTGAAAACTTCCAGGGTATTGCGGGTACGGACGTTGCCAAGGAAGCCTCCGACATTATTCTCACTGATGACAACTTCACTTCGATCGTTAAGGTATGATATATGCTGATCAGGGCTGGCTTGAGGGACGTGGCACTGTCTGCGCTCTCCACCAACCTAACAAAATATAGTTTTCTAAAAATTGTGTCAGGACCCTTTTTGGATGGTTTCAGGCAGCCGTGGGCTATGAGACAATGAAAAAATGGAACATGATCCTTTCGACTTTCAGGCAGTAATGTGGGGCCGAAACGTCTACGATTCAATCGCCAAGTTCCTGCAGTTCCAACTGACGGTCAACGTCGTCGCAGTGACGATTGCGTTCATCGGAGCCTGCGCCATCAGTGACTCGCCTCTCAAGGTTGAAAAGAGTCTGAAAATATGGCTCAAAGCTTTTTTGGGTTTTTCTTGAGGCTTTTTTTGTAGTTTTCTTTGTCAAAATTGACACTGGAATCTCTTTTTCATTAATTATATATGAAAAAAAGCCTTTTGATCGAAAAAAAGAATGAAAGACGCACCTGAACATTCCTCAGTAAGTCAGGTACCATATGAAAAGATTAGGCGGATTTTTAAGCAGAATAATTGGAAAAATTTTTTCTTTTAGACATTCACTTGTATTGTCAAAGTTCAAAAGCTCTTCCAAGTTATATTCTTTTTCATCTTCCGCACTTCCAGGCCGTCCAAATGCTCTGGGTGAACTTGATCATGGACACGCTCGCCTCACTCGCTCTGGCCACTGAAATGCCGACTGAAGAACTTCTCGAAAGGTTTTTTCAGCTTTTAGGAAATCTCATCTTTATTTTATTTCCAGAAAACCATATGGTCGCACGAAATCCCTGATCTCAAGAACAATGGTCAAAAATATCGTCGGCCATGCGATTTACCAGCTTTTCATCCTGTTCGGCATCATGTTCTGGGGTGAACTTTTAAAATAATCATACTTTTCTGCGAATTTTTTTCAATGCCTGAAGAATCATAGTCGCGCGGATGAAGGCTAATAGCGTTTCCTGATGGCTTCTGATGCCTAGGAGCGCAAGTCGTTTTGAGTCGGATGCATCTTAAACTGAGATTCCAAATAGACGCATAAGCTTCAATTGAAAAATGTTGTTAGAATGAAGATTTTCGAAAACGAATTCAAAAAAAAATGCTAAAAATTGACATTTTATGGTCGCATTTGGAATGGCTCAAAGCTTTTGAAAAGAAGCTTGATCTAGAGCATGAGTCGCTTTGAGTCGGCTGCACCTTGAACCGATTTTTTTCAACACTATCAAATTTCCAATCGAGGGAACTAGAACTTTAAAGCAAAAGGCTTTTTTTTTAGAAAAAAAATTATCCAAAAAAACTTGTGTAGAATTGAATTGTTATTAGGCGACAAGATCATCCCGAACACGCCGAGCGGAAGAAACGCGCCACTTGGCTCCCCGCCAAGCAAGCACTTCACCATCATCTTCAACGCGTTCGTCCTCATGACTCTGGTCAATGAGATCAACGCCAGGAAGATCCACGGCGAGAGGAACATTTTCAAGGTGAGTTTTTCGGAAACTAAGTGTTGAGTTTGATTTTTGAACTGAAAATTCATAGATTTTGTAAAGTTCATAGAAAATTCATCATCTGTTGATTAGTCAGACTGGACAGGCTTTTTTGAATTTCTTTTTACTTCCAGGAAAATTTAAATTTTTTACAGGGAATCTTCACGAACCCAATCTTCTGCGTCATTTGGGTCACTACTTTAATTTCACAGGTAATCTTGCCTCATAATGTGTAAGATTAAACTAAAAACACATCTCAGTAAACATTGAAATTTGACAAAGACAGATATTTTCAAAGTTGTTACATTTTTTCACTCTACTAATTCAAAAAAGCGAAAAAAAAGGTCAACACTGGATTAAAGTTCGAGGATAATTTGATTCGTTTGATTGAAAGGAATGAAAGCAAAAGTTAATGGATATTTAGTTTCTATATTTGATTAACTGGTTGAACTCTAGGAGCTAACAGTACTTTTTCTTCTCTACGAATTCAGCAAGTTTTGAGATTTTTCAAATAAACATTCATTTCCAGGTCCTTATTGTTCAATTTGGTGGCCATTGGTTCAGCACGTCGCCATTGGATCTGACCCAATGGTTGATTTGTATTGGCTGTGGCCTTGGAGAGCTCATTTGGGGACAGGTAACAGATTTTTCCTTTTAAAGCTTATTTTCAGGTGTAATATTATCTATAATATTTCTCTACTCAGATTTTTCATCTTCCTCTTTTTCAGGAATTCCCTATTATTTTTTTTTCGTACCCTGACTCAGCATTAAACAAATATAGCATGTTCCTGTTTGAATTGCATTTTTATCTTCATTTGTAGAAAAAAAATTTTGAGTAGTAGGTTTTTTTCGTTTGATGGATTTGGTTGGAGGATATAAGAGAGAAGACAGAGAAAGTTTAAAGTGATTAGACGCTAGAGAGAGAAAGATTACTCTGTTTCCTCTGATCTCTCTCAAGTCTCGTGTCTAACCGCCAGATCCATCACGGTAATGAGTAGAAGCTCGAGCACATCTGTTCCCCCACTAACACAAAATTAGTCCTTTCACCGATATCTTGACGCAAGTGCGCTCCAGCGAACATTTTTTGATTTTTTTTTTTGCATAATTAGACATTGAAGAGCCAGAAAAGCGAGAGAATAGTAATTGCATGATGAGACACCAGAAAAAAAGAGACATTCTGGCTTTTCTGTCGTCTCTTTCAGCTATCGCTACTCTCGCTTCTTAGCCTTCTGTTCAGAATTTGTAAAAGCAAATGTTTTTCAAAACTAGAGATCCTTGTTTTTCAGAGCGCACTTGCAGAGCTCGAAAACCTAGTTTTTGAATGAAGCAAACACCTTAGAATCACAGGAGCACCTAGTTTTGCAGGTGATCACCTCGATCCCATCCACCATCCTGCCAAAGTCGTTCCGATTCGGCAAGGGCGACGTCCAGCCGACCTCGATCATGTTGAGCGGCGAGTACGACGTCCCGAGTACGGCCTCGGTCGTGCCCGCCAAGCTCGACGGCAGCGTCAGCGGCGAGAAACGGCCCGGCCAAGTCCTCTGGCTCCTCGGATTGACCCGACTTCAGACCCAGGTATTCTTAGATGAAGATGTAGAGATTTGAGTTGCGGCGGTTTGGATCTGTTTCGTAGAGCCAGTCGCAGAAGACAATGAGAGATCACTGGAAATTTGGAGACCTACAGACGATTTCGAGAGATGTTAGAGAGTGTTCAAAGTTAGTAGGAGCAGATACATCATAGATTAGATAACATAGAGAATTATAAGAAGACGTTCATTTGAAGATATTCAGACAGAAAGCATTTCTCTAAAAATCAGTGACTATGGGAAGCGTGTAAAAAAAAAGAAAAACGCGTCATGATGTCTCTAACTTTCCAGTGTTCTCTCTACAATCTCTGCGATTCTGGACCCGATTTCTAGAATTATGATTTATCGATAGACTGAATGATTCCTTGAATGGTTTCCCCTTAGTTGGATTTCAAGGAAAAAATTATTGTGAGTAGTTTTCTCATATTTTTTAGTCACAAAAATTTTTCTATGAACTTTTTTGATTTTTTGTGATCCTAAAAAAACTATAACTAAAAAAAAGATGATAATTTTTTTTACTCCCTCCTTTTTGTCAATGTGTGAGTGTGCGTGTTTATGTGTTCTACTTCGTCAATCGGAAGACAAAAAATAGAAGAAAAAAAATTCCAACAGCACACAACATATGAAACGCACCACGCTCACAGCTTTATTCATTAATCAAATCCTACAATTTTAATGATGATAGTGATAATTTTCTACATCTGGAAATGTTCATTGATTCATATAGAGCAGCTTTCGCACAATTTGGTCAATATCTAGGTTTAGTTCACTCATGGGCAGCTTTGACTACTCCGCTAGTTACAGTAAACCTTTTCGCTTCGAAACAGATTTTTAACTTTTTTTGAAAACCGCCAAAAATGAATTTTATGTGTCTCGAAGCGAAAATGTACTGTAGCCGAGAGGCGTGGCTAAACGAAGACCTGAATGAACTACTCATTAAGCTTTTCGCAATTTTTTATTTTCTTCGATATTGTTTTGGAGTTGGCGCGTTTTGTGTGTTGTGTGTGAGTCAAGTGGCAGACGGATTAGATCACAATTTTTTCTGTTTCAATACCAGCCGCGACGCGACACGCGTCGCGGCTCGGAATGGATCGGAAACAAAGAAACACGTCCTCAAGGGGATACAGTTCAATTGAGCACTGAAAGTTCATAAATTTTGGATGCGAACTTTTTTGAAATTCCAAGGGAAACCAAGTTTGAAGCCCTGGATCAAGGTGCGGTTTTCAGATTTAGATTTTAGATTTGTGCTCCTTTGAGAGTTTATCTCAACCTAGTTGCTAGTTTAAAAATTTTTTCCGGAGGCTGAGAATTCCATGGAAAGGTACAGAAAATTGAACTTCTTGACCTTCTTTAGAAAATAACTAGATTTTTTCGATACTAATATAAAAATTAGTTTTCTGATTGAACTGTATGAGTACACTCACACGCTGATAAAAAATTAATGAGACATCAGAGAGAAATTTTGAAATCGTTAAGTGAGCACTAAAGTGACTCTTGAAGGTTTCTCGAGATGTCACTCAAGACTTCAACGGTTTTTAGCTCTTCATTAAAAAGCCATTTAGTGATCACTTAAAAGTGTTAACGCCACCGGAAGGAGAATTTTAAGACCTCTCTAGTGCTCACTTAAGACTAGAAAAGTCCCTCTGATGTCTCTAGAAGTCAAATTTAAAGCACGCCGCCTTATTTGGAAGTTTGTGGTAGTGAACGGCCGCTGAGTTGCTGTTGCAGATCCGGGTTGTCAAGGCGTTCCAGTCGGTCAACGACGATTCGCATCCGAACTCGCTGACGACGTCGACCGCCGACCGCCTCCGGGCCTCCTACCGTCGCCTCAAAATCGCCCGCGAACTCGAACAACAGAAAAGTTCGTCGGGGCTCTCATCTGCATCGCATGACGTCACCAAGCGTCGGCCTGTCGCTGGGGCAAACGCGCGCCACGGCGACAGACCGTCGCCACCAAAATGATGAATTTACTTTCTCGTCACTTGTTGCAGGATCTTCGCGCGTCCTTTTCATTAGGCATTTGAATTTTGATCAACGGCCCGTGTTTGTATAGTTTATGCGTATTTATATCCCTAAAAAACGACCAAACTTGGTTGGTTTACTGTATTGAAGAGGGGGAAGTGGGATGATCTGGAGGGTCTTAAAAGTTCTCTAGGATTTTGTAGTCTTTAAATGCCTGAAAAGAATCTACTATACTGAGTACTGTAGCTACGATACACTGTAATATCCCTTAATAGTTTACTGTAGAGGTTATTTCTTTGATTATAACGAAAAATCTTCTCCTCAAGCTCATTCTACTTTTTTGGAAAAGATACTGTACCAATGAGATTTTCCAGCTGCCTGAAGATCATTCCGCACCTCCCGACCCCAAAAACTTCCCATAAAACTGATTTTTCTAGGTTTTATTATTCAAGTTCTCTATTCGAAATCTCGCTTCTTCGTTTCCTGCACAGCCACGAGCACCATCATATATATTTCAAAAAAATATAATTATATATATTCCAAACGTCCGGTGCTGTAAATACCTTGTAAATACAGTTCAGAGGGACCAAAAAAACAGAAAAAATCTACTTCTCTATTTCTATACATACTTGATTTTCCATTTTGTTCTGTCATATCCTATTGGGCAACTGAATATTTATATTATTTCCTCTCAAACCAACGAGAACAAAACATGAAGCAGAAGGTAATTTGGTGCTTTTCTATCGATAATTTCCCGTTCTTTCCTTCTTTTTAACTACTAGTCATTTCCACAATTAACACCTCTGTCCCGCATTCAAATTGGAAGCAGAAAAACCCTTAGAAATATAGCGCTTATTCGGTAAAACAAAGGTGAAGAGAAGCTGTAGTTCATTAACTTTCGGCGTGTTCATTGATTAAATAAAAAAAACATCACTTGGGAAGAACTTTGCGAGAAAATAAAAATGATATAGAAAATTTTGCGCGTAAGATTGGTGCATTTTATGGCAATGGTGTTTACACAAAACATCACATCTTACGCGCAAAACACCTTTTTTCAACAATTTTCTCGATGAACACGGCTATTTGTTTTCTTATTTTCCCCAACTGCTAATAAATGATAAAATATCCTTTAAATCAACCGGAAGCATGCGGTAAACTTGTTCCAGGGACTGGTGGCCTACGAGCCGGTGGACAGGTACATAGTGAGGAATCAGCGAAGGATCCAGCCGGAATGAAGTTCGTCTGAGTCGGATTTCTAAGCCTAACATCCTCATCTTCACTACGGGACCCGAAAAACTACCGTAACCCTTTTTTCTATGGTTTCGGTGTGCGTGTTTCTGTGTGCTTGTGATGTCCCTCCCTGTCCAACTTACCCAAGTTAGAGCATAATTTAGTGATTAGTTGGAAAATCCAAAGCCAGAAAGTGCCTGATTCTTTTTAACAATGTTTTTTGTTTATTTTCTCATCCTGTCTAGTTTTTTTTCCTTCGATTTTTGGTTGCTCAGAGATTTTTCCGGGAAGAAATTGAGATAACCGCTGATTCATACCATTTGTTCAGTTCTTATTAATTCGGTCTTTCTCCAGACAAATCCCAAAATTTGTTTCCACTTTGCCATTTTCCGCTTACCCACACGCCTTATAATATCGCTTCTCCCTCTTTTTCCAAAAAACCCAGAATCTTCAAAATTTCACAGATTCGCCCCCCAACCAAAACCTTAATATCGTAATAGGTGCTAGAAAGTAGATTTTGGTCTACTTCAACTGTTTTTTTTCCTCTTTTGGATCGTTAGTGCTTCTTTTCTTACGCGTGTCATTCTCACCAAAGTGCTAGATTGCCCATGTTTCTTTTTTTCCTATTTTGACATTTTTGCCTTTGTTACATCTTTTATTTAAAATTATATATAAATATATATATATATATATATATAAATGTGCTACGCCCAGACTTCTATTTGAACTTTCATATTTCGTGAGAAACAGCTTGCCCATTTCAGAAATGTTGTTTTTGATGAAAGACTTTTTTTTTCAATTTTTGTTATTTTTCTAACAGCTCACATCCTCCCGTGAATTAGAAACAATGAATACGTCTGTAGCATCATCAATATTGCCTTTTTCTACTTTTTTTTGTCCGTGTGCGTCTTTTTTTTTCTTTTTTTTTCAGATCGAAAAGCTCGAAAGAAAATAAATCTTAGAAAATCTTCCGCAAAGTTATTTTTCAAAGAAAGGCGTGAATGATCGCGATATTGCAACAAAAAAGACAGAAGGACATATAAAAGTCTCAAGAAAGTGAAACCGGTCAAAAAAAGTATATACTGTTCAGATTTGAAAGTCAAATCATCGTTCAAACTCCGCCCCTTATGCGTAGATCAAACCAATCAGAGAGCGAGCCATCCATGGAGCGTATTTGGTGGCGAATTTTGCTTTTAACATTCAAAATCTGAACAGAATATAGCACTCCGGGAATGTTCGGAATTGGAAAAAAAAAAGTTGATCATGCTATTTTGCGTCGAGGATGCATGCACCAGAGTTTTAATTGACGACTTTTAAGGAAGAAAAAAAAATTTTTTTTTTAATTTTCGTTTAAAGATTTTTAACAGCGGTTCATGGCTCAACACATAGTTTAGGTTAATCATATTTTTTCCTGCGTGATCGAAAACTGAAAATTCCGCCAAAAGTTGTGGTCCACGCTAATTTTATAAATTTAAAGGAATAACAGTTTTTTGCGTCACTGTCGTATTTTTTGAAAGGATTTCAAAAATCAAAATATGATTTTGGAAGACAAAAAAATTCAATAAATTGAATTTTAGAATGAAGAGTGAAGAGCAAACTCGCTGTAACTAACTATAACTTTTTTAGGTGAGACGAAATTATCCTCGTCGAAAAACACTCTAAAAATTATTGTTCGCTTGTTGAAAGTTGTTTCGAGGCCCTCAACAGCTGTCATTTTTTCCATTGTGATCTGGCCGAAATCGATAATGAGTTCCAATATCGCCAATGCTGATACTCCAGCTGTTCTTCTTCATTTTTGTCACCTTATTAAATAACTATTACTCAGTTTCCGCAGACTGTTATGTGAAATTGACTTCTCCACAACTGAGTCCAAACCAGGTACCTCCTATTTTATTTATTTTTAATTTTTAAAAATGCTTTTTTTCAACTAAATGATTGTTCAGTACAATGGTTCATGGTTCGTGATCGCCAGGAAAGCTCCGAAAAGTCGTTCTTTTCTCCCGAAAAATGTCCAATCGAGCACATTTAACCTGCTTATCCAGGCTGATCAAACCAGCCTATCTTTTCTTGAATACCACAAAATGTAAGATTTTCAAAAAAGTCTCTATTTTCCGTTTCTTTTCCAGCAACGGATCATGCGCGCCGCCGTTAAAAGGCAATTTGACGAGGTACAAAGAGGGTTATATGATTTCCGTCGAAAACAACAATGACCACATGGACAGGAGTGATTTTGAAATAGAAAAGTGGATTTTTGAAGATGTTTGGTTTCAGTTTACGTCCGGCCCATATATCACGGCTATTCCGGCGAACAAAACGAGGAAATGAACATCGTTCTCTATGGATGTGTCCATGAGAACTGGGACGGTAGAATGAAAAGAAAAATGAATCAATTTTCTAGTTGGTTAGGTGGATGTCCGGTCGGAGAAGAATGGGTGGTCATTATGAGCAATTCGAGGCATCCTCAGACCTTGCAGGTATTCTCCTTCTGTTGCTTTTTGAAAGTTGCTCTTGAAGGGAGAGCAAAATGAAAGGTGTCTTGATAGATTTTAAGGGTTGCAGAGCTTGTAAGCTTCATTTATGGGCAAGATAAAGAGATGATGCAAGAGCGAGCTTTCCATTTGCGAGGAGTACTGTATGCGGATTTGCGCATTGCGTGCATACACTGTGCGAGTTTACATTTTCGTTGCGTGACGTCACTGGGTCGTACACTAAGAATAACTGCCGAGATAAACGCGAGACACTGGCGGTAGATTGACGAGCTCGCAAACATCTCGCTTTTTTTCTCGCGCCGGTCTCGCATTTTTCTGGGCGCGAGCTCGCATTTTTCTAGGCGCGAGCTCGCATTTCTCTTGCAATTTGAAAATTTCCGAAGTGCGAGATAAATGCGAGATGGCGCCAAGAAATATGCGAGGTCGCGCCGAGAGAAATGCGAGATCGCGCCTCGAAAAAAGCGAGATGTTTGCGAGCTCGTCAGTGTACCGCCACCGACCTCGCGTTTATCTCGTCAGTTATTCTTAGTGTACATCTCCGGGGTTTCTTTTTCACATTATTTTGATTTTGTTTTTTATCGTGCAAATATCATCGAGAAAAATTCAAATCTTGGAAAAAAGCAAAAATATTTGAAAAAAAAACTAGGAAACTAAAAACCCGGAGATGTGCGACTCGGTGACGTCACGCAACGAAAGTGTATGCACGCAATGTGCATATCCACATACAGTACTCTCCGCAAATGGAAAACTCGTTCGATGTCGTAGCACCAAAGAGATATGAGCTGGAAAAGGGCGGGCTGGTTATTTCGAGAATCTGATTATACTCTCCGAAACTTTTGGCTCAGGCTGTGTAGTTTGTTCCTAAGCTTCCGCCCTCATGAATTTCGCCATCAAAGCGGAAAGTTGTGAACCCAGTTTTGGCTTCAAAGTTGCATTTATTGAGCCTCAGACCATTCAAAAGTGCCACTAAAAATGTGAAACTCGGTAAAAATGTTTTCAATGAAGTCAAAAAGATTTCGTAAATTTCATCTAGCGCACCAGTAAAGAGAGATAAAAAGTGAAGAGAAAAAAGAAAAAAAATTTCAAAGTAGAAAACATATTTTCAGCTCTTTAAATCGGCGATGCTGATCGAAGAAGAAGCTTGTATCGACATTCTGCACTTCCAAGCCCTAGACACATACAGTAAGAATATTGAGCGAACCGATAAGAACTGATCGATTGAAGCGGATTGCGGCGATGAAGTCGTCGACGAAGATCAGAAGCTTCGTCACGCACAAATCGACGAGAACAACGAGTTTGTCGACGTCGAATGCCGAGTGGAGAATATCCAGCCCAAGCCGAACAACATCTCCAAGTTTTTTGTGAGTGTAGGAGACTAGGTTTTCAGATTTTTGAGGGGCAACATTTTAATATTTTTAAGGATTCCTCGATGTCATTCATAACTTGAAGGCGGTATCAGAAACTCACAAAATTTGAAAAAATAAATAGCTCTTTTTGGGAAGAAGTTAAAAGCACTGATCCCCACAAGAGACCCTTCAAAATTTTTCAGAGTGAGCCTCGAGTTCTAACGGTCATCGCCTACATCGACGCCGAGCTGTCCGATGAGCAAATTGCTCATATTAGTTGTCGCTACGAGACCCCTTCCAATGCGACTTGCGAATGGATACGGTGAAATCTAAAAAAATTTCTTCAAGTTACAAAAATATATTATGAATAATATTCTAGACAGGACACCTGTTTCAAGACGCAGTTGACTCAGAAGGTGAGCCGCAACCAAATCACTATTTCCTCGAGTATCCTGAGGCTAAATGGATCTGAAGTTCCCATCGATTGTGAGTTTTAGAAAATCTTCAAGACGCAAGAAAAATGGAAGAGCATATTTTTTCATATTTGTATGAATATTTCAAATCTTAGGATTCAGAACTTCCGTGCAATTCAAACCAAACTATTTTCATAGAGTAAAGAAGAAATTACTAAATTAGACTTACTCCATCACAGGCATATTTTGCTCTATTCTCGACCTCAGAAAATTGTTTTTTCGTCAGTCGCTCCATCACACCTCTTTTTATAGGTCATCATTTTTTTTTCCTTTGTATGTTACAATTTTTTTTGTCTTGTCGTTTTTATTTTATTCCGTATTCAAAGTGATTCCGAAAAGTTCAAAATTAGCATCAAAGGGGGACAAAGAAAACTAAATTTTTGGAGGTTCAGAAGCTATTTTGAACAGGGAGGGCATTATGAATGAGTTCCCATAAATCGTTTTCGATTCCATCTGACTAAAAACAACCAATAAATATTGATTAATATTGATATTAACTGAAAAATAAATTTTTCAAGGGTCCGGCTTTGTACTATGGGAAAATGGCGACGAATACATTTCGATGCATTGCGGGACTGTCGATGACGATGGAGCCTGTGACGCCGTCAGGTTCCCGAGAACCTACCAATCGGAAAGAAATTCGAAATTCAGGATTTACGTCTGGTCGGACGAGGATCACATGGACCAGCCGACGATCCACGAGATCTACCGACAGCTTCAAGCCGTTTGTGTCGATCCTACGGACCTCATCTTTCTCAACACTTTTCGTGAGGATTGAAAAATTGCTTTAAGTTACAGTTTCGTACGAAGGGCCTCCTGAAAATGTTTTTTTCTTTGGAGGGTACTTGAAATTTTCTCAGTTGTTTTATCATTAACTTCAACCGCCATGATCACATTTTGAATGCTCCAAATTACCGGGAAACGGAATGGTTTAGGAAAGGAGAATACATATAAAACCGAAGCTGCGATTTTGAGAAAATCAGGCCTCTTTTTTCAAAAATTATTGAGTTTTCATTTTTTTTTTTGTAATTTTTGCAAGTTGAGAGTCATTTTTGTTATCATTGCAACTTCTCTGGATTTTTTTTTTTTGAAGGCTGAGTTTTTAGAAAATACGGTTTGTAAAGCTCACAAATTCATAAATAAGCTTGAGAATCCTTCGCTTTAAAATCTTAAGTTATGAACAAAATCAGTCTTTTACTTTATTTTTTGGCGAAGTTTACGCACAATTCTTGATTTGCAACTTTTCGTAGCTGAAGTAACTTTTTTTTTGAGAATTTATCTGAGATTTTAGACGAATGCATAGTCCCACCTCCGTCGACGAACAATTCCCGGTGTTCTGTACCTATAGGTTGGAGCCCCCTCACTATCAACATGCTCGACGGTGTTTGGTTCATCGAGTCTCATCTTCAAAATAGAATTTTCCCACTTGAAGGTACGTCGCCGCTGACCTCAACGATGAGCCCAAAATATTCCTCCAGTCCGCTGTTGTCAACATGACCAGGCGTGCCAATGAGTAGGTTTTTATTTCATTTTGTAGGACTATGAATAACATTTGGCAAGCGTCTTAGAGACTTTTCAAAAACGTCTAGAAAAGTAAAATTTAAAAAAAAGTTTTTTTCAGAGTTTCAAGTTTCAAAAATTGTTCTAGGCTGTTGTAACAGTGTTTATGCATCAATTAGTTCAAGGGTTCAAAAATAAAAAAATTATAAAAGTTGTCTTGAAAAAGGTTTTAAACTGTTATGGACACAACTTGATTTAAAGTTAGTGGACCAAAGAAAATAGTATAGCCGTACGAGATGATCACTTTCTGAAAGCACAGCATACAAAAATCTACCCTTGTCAGAGCTTTTATGCGCTTTTGCTTCGAAAATTGCAAGAATGGCTGAAAAGGGTCTCGGGGCGCTTTTCCATCAAGTTCGGTTTACGGTAACTTGAGTGAGAGAACGAAAAAAGCCGGGGCAAAACAATGTCGTACTTTTGACCTCAAGTATTGATGATCTTTTCCTTTCAGTCTAATCCGCTCTTTTTACATCCAAAAAAAAAAAAAAAGTTCAAACTATACTCAATAACATAAGTCAGAAGCGACATTCTGGACATCACCTACTTTGCTCAAAAAGAGTCCGACGCCAAGTGCATCGGACCCGGCCGGGGACAGATCAAACTCCTGAGCGACGCCCAACTCGAAGTTCAGCTCGAGTACAAGTACCCATTCGTTCGGAATCATGTCAACACTATTAAATGTTTGCTTTTTAAGTAGAAAATACGAAAAAAGGTGTTTAGTTATGTACAAGGTTTTGTATCTGGACAATCAGAGGGCGGTCCTCTATTGGTGCTTCAAACAGAACGCCAACGGGACCTGCGAACAGCATGATGTCAACTTCTTGATTAGGTAGGGTTATTTTTAGGGTACCCTGATGAAGTGGAAATGGTTTATAAAAATTTAGTTAGGGTATTTTTTTGAGTTTTTTTAGGATCTTTAGGATACTTTTAGGCTTTAAAGGACTTTTAGGGTTTTCCTGAAGGTCTACAGAAAGTTCGAAAAATACGGAAAACTCTCCAAGTCTTTGTATTACCACGATCGCTTCAGAAAGTCTATAACTACCATAAAAGTGATTTAGAGCTCTGATGTGAGTTTTATAAAAGAGACGGGAAATTTTTTCAAAAGGTCAGAGAAAATGGCGAAGAAAAGGCAGCCAAATGCAGCTATTAGACGCATCTTTCGGCCTAGAGCTAAGATCAAAAAGCTATTTTCACTTACAACTTTAGAAATTCGCAAAAATTGGCTGGAAAAATCTTCAATGAAGAAAATGAACGCCTGGAAAATCTTAAATTTTTTCAGTTCTATGGAAGAGTAACTTTTAAATTGCTTTTTTTCTCCGCTAGAGTCTGTTCGAATATTGGAGGCTCGAATACTCTTAAATTAGGGATGAATTTTCAAAAAAATAGATTGCATTTTGAACCACATGTGGAAATTTCAAGTGAGATTGTGAATTTGAAGATCCCGGCATTTCTCACACAACGACCTGTCTCTGATTCTGCCCTACCTCGACAAAGTCTGTATCGCAAAGCAGGACCTCCGCTGGTTCGACCTCCACTGTCAGTTTTTTGAGAAAAGACCAGAAAATGGTAGAAAAATGGGAAAGTAGCGAAAAGGTCAACAAATGATCCCGTTTGCTCAGACAATATGGAAAATAGAAGAAGCAGCGAAAATGACACATACTTAGAAAGGCCAGAAAGTTCACTAGAGGGACAACCTTACGGGCCCTTGTAGGTTCCCCTCAAGAGACCACTTCACTTTTTACTACTATGCAAAAGTGGCCACTCTAGAGGAGCATGCTGGTGGTCCTTTCTTTGTATTCCCTCTAGTGACCACTCTGGCCAGTTTTCTCGGCTCGAAAGGATGGTGTGCGGAGCCAAGAAAAATGGATTATATTTGTCAAGCTTTTGAATCTTTGCGTTTCTAGCCCAATGCGGGATGGAAATGTCCTCCTCGACGCATCTTCGACGAGACCTGGTGACCTTGTCCCACTACCACGTCCTGGACATCCTCACCAACGTCCAGGAGCCAAAATGTACCTACAAGGAGCTGCGTGGGGTTCGAGCTGATCTGCACTCGGTTAGTGTGATGAATTTTCTTTCAAAAGGATAAAATCAACTTAATATGGGATATTAGTCGTCAAAACTGAGTCTTTTCATCAAAATTGAAAAAAAAATTTTCCTAACCAAAAGCTACACATATTGAAGCTCAACTCAAACTTTCGCAAACCAGACTTTCAAGTATTTGAATGCGGTTAAATATGATGACTAAATATTGTTGAACAATTTTCCCAACCACCATAGATGGGCAAATGTCAACTCATTCAGCCCGGGAGCAGGAGTTGGCTTGCAAAATGTTTGGGAAATTCAAATCAAATCAAGTCAAATTTTTTTATTTCTCACAAACAAGTACTAAAATTCACGAAATAGATGTAGGGAGAATTTGGGATCATATGTGTCGGAACTTGTGGTGATGGAGGGAAGAGGACTCGCGGTCGTGTTAACCAACTTGAGTAAATTGGAATAATCTTAAAGTTATTTTTTTAAATGTCGATTATGTAGCTTTCATATTTTTGTTGGATCAAGAGTATTTAGTTCTGTAATGTTGTTTTCAAACCATTTCTCAAGTTTAGATTTGAACTTTTTTTTTCATACTCAAATACTATGTTTCTATTCATGTGATTCCAATGAGTGTAAACTCTTAGAGGATAAAATCAAGTTTTAACCTCAAAGAGGTTGTTCTGACCACAATAATGCAATTTTTATCCTTGAAAGGAGGGGTTGAAGGCCTAAAGAATGGTCTTCCCATGTATGCCAACCACAAAGAAAAATGACTTGTGAAACGAAGTTCGAAGCTCTTTTTTTATTTTCTGATAGTCACAAGAAAAAACAGATGATCAGAAGTCTGTTGCAGCTGGAACGAGCTGGAACTTGGTTCCTGATGTCGTTGATGGACGAAATGGCGATGGACACTTATGCGATGGTCGGCCGTGTCTTCTCCGTTTCTAACAGTACCGCCGTCCTTCGACTGTTCCAGTCCGCGTCAGTGATTCCATATTTTCAGATTTAAATTCAGAGTTTTTTTATGGGATAACTTCTTATGGACCTATTTTTGGAGCGATAACTTTTCACATCCAAAATTTGAATATGTTCCCGATTCAGTTATTTTTTCACCGCACTTAGGAGCGCCAGAGTAGCTCCAAAGGCACTTAGAAGTTCCCTTCTAGTAACCACCTTACTTCCTCCTATAGGGAACTTTAAACCTTGCCAAAGTGGCGACTTTAGGGAGCATGCCAGTCGCTTATTGCTATGAACTGCCTGATAAGAAGCAATTTGAACAAAATATTTAAAGTTCTCTCAGGGGACCACTTAAGCTTTAGGTGCTCACTGGTCAGACCCCGAATCCACAGAGGTACCACACAAAGTTTACCCCTATAGGGGCACTTCTCTCTCCCCAATAGCGGCTGCTTTTTTCCCTAGCCCCTTTAGGGACCCCTCTAACGTTCCTGAGTTGGTAAACTCCCGTATAGCCCTAAAAATACTGAAAAAATATGACATGAAAGTATACATTTCTATCCCCCTCTAAATTTTACCCCTTTCGAGAGCATTATTTTGTCCCCTGTAGGACTTTTTCCCTAACCCCTTTTTCGGCGTTTCAAAAAAAAAAGTTCAGATCGATCCCAGGAGAGCCGCGACAATGCTTCACGAGAGTGTTCACCATCCAGGAGGTCAGCAACAAGTCCAACGGCGATTTCTACTACGAGCTCCATTTCGAGTCCATCTCCAAGAACTCCACCACAAGTGCGTCCTAATGGACTCTCCCCCGCCGAAAACTGACGGAACATTTGACGGACGAACATGTCAATCCAAAAATACGGAGCGTTCTCTTTTCTGAATAAAAACCGAAAAGTGAAACATTTTGATTGACGTCCAACGGGAAGCTCTTTCATCTTCTCGACATGGCCCGAGTTGGAGAAGAGGCCTGAAAAAATTCGGAGGAATGGTCGCTGTAGCTTATCTACAGACAATCTCGAAAAATAACTCAAATTGTACACTTTTTTCCGATTTTTTCAAAGACTTTGTCCGATTTCGGTAGATTAAAAAACAAGTTCTACTCGATTTATTGAAAAATTAAGTAAAGAATGAATGATTTATTCGAAAAAAATACTCCATTTTCGGACTTTGGTTTTCTTGGAACACGACTCTTTCTCAAAATTCGAGTTTTTTTCAGATTTATTCACGATATTTACAATTTTTCATAGTTGAAAACAAAAGTGGTAGAAAGTTAATTTTTGAGTATTACAAAAAAACTAGGTTTGATTTTTATTTCCCCATTTCAAAAATTTTCATTGCTTTTTTTCTATAAGTTTCATTTTTTTATTTATTCAAAGTTGAACCGAGAGAAAAAAACAAGGAAAAATTCGAAAAAAATCACCATTAGAGCTCGCTTCATAAGATAAGAAAAATAGAAAAATATAGAAAAAAATATCGTTCTTTTTTTGTTTAATTTCTGAAATTTTTGATCGTTTTCTATACGAAAAATTCTTTTTCAAACGTGATTTGTGATAATCAGAAAAACACCACTAAAAACTCATAAAGAAAATATTGTCGTCATTTAAAAACTGGAAGGAAACAAGTTAAGAGTACGTTTTCAAGAAACATCAAATAGCCATGGAATTTAATCAGTTGTTTCCACGTCGTTTCGAGATTCCAAAAAGTCTTTCTTGCTTTGCAGTGGTGTTCCGCTTTCTGTTCTTCAACCGACACGTCGGCGTGATCTACTCCTGTCTGCGAAACGGCCCCGAAGGATTGTGAGTTGAAAGTTGAAAGACGGGGAAACTCGGCACGAGAACCTTCGAGAAAAGAGTCACACCATCAAAAATGTATGGCACTTCCCCCGAAACTTTCTTTTCTTTTGTGTCAGGAGACAAAAAAGTTGTCGGTTTTCACAAGGCTTGATTTCCAAATGAGAAGGGGGGTCTCCGGTTGAATGGATTATGAGTTGGCTTGAAAAATGGGCGGTTTTTTCGGCTTTCAACTTGATAGGGTCGAATTGTGAATTTTCTTCGGATTTTTGAGGTAAAGATTCGAATTAACGATGAATAGCTTGTTAGGCTGATTTTCTCAATAAAAAAGAGGAAAAGTAATCTCAAAGATACACACCTGTCTTTGAAAAAATCAACTCCTCTAAAAAAGTTCAAAGTTTTTTCAGTTTTTTGAAGAATTCATCCGCTATGTAACATAGAAAACTTTCGAAAAAACGAACTGAAAAGAAGAAAAATAAGCTTCAGCTTTTAATTTGATGAAAATATGAGAAAATAAAAATAAAACGGAGAGATAATGGTCGCAAGCTTATCACGGTTTCAGAGAAAACCAATATTTTAGGGTCCCCAGAGTGGTCCCTATCGAGGCAACCATAGGGGTCCTTGAAGGTTTCTCTCTATACATGGAGCACTTGAACTTTGAGAGCTTAGAAGTGAAAGCCTCAACCCCTATAGGGACCACTTAATATTTACCCCTATAGGGATCACTTATTTGCCCCTCTAGGAGTTTTTCTTTTCCCCTAAAGCCCTGTAGAGACCACTTTGGCGCTCCTAAGATAGTCATATAGAGATTTATTTTCAAAGTTCTCTCAGGTCATACGAGAATTTTCCGCCTTTGAACTACATAAAAAAGTTTTTGAAGACCGTAGACGAAAATTTGATTTTTTTTTTCGACTTCAAACTAGCCATGACTTTTTTTAAAAAAAACTTTGTGTAGTACGCAATAGAGTTATAAAGAAAAAAGAGAAATTTTCACTTTAAAATCAGCTTTCTTGAGATGCGAAGAGAGAGCGATCTACGTGATCTCCCGACACGAAAGCATCGATCACGCTGAGTTGACGGTAGTCGAGAAAGTCGCCAAGTCGGCCTGTGTCGACCCCCTGAGGCTCTATCACACGGCTGCTCACGGTTTCCTTTTTTTTTCACATTTCTCAAAATTTCACAGAGTGTAATTTTGTCTTGATTTGTAAATTTCTCAGAAAAAAATTGAGAAAAATTTACACTTCAGAAAAAAATCAACCTCACTTTTTTTAAGCTTCGGATCTTAAAAAAATTAGTCTCGTATAAAAAAATTCTGATCTTGAATTTCAACGATTTGCCAAACAGTCTTTCAAGAAGACGATGAACCAACTTATTGATTTTTTTCTTTATCGTTATAAGCTACCTTTGAATCCGGGATATCGTTTTTTCAACCAGTCTGTTTTAATATATAATTTATAAATCTTCAGTGAACTTTTTTTCAAAACAACAAGATTCTGAAAACAATAAAAAAAGTATACTTCAAAAACTACTTTTGGCCATAATTATATAGGAAAGGATGATTATACAGTCAAATTTTTAGGTTATAAGGCACATCAATTTCCAATTATTTGAAGATTTTGGTCATGTATTGCACTGGTAGGCATAGAGAACAACAGGAAAAACGAAAAAAGGCACTTTTTGACAAAATTGAAAGGTTTCGTGATTCAAAATCAATAAGGATATGAGAGGAAAATTTATTGAAGGAAGGATTTTTTCTGGAAGAAACCTGTATCAAGGTGTGTTGGCAAGAAGATCTCGAAAAAGTTGCGTTGGAAGAGAAAAATTGCCAGTAGAAAGTGCGGGGAATTCGAATAGATACCACGTAGAAGAGCTATTAGGAACCATGGGCAAACGTGGGCAAACATGAGCAACGGTGAGTTGTAGACGAGTGCGTCTACGATCATCTGCGTCTGAAGCCGCCGGCGTGCAGCTCCGTCGACGTGAAGAACGCCGTCGCAGAGTGGGCCACCTACAGCGTTCAGGAAACTCTCGTTCGTTTTTCTTCTTTCTGTAAAAGTCCCTCTTACTTGGTTGAATCTATTTCCAATCAATAAATAATCAATATTTAGGTTCTATTCGATTTTATCGACTAGGAGAGGAAGAAGAACTCTTCAAACTAAAAATCGAGTCTCTTTGTCACATTTTTACCACTCAAATATGAACTCCAACCTTTTGGGTACTTTTTTCTCCTAGTTAGTGATGTTTACATGTTCCTCTGACCTTGCCGGTTAGAGAAAAGAGACGCAGGCTAGTCAGACAGTTTCAAGTCGTGACGATTGCATTATACCTCTAAATTGAAAAAAAAGCTGATTTAATTTGGAAAAATATTGCATAATTGAGCAATCGCATCAAGTTCTTATGAGAAAGGTAGTTTGACTTGAAGTTTGGGGATTTTCTGAAAATTTCTGAAAATTCTGAAAATCCAGAAAACTTTTCGAACTACTAAAGTGAGATCTTAGATGTCTCAATCTACAGAAATTCGTTATCTTTTTTAGAGATCGGAGTTCAAGTCGCTCTGCAAAAAATAAAAGAGCGACTTTTTTTTTCAGGACGTTCAGTTTGTATATGGCTAAAAGTTAAGCTAATTTCAGATAGTTTTGCATGAAATTGCCTTCGTTGTGAAACCTTAATTAAAAGTTTTTTTGTCTAGCTCTGGCTTTGCAGTTTTCTATTTTATTCAAAAATCGGTATAAAAAGTAAGAAGTCTTCATTTTAAGTTTTTTTCTTTTTTTGCGTGTTTTGAAATGTTTCCGCTAAACTTAATTTTGAAAAAAATCAATTACTTTGAAAATTATCAAAACTTTCCATGAAGAAGCTTTCAAAGACGCATCCAATATTCAAAATGAATTACTAATTTTTATCTCATAATTGTTCTTTACTTAAAGCCCTCTTCAATTTGAGCACTTTCACCATTTCCAGAGTATTTTCAAGCGCTTCCAAAAACTATTCTGTTAGCTTTCATGAGATCCTTCCAACGCGTTCCATGATTTATGGCGAGAAGTTTAAGTGCCGAGCCTCGTAAAATGAGTATAAAACGAATGCCCCGAGGGTCCAATCGAGTCTCACCGGAAAGCCATAAGTCAGGACTTGGGTAAATTATGCGATAGGCCATTTATCATGGAGTCCACGGCCAAAAAAATATATATGTGGGGTCACCTCCAAGCCTTTTCTGCGGCTCTCCAAAAAAACACCGAACTCGGCAAGCCGAAAAAAAAAGAACTGACGCAGGCGAAAGCGCGAGAATCCGTCACTTTTTTTCAAACTATTTTCACTCAAAAGCCTCTCTTTCGCCTCTAAATTCAATAATCCTGCCCCAGATTCTTCTGCAGACGTTCTTCTCTTCTGGCGGCACTCGCCGCGCTTTTTTGAGAAAAAAGAGGCAAAACACTCGAAGAAAACTACTTTCAAAACAAAGTTAAGCCAAAGAGAAACAAGTTTTGGTAAAATAAAGGAATGAACTCAAAAAATAAATTTGATTTGGAAATTTGAAAGTTGTCTCCTTCTTTGAGTTTTTATCGACTATACTATTAGAAATATCAGTAATAATCTCAAGTTTCAATCGGTGTTTGGAAGATTTCAAAACGAAAAAAAAACATTAGCCCATTTTTGTATTTCAAAATTTGATTCGAAAACTGCAGTTCGAAGACAAATGAAGCAATGAGAAAAATGATATATTTCAATTTGAGCGTTCTCAGGAGTTGGTTCGACAAAGTTTGAGCTTTTTTGACTTTTATTAAGTTTTCAAATAAAAATTTCCAAGTTTCCTCTATCCAAACCCGATTCCAGTCTCCAACAAAACACTTTTTCAAAAAGACTTCTAAACGATTTTATTGGTTTCAGATGTTCGACTAAACACTTTTCTTTTCCTCGAAATCTGTTTTCTTTCATCTTTGCGCCAACTCCTGAGACTTTCAATTTTTCGGAAAAACGCATTATATAATAGAAAACTAAGGAAACTAGGCTACTCCTTCTAGGGAGGTGCAAAAAGAATTTTTTGGTCGTTAAACGCGCGACAGGATATTAATTCATTTTTAACGAGGCGAGCAGATCTGTCACGCAGACGTCATATGTACTACACGAACCCTTCTTTTTTTTATTGGTTGAGCAAAAATGATAAATAAGAAGTTTCCAGTGAAAATAGAGATTATTCGAAGTTAAGTGGATCATAAAAGCGTTCAAAAAAATGCAAATTTTTTTTAGGTACTTTAGAAATTTTGAGCATCAGGTAAATCAAAACATATTGATTTCAAAGCTCATAGGCTCAATTAAAATTTTATTTTTGCAGGCAAACTTTGGCCAATCAGTTTATCACGTCGTTGCCTCTTCAAACGCCTTACAACCTCCGTTTGCTTTGAGATTTGATGGAGCGAATTGGCAGAAAATAACGCAAGAGTGAGAATTTTCGAGCAAGTTTACTACAGTCTCTTCGCATTGACTTGAAACTTCTCGAGTGTCTGCGTCTCTCTGTTCCCTCATTGACGAGGTCAGAGAAAAATGAAAATAGCACATAAAAACGAGAGGGTCGTCGAGAGACGAGGAGGCCCCCGAGAAAAGCAGCACCATGTTTTTTTTAATGCATTTTTTATAAGAAAAATTTCAAAACTTGGAAACGTACCAATTTTTGGTAGAGTGTCCTGAGACGCCGAAGACTAGTAGTCGCTTACTGAAAGTTAGATTCTTTTTGGCGAGACACAAAAAAAATTACCTATCATTGCAGACAAGCTGGATGCCTCTCGACGCCAGTTTCAGTCCGGGTCTCCGGACGAAATCGTCTTCTGGTCTTCGTCAACAACGACACCGTCGTCTTGCTCAGTCCGTCAGGCGTCAGAAGTGAGCTTCTCCTGCGGGAAGCTCAGCTCGCAGGTCAACTTCCCTGTCTCGCTCTGCTCCTCGAGCCGACTTCCAATTGTTCCCAGCTGGTCAGGCCGGTTTGCAAGGCGATCGGCGCTGTGGAAGACCAGGGAAAGATGAACGGCGACTGGCTTCTGTTCGCCTCGGACCCGTCGTTCGTTCTCAACTGGCGTTGCGTCATCTCCGAAGGTGATTCCGAGTCGGATCACGTCTTCGAGTGCCACAGTGAAAGGTCCGAACTTCTCTCTTGATATTGACTTTCATTCTGCTTTCAGCTGGGTCGGCGCCTGCGAACGACCGTCTCGCGGCAAAATCATTGTAGATGAACAAGGCGGCTTCAAAACCGAGTTCGACGCGGAGACGTCGCCAATCAGAACGCCCTACTCGGAGATTTTCGCCGTCGGTAATGTCTCTGTGACGGACGACACGATTCTGATGATCAACGACGGCGCGTTGGTTGGCAGGAAGTACTCCTTGTGGCTTCGGAAGACGGTCAACTGGAACGAGAAGCTGCTCAACGACGTCCATCAGTACTGCGTCTGGCCGTTGCCTGCACAAATTCGCTCCATGGACATGCTCTGTTGAAATGACCCGCTTCGATTGGAGCAATGTGTGCTAGCACAAATGACAGTAGTAATTGAACGCGACGACCTGAAAATGAATAATTTTTTTGTTTTTATTGGGAAGATTTGAAGACAAAAAGGGGGTAGGCAAAAATTTGAACCCGCAAAATCAAGAGAAATAGATATATATCAAGTCTTGGCGAACTGACAAAAAGTTCTCACCAGTACGGTGGCGGCTCCAACAGTGAGTGGTACCACTACCAGGAGCAGGGTGAGCAGCGAAGTCTTGGTGGAAATGGGCGCCGGCGGCGGTCCGGTCTGATCGTCGGGCCGGTCCATCCGATGGAAGACGAGCGGCGCGTCGTGCTCCCCCAGGGAGGCTGGCGGAGGTGCTGCCGGCACGTCTCGGTCCCGTTGAGAACTAGAAGTTTCTGCCGACCATTCGTAAGACGAGGAGCGTCGCCTGGAGAGTCACGGCATGCATATCGGGATGCTTCTTTCAGTTAGATATGTAGGCTCGGAACACATGCTCTTGCTTTTTTGAATTTCATTTCCTTTTAAGGCTCACTGAGAATATTTAAAATTGATCAAAAGAGCTTGAAAGTCCCAGGAAAGTCGAAAATGTTCATTCTGGCAGTCATGAGAGTCGAAAATGGGAAAACTTTGCGAAAATTTTTTTTAAAGTCAAATCTGGTAACCGCATGTGGGATGGCTCGACGCGTAGCGGCTGCGGAACAGTCTTTCGAGATGTAACCGACCCAAAACGACTTGCGCGCAACTACATCAATGAGCATTGTAGCTTTTTTCACATACATTTTCAGAAAGTAGGATACAATTTAAAAGTTCTGCACCTTCGGTTGAATGAACAAAGAATCGAACTGCAACGCTTCGAGCCATTCCAACTGCGACCACGGCTAATAGGAAAATGGATATTTTCTGTAGATAATAAAGATCCTTCCTTTAATTTTCGCTTTTTTCGGAGTTTTGTGAGCCAATTCTCTCCAGCTTGTTTTCGACCGTTTCTCTAAAATTTCAATCCTTCTCAAGTAATGTCAGATTTGTCCTCTATATGCAAAGCTGTGTTCTGGGAGGAAGAGAATGAGCTCTTGGCGTTTTGGCTTGAGAGCGGAAACCAGAAAAGACCACCGGAAGCTCCTAACGAGCCACTTTGTCACTGGGCGACGTTCAACTAACAAAAAAAAACACAAGGATAACTTTTTTGGGTTACTGAAGGGCTGAATAGGAAAGTTTGTAAGGTGTAAAACGTAGGGGGGTCCAAGATTTTCTGGTTTTAGAAGAAAAAACAAAAAAAACTTCATAAAGTATCGAAAAAGAGAATGATAAATGTGCAGAAAAGGCTTGGAAACTGCCTTTTTTTCGGATTTTTCGATAGACAATGAACAACTTTTTTCAAAAATTTTGCATACTTTACAGACTTTTTTCGATGATTTATTTAATAATATATTTGCGATTTCACTCATTTTTTAACCGTCCCTCCACTAATGATGGTCGAAATAAAGAACAAAAAAGCTGAAAATATTCCAAACTTGAAGGCCTATGAATATTGAGAAGCTGAAAGGGCAAAATGCCACGTTCAGTTTCAAAGTGTTCGGATATGCATGGACTCGAGGCATAATTGCCGCCCAATTTCCCCTTGATTCCGAATTTCCGCTCGACTTGTTCCCAATTACTAATACGTTTGGAGTTCTCGTCTTCTTTTTTGTTCGCTTTTGGAGGAAAAAAGTGGGAATTTGAACAATTTCACACTAAATTATCTTCAACCAAATATTAAAACTCTTCCTTAAGAAAACACCTCATTCTTGTTCGAGCTTCCATAGTTCTTATTTGAAAAAGAGGCCAAAAGTCATTCAAAAATGAGTAAAACGAATAAAAAAAATTTCTTATTTCCAGGCAAAAATTCGATTTTTCCACCGCTAAATGTAATGATTTCGTCTCCACGGCACCCAAAGATAGGCCTGATCCATTAAAGAAATAAAAATTCGTTCCCAAACTTTTATGAACCCTTAAGAGCCCACTTTTTGCTCAACGTCGATCATAAAACACTAAAAATCACGAAAAATTGTCGTAGATAACTCTTTTTCTCACTTCAAAATTGTGCAAAATCGAGTTTATGGTAGCCTATAACTTCTGTTTTGTAGTGTAATTCAGTACAACGAGGCATGAAAATATATGCATGCGCTCCGCAGAAAAAAACAACGACTACTGGCTCGCCCATTGTCAGGACGAGGAGAAAAAACAGGAAATTCGAGGCTTTCCGACAGAAAAAAAAAACGACGTCTCATTTTGCCCTTGACATCTGCATCCTTTTCATGCCGAAAACACGACAAGAAACAAAAAATTGTTTCACGTGCATAATCTCTAGAAACTGTAATGTAATTTGCTTTCAATTTTGGTAAATCTCTGGGAAATCGTGATTAAAACCCAATAATTTTTGACTCCGTTTAAAATTTTTTAAAGGAGCATGGACAAAAGTTAGGTCTCGGTACCGAAAAAGGTTCTTAGTGGTTATATAGGTTATTTTTTCGATTTATGCATCTTTCAAGTTTCATGAAACCTGTTTCGAATCGCCTGGATCCTCAAAATGAATTGAAAATCAGTAAAATCATGTAAATATACTTAAAAACGTTCTAAAAGTACCGGAAATTCGAAAATCGATGATTTAAAATGACGTCATTCCAGGGCCAACTAGGAAAATGACGTCATTTCAAGTTTTTTCCACGCGTTTATTCAGTTCTTTTTCGCCTAGAAAGGCAAAAAATTTAAAATTTCAATGCGTCACTTATCAGAAGAACTCAGAAAACAGTGAAAATCGGATTTATATTGGAACAAAGAATTATAAATTACTTCTCGAGTCCTCAAGAAGAATTTTTTTATAAAAAAGTCACTCTTAGACTTAAAAAAACGTTTTCTTGCTACCAAAAAGTTGAACTTAAGCCTAAAAAGTTCTGACAAACATCAGAAAACCAATCCTAAAGATACAAAAAAAAGAAAATTTGTAGTTTTGCATTCTCTACGCAGAACAGTCAGCGGTGATGCGAGCAAAATGCAAAAAATTATGAAAAAATATTGAAAAAAATGAGACAAATCCTGAGCCGTGAACTTGAAACCTCAAAACTTAATAAGAAAAACTACTTCAAAATTCTTAAACTCGCTTCAAATACATTAAAAGGATGGAAAAAAACGCGCAAGACTCCCCTCAAATAACCACTGTTCGTTGGAGCGCACTTACAATCAAAATATAATCATGAACGAATAATACTAAATTTGTCTCATTTTCAGTTGCAAAAAAACATAATCTAGCCATCATTTCCCGACTGAAGTACACTACCGAGCATGAATTTGAACAAAAAAAAACATTTTCGAGCAGTTTTTCGAGCATGCCTCCGCTAATTTCTGAACTTACCTGGTGTGAGAACGAAGGTAGGCAAAGGTGTTGCAGAAAGGTTGATCACAGGCGCACAAATCCGTCCACTTATCTTCTTCGTTCCTGAAAAAACAACTTCTGATTTTCCAAAAAAAAAAATTCCATCGGTCTATTTTGTCGAGTTTTCTGCTTTTTTTTCTCAATATACATCAATTTTTGAATTGATGGGTTTATCTCATGAATACCTTCAACTTCATAAATTTCAATTTCAAAGTCTAAAACTGAGTATGTCATTTTATTTTTAAAAAAACCACTGTTACTGAAATTTTAGTTTTTTTGACTTACAAATTTTTCCAAAAGGTTTTTCAAACAAAAAGAAATAAAAAAATTCACAGAGAAACAAACTTTCTGTACAAAAAAATAAGAATATGGTCGAATTTTTCTGCTTCCTTTTTTTCGATGATTTTTTTCCATAGTCCAGTTCTTTAATTTATTTTCCATAAAACTACAGCCTTTTCTCAAACCAGACTATAAAAAAATCTAACTTTAGCTTGGAAAGGTCACATGGCCGGAAAGAATATGCAAAACAGAAAATCCCCAATTAAATTTATAGCTCATTCTGCTTCCTGGGCTCAATAATTGCTGGGGACGCTTAGTTCAATTTATACAAAAAAAAGTTAAAAAATGATTTTTATGCATTTAATCGAATTTTTGCAAACAAAACTGTTCCTCAATGATTCTCATCAGTCTGATCTCAAATATAGTCTCCGAATAATAAAATAAAATCGAGATCTTTAAGACTAGCTTTCTTTTACATGGTTCAATGTCTGAAAATCGGTCATTTCTTACAGAATCCATCAAATTCGAGGAACGAAACGGATTCGATATGCTCAGAAGCTAGGCGTCCGCATTTTCAAGCAGCTCGGGAGGGAAGCGTGAACCGAAACAAAAGAAGCGGCACGCAATTATTCTTGCACGAGGGGCCCACCAGCCAACTTCTTCTCCTTCTCCTACGGGAGGCTTACTTTCCGAACGCCGGAGAAAAAGAAGACTTATCATCAATTATGTGTTGGCAAGCTTGATAAATTGTTGCGCAGCTTTTTTTGGGAGGTTTTTTTTCGGGAAAAATTGGAAAAAAACCATGGATATTCGGGGTGAGCTTCAGCTTGGTTTTGCTTGGTTTATTCGGGGTGAGCTTCAGCTTGGTTTTTCATGGTTTGGTCATGATTTTTTTTTGGAATTAATAAAATAATTCTCAATCTCGTAAGCGTCTAGAAACATAAAAACGTGCTTCGCAAAAAATAACCCCCAGAATCGAATGAAAACCGAGGCTCAAGGCTTTTATGAGTCCCCGAGGCTAATAATTCTTCTTTTGAATAATATGTTGCCATTTTCCACACATCGCAACTGAGAAAAAAAGCACGAAGCAGCTGAAAAATTAAGTTTTCTGTGTAATTATGTGTAGAGTAATTTGAAAAGCCAGGAGACGTGGAAAAAAATCTTTTCGTGTTTTTTTACGACACTCCGCTGGAACGCTTGCGAAATGTCACTGAATATTTTATTGATATTTTCATCCGCTTTTTTAATCTCAACATTTTGAAATCCCTAAAAATGATTTTACTTTATTTTTTCTTTACGACACTCCGCTAGAACGCTCCAGAATCTTCAAACGTTTTAGGCAGTAAGAGTCGATCTCACCTCTCAAAAAAGTTTATAAAAAATCGAAAAAATAATCATAGCGCAAGCTTCAAATTATATTTTCAACCTTTCTCTGAGCTTCTCTTAACTTTTCCAACTACACGAGGGAAGCCTTGAGCGTTCAAATTTCGGAAAAAAATTTGAAATTCTTGGTGTCCTCCCAGATGACATCATGGGAGGAGGCTCTTTCAGAGTATCAAATGTTGGCCTGCGCTGTTTCGACTTGAGGCAGCCGAGCAAATTCGGCTCGGTGAGCTGCACTAGGTGCTGCCTGCCTGCATGAAAGAGTATGATGGGCCCGATGGCGGATAAATTTGATTTGGCCTTCTTTCTGCCGTCGTCTGCTCTCTCGACGCCGTCGCGACAAAGTGCGTCTGGGCACGTTTGCTCCAGTATAGATCGCCATTAGTCGGGCTTACTCACTGTAGAGACTACTTCCGTCCTTCTTATTATCCGAACACGTTCGGAGAACCGTTTAGGGGAGCTAACTTTTATCTATCCTCATGAAAATGATGAATCAGCCTACAGGAAAGAAAATAAAGTTAGCTGATACATGAACTTCAAAAAAGCACTACAGTTCGTCTGGGCACGTTTGCTCCAGTATAGATCGCCAACAACCAGGCTGTTTTACTGTAGGAACTTCTACTTCCGTTTTTCTTATCACAGAGCATCTTCTTAGGTTTCTTAACCCCTTAGCAAGCCTATTTTGGTGTGAAAAGCAAAAATGATGAATCAGACCATGGAAAAGCAAATGCAATAATTAATCCTGGAAGCTATAAGGCTGAAAAACTCGTTTGGAGGTGGAAAATTATAGAAAAACTTGTACCAAACTTATTTGCGATAAAGCTGTGCTCTTGATGAGAATTAATGAGGACTGGAAATTTCAGTATCATAAAGGCTTTATGATAAAGTTCTTTGGAAAACCAAAGAAAAAAAATTTTTAGTAAGTATTAAGTCCGAGGCTTCTTTGGACAGAAAAAGTTAAAAAAACTATTTTTTTCCGATATTTTGCAATAAAATTGATTACAACCTTCGTAAAATTCAAAAATTCAGTAATAAAGCAAAAAAACTTATCAACCTTCAAAAAACCTAATAAAGGCGCCTATATTTTCCTTGACACCAGAAAAACTGATTATTTTCAAATTTGATCAGTTAGGGATTATAATACCTGGTTTGTTACTCAATTATGTAAAAATTTGCCTTCACTATTCCAGAATTTCTCTAGGATCCTTGAAAACTACAATAACAAATGGAATCCAAAAAAAGACACATAAATTTCACTCTCCAGCTATAAATTCTCAAAACAAAGACCACTGCTCTGATTTTTCTCACTCCAAAACAATGAGAAAATATATTTTGCGCGAATAAAACGCCACTTTTCATGAAATTCAAAAAACTCTTCATCTCTCTGGAACAAGTGCTTTATGCAGGATTTCCCAAAGGAGCAAGCAGGGCATCTCAAAAACAACTCCTTCTTTTTTCAGAGGCGCCAAAAAAAGCTAATAATATTTTCGGCAAGTGCGGAAATTTTGCTCGGAAGAAATTATTTTGGAGTCACTTAAGGGATCTCAAAAGCTACTTCTTCTTCAGAGTCGCCAAAAAAATAATATTTTTGGCAAGTGCAAAAAACTTTGTCCGATAATCTAGACTCTTTTTCCGGGTCACTTAAGTGATTTGGTGTACAAAGTGGCCGAGGGCACCCAAAAGATTAACGGACGCCGGCGACGTCTGAGCCGCGAGGTCTCGAATTTCAGTGCGACTGTGCTTTTTCGGCCCTTCGCCTGCTTCTTCTGCCTACCCGACCTTCCGGTTTCGAGTTGGGCCGACTTTACAAAGATGAAAAATGTCTCATTGCAAAAAACGCGAGTTCAATTTGCTTGGAAATTATTTTCCGGGTGTTTAAAGGTACAAAAACCAAAGTTAACCTAGAATAAAAGTGACAACAGAATTTCTTATCGAAGATTTCATGGAAATCGTCTATTTTCCTTTGAAAATCGCAGCAAAAAAACTTGCTAACAAACTATGAAAAAAATGTTGTAGAAAAATACGATTTTTTTTCAAGTTTACAAATAAAAATAAAGCAAAAACAAAGGAGATTGAAAGGTCCTACGATTTTCTATAGTTTTTTTATTTTTTTGACAAGTTCATGAGATATATCATATTATGAATTAATTTTTTTTCTCAAAACTGGAAAGAGGCTTAATCAAAAAAATAATTATCAACAGTTTTTTTGAGAAGAAAAAAATCGGGAAAAAAATGAGTTTTTTTCAAAACAAAGGGATGAAAAAAATGTCTATAAAAGCTTAAAAAAAAACGTTGAAAAGGCAGAAAAAAAAGTTCTAAAGCTCGGAAAGTCTCATGGAGGCTTTTTAAAAAGCTTTTTCCTTCATTTAATTCAAATTTATAAGTCTGGCTTGAATTTTTTTTACTGGTTAGGAGAAAATGGCCGAAGCAAAAAAATCACAATTTAGGCCCAGGCCTAGAAAAAAATCTTCCAACTCTTGAAATCCTGTAGTTTTGGGTGTTTCCCACTGAGTCGCCAGTTCCGAAAAAATGATTTTCAAAGGGTTCTACTCTTTGATTCCTTTTTTTCTACTAGTGATAAGCCTTCGAATATAAAAAAACGATTTTATATTTTATATTATTTTATTTCTATTTTTTTAAATAATGGCAATGAACTAAATATTTTCATTATTCACGTCACGAGGCTAAGGAAGCAGAAATGAAAATTTGAGAAAAAGTTGGTAAAATCCTGTTGAAATATCATTTTTCAGAAATTTTCGAAAAGTCGGAAATCTCGCCAAAATCCTCTTTGAAGACTGAACGAATGTGAGAAAAACGAACCTATGACAGCCGAGCTGACTGGTGCCGCAGGTGCGGATCACCTGGTTGGACTCGCGAAGGATGCCGACCATGCAGACGTCGCCGTCGCAGGACCCGTACGGGATGCATTTGTCGTCGGTACAGTAGCACTTGATGGCGTCGCCGGGCGGCAGGAGCAACGTCAGGGCCGCCGCCAGGGCCGCCCAGGAGTTGGCACTCGGCCATCGGTGTCTCATCGCCACTGCGACATCGTCCAAGTCGTCGTCGTCGTCGACGCTTCCGTGGCGTGGCTCTTGACGCGTCTCCCGACGTTTTTACCCTACCTCCTCCGATTTCTGAAACTGTTTCTGAATTGATAATAGCGAAATTGTGGCAGAACGATCAGAGCGAAACTCGAAACAAAACTTCAAAAAAAGTTGATAAAATTCTGTTGAAATATCCCGAAATAAAACCGGCTTTTCTCTCCGTAAACATTTCGAAACTTTTCTATGATCCTTTGAAATTCAAACGCGGTTTCTTTTTCAAATTCGAGATTGATTAAGATTTATCTATATTGTAATTACATAAAAATTCTGAAAAAAAGCGGCAAAAATCAAAAATTGCGAGCTCTGTATAAAAAAAATTTATAAATTTTACTGAGTCAAAACGAAAAAATCCTATTATTGGATTTTGAAAGAATGGTAATGAAAAAAATACAGTTAAAAGCATGAAAAAGCCCATAGAAAAAAATAAATATTTCGAAAAAAATTGAAAAAAATAACGCCTTTTTAAAAATACTCCAATCGAACATTTTTTTCATTCAATAATTTTTTTGAAGAATACTTGAAAAAAATAACAAAAAAACAGTGTTAAAACCTCGAAAAATTGAAAAACGAAACTCTTGCACCGTCTCACAGAATTGCGGACCATACACATTCCAGCCTCTACCGTACATAATATTTTGTTCAAAATGTTCAAAAAAAGCCTTTTCCAGACGAAAACCAGGAAATATCAATCAAAAATAATAGCCTCCATTCTAAGCGACGAGGTCAAAGTTCTTCAAAACGGGCAAATCCGGAAGTCTGGTGAATAGAAGCTCAAAAATGAAACTAAAATGGTTTATTTCGAGCAATTTACGTCTATTTTGTCCCTTTTCTGCAGCCTGGCCTTCGTTGGAAGCCATTATGTTGAGGAAGAAACGTGTAAAGACTACAAAAAAAAGAGGGTAGAAGGCGAAATGAAGCGATTTTGTAGCGATTGTCAGAGTAAAGTCGAGTTTGGCGTCGTCCCTAGGCATCCGAGGTGGCTCCACCTACTTTCTCAGTGAATCATAAGGTTTCGGAACAAGTCAGAGGGGAGGAAAAAAGCAAGTGTATGGATATAGACTGGCTTGATGGCGGCAGTGGGAGTCAAAGAGTAGGCGTAGGGGTAAATGGCCGAATTGGTAGGTCCAGAAATGCGAATCGCACACACACACAGCACACTCACACAGAGCACTCACACGCCAGAAGCCTCCATCGATCCCCCCTTGACTCCGCCCACTTTTTTCTTTTTCACCCCCCAAGACTCCGCCCATTATTTTTGCTCACCACCTTTTTACGCCTTTTTTTTCTTACGTGTTCGGTTTCAGGTAGGATGATTGGATGACAACAGATTGGTCATGGTTGAAGCGAAAAAAAAGAGAAAAACGATGATTCAAAATGGTCTTGGGATCGCTAGAGAGGTCACTAAAAAGGTTAGGAAAAAAAAAGCCCTATAGGGAAAAAAAACAGTACTCCCTGAAATTTAAGTGGTTACTCGAGGAGTATAAGGTCTCACCCCTAAGCTCTGAAGCTCAAGTGATCCCTATAGTGGTCTCTCATTTTTTTTTTGCTCTGAAAGTTAAAAAGACGTATAAAGGTCACTAGCATGCCCCTATGATGGCCAATAACTGAAACCACTATAGGGCGGGCCACTCAAAATTAAAAAAGCTTGAAAAAAAAATCACAGATAAAGTCTTAAGAAAAAACGTAGGGTGCTCTAAACTCTCTCGTTTCTATACACTATTTCGCTAGGCTCTTCAAAACCACCTTCCTTGAAAAAAATCAAAAAATTAGATGAAAGAAGATAGAAAGAAAAAGAAAATTTTGTATTTCAGTGACATCTTATAAAACATTTTGGGAACAGGGAATTGTGATAAAAAATTTTCGACGATTTCTGGGACTTTTCATCCTCTAAATGTGTTCCGGACATTAGGTAACTTTTCGGGAAATCGAGGTTAAATAACATATTTAACGAATAATACTGCAAAAAGTGTAATTTTATCCGATTTGCAGTTTCGAGTACTCTTTTAAGATTGGCGTGAGCAGGCCAGAATTTATAAGGAATATTCAAAAGCACGGAGCAAAATCTATATGAAATCAACGCTTGGAAGGGATTTTTAGCCGAAAAATTTGAAGATTACGTTTTCTCCTCACAAGGTAAATTATTCTTTACTAATTATTGTACCATAAAACGAAAGTCTCTTATAACGCAAATGAAACATTTTCTTGCTAGGAAAAATACAGAGAATAATCAATAAGACCAATGTGAAGTACGTCACACACTACCTAAATATCTTTAAAAAGGATGGAAATTTTACTTGGCGGTTGAAAGTTTCCAAAATATTCCTCTTCAAAGTCTCAGATCAAGATCCTTAAAGTCTATACTTTCACAACTTTCTAGCTTTCGAGAAAAGACACCGAAAACCCTTAAAATAAGCCATTTCAAGGTTTTTGAGCCTTATTTCTCAAAAACTAGAAAGTTGTGCAGGTGGAGACTCATTGGGAGCATCAAGAAGTGCAGGAAAATCCCAGCCGCAAAGTGAAATAATCTTCCTTGTCGGTCCTTCTCCTTTAAATACCATTTTTCCTGGAGGAAGTTGACAGCTCATCCCTTTTTCCTGTCTTTGAGTCAGACTTATCAAAAGTTTTCGAGCAGGTTGATTAGGGAAGCACGTCACCATTGACTTGTCAGCCAAGGGAACGTAATCGAATGAGGCGCCCTGGCGCATTTATTCAATCAAGACATTTGAGCCGCCGTTGCCAAAAACTCGCTCTATTTCAGATTTTCCGAACTTGGCGCTTCGTTCAGAAGTCTCTCTTCTCTTTGAAAGTGACATGAATAGCACCAAAAAAAGAAGAGAATAAAATGAAAAAAGTGAGAAAGGGAGAGAGCGAAAAAAGGAGAAGAGACACGCGAGGCTGGAAAGAAAAACGTATTTCGACGACTAATTAAACGCACTCAACGCACAAAAACGCGTGCTCCCGTGTGCACTCAGAACCTTCTGAAAAAGAAAAGTTTCTTGGCAAAAATTCTCATTTTGGGCCTTTCTTCCAGCCTTCAGTCTTTTCTAGGTTGCGCTTATTGGCGCTTGAAAACGAAAAAACGAAAAAAGTTGCCGTTAAGGAAACGAAAAAAAGAAGAACTCTTTCAAGTTTTTTCCACCGCAAGAACATACTATAGAGCGAAATAATTCAGTTACAAAAAGTTAGATCAAAAAAAAATCAGCTGCAATTTTTTCACAGTCCTTTCAAACTCGGAAACCTTCACTTTAATTTAATAATTTTTTTCTTGGAGAAAAATTAATCATAGAGAGAAAACTCATAGAAACATCAGAAAAACTAAAAATGGAAAAATTCTTGAAGTATAATCCAGCTTAAACAAATCTTTGATAGTCGATGGCTAAACTTTTTTTCAATTTATTCTTTTTACAAAAATTCAGAAATCGGCATGAAGGATATACAATAAATATGACGTAAAAACAAATTGGAGATGGTTTTTATTATGGAAATCTCAATCAAAACACCAGAAGCAACAAAAAAGGGATAAAAAGGAAAAAAAGAGCGAAAAAAAATTTCGAAAAGGTGTTACTCGATGGAGCAACTTTGATGCATTTACGCGGAAGTTTTTTTTTCCCAATCTTTTGACCCCCTTTTTATCTAAGATTACGGAGTTCTGTGTGATTTCGAGTAGAATCCAGATACGCTTTGCAAGATTTTTCTCAAGAGTTCAAATTAATCTCAAAAAATTTCTTTTATTTTCCGAGTCTCGAAAATTTCTAAAAAGGTTTCAATTTTCAAGTTAAGATCAAAACACGCTTCTAAATGAAGAAAGAAACTGATTTATATAAATCAAAACACTCCGAAATATTTTTTTTGTGAGAAAATCAATCAATCAGTCACATTTATTCTTGAAAAAAAGTCAATTTACAGATCAAAAAAAGGCTGGGCAGATGGCATTTCAAAAACGGGGAGCTTTTCACATATGCAAAAATGACAAATGACAAAAAGTAGGGCTGAGAACGGCGATTTGTGTCACACAAATCACCGGCTGCTTAGCACTTTCCGGCCCTTGTTTTACAACACGTGGACAAGCAATTCACTCTTGCGGTCGTGTTTTCCTCCCAGAGCTTGACTCTCTTGTTTTTCCTGGAAGTCCTGGCAAAACTATGGGAGGTATATGAGTATCAAAAATTGGGGAAACTGAGCCGCCAAAAAAAGCCTATACGAAAAATGACAAGTATTTTTTCAACCTCGGAAAAGTTTTCAAAAAGCTCCTTCAAAAACATTGTTAGGGATCTCTTTAGAGGTTCAAGACTTGAGGGATCACTTTAGTGGTCCCTAGAAATGCTCAGAAAGGTCCCGGGTCCGAGATGAAAGTGACTCGCACGTCCAAGTTTCAACCCGGAGTTTTAGAAAAAGCTTATTTCTGAAGTCTGAGATTTTTGGCGACTCTTTTTTTTCCATTATCAGGTGCCAAAAAACTGTAAAAACCCGGTCTTCATATCAACCATAAAATACGAGTCAAAATGCAACTTGAAAAAGGAATCAGCTCATAAGAAAAACTCAAAAGAAAACGTGGAGTGATGGAAGTTGCTGACGTCTTCTTTGGCCGGCGTCATGGCTTCTGGAGCGAGTCTGCCGCTTCGGGCGGTACTGAGGAGGGTCGGATGCGGGTGTCAGCCACGGATGTCGCTTCAGTTCTGACGCCGTCGGTCGGGAGTCGCCACAGAGCTGCAGATGAGCCTTCAAGAAGGACAGGTACCCTGGAGTGACGTCTTCAGAGTTCACTGAAATTTGATGAAGTTGAAATTGACCTCCGCTTCTTGGCACGCTATGGTCGCATTTGGAATGGCTCAATGCGACACGGTCGGACTAAAAAAAACCACTCTATTGCTTTTCAATACTTTCAAGCGGAAGCCGTTTCAAGTCGGACGCAACTTAAAGCAATCGCTTCGCTGCTGTTATTCGTTTACCTCTCTGAATTCGAACATGGAGTTGATGACTAACCTAAAAATCTCATCAAACCCACAAGTGATACTTTTTTAACATCCATTAAAGCCTATGGAACACACCAACTTTTCCAAGAACGTTACTGTTAACTTATAAATTTGCTTGATCCTAGAGTGATCATTTTCCAACCTCTATCAAGCCTGGAAAACCCTCTAACTTTTCAAGATCGTCTAGTCTTTCATACTCGAGAGAAAAAAAAGACGTTATTATTATCCTCCTGCGCTCAGGTTCTAACTACAACAAGTCACGACTTTACTCCAAGTAATTGCTTTAGTAGTTTTTTCGCCATCGAGAAAACAACCAGATTGCGTGATTTTCTCCGAAAAATAATAACAATGGCTTGTCCGTGCTCGACAAGGCACGGATTGGCTCGGATTTCTCGACGATTTCATAAGGGGAAATTTTGGTGATTCCTACAGGGAAACTCGAAAGAATTTGATTGGCGCTTTAGTGAATACAATTTTCGATAAGTTTGATCGTTCCTGGTTTTTTCAGAATTCCAGAGTGGTAACTATAGGGGCAACCTTAAAGGCCTTGAAGGTTCCCCTCTAGAGACCACTTTGCCTCCACTATAGAATCACTAAAGGACCCCTAGGGGTTTTAGTTGGTGGTCCCTATAGGGAAGTGGATTATTGTTATGAATTCAATGAGATTAAGCATTTATATGTGAAAAAATCAATAAATTAGCGTTTGAATGAAAAATATCAACAGAGGATCAATGACTTTTAAAATTTCAAATCTAAACAAAAATAATAGACCCTATTGGGGCCACTTGAGGTTCAGAGTATCACGGCTTTTTTACCTTAACCCCTATAGGGAGCCTTCTGGACTCAAAAAACTCCGGCTGAAAATTTTTTTATAAAGCGCTTACACAAATGAAACCAGTCGGAATCCTTGGCAGCCGGTCTCGAAGCGAAAATCAGCTTTCCGGCGTCGGGCATCTTATTCCAACTCCGCCAAGATTGATCCGTCGGAGTTCCAAGGACGCCGAAAATCAACGAGATTTGATCCAAGTCACTTCTTCCCTGAAAAATCAATAAATAAATCGGATACTTCATGCGATTCGTATATCTTCTTCGAAAAATGAAGATAACTTTTTTAGGCACTGGAAATTTCCTCTTTACAGATCCCCTTACCTTCCACTATAAGGGCACTGAAGCTTGCGAAAGTAGCAAAACTAGGGTTTTCCGTAAGACGCCACTTTAGAGGAAAGTGCTAGTGGTTCATATACCTCTTTTTAAACTGACAAATAAAAAATAAAATGATAAAAAATACCACTTAAGGAACCACCTAAGTTTTAGCCTTCTAGGGAGCGCTATTTTGTCTCCTTCGGGGACCACTCTGCCCTTCCCAAAGCTCCAGAGATTTTAAACCCGGCAAAAATAAAATTGAGAGATTGTAGCCGGTTCATGGATGAAGCCAATCGTGAAAAAGGGTCTCGGTAATATTTTTTGAAAACGTGTACTCTTTGGATTTATTGCTACATGTTCTCTAGACAGTTTTTTAGACATTTTCTCTAGACAGACGCGAATACTCCGAAAATCTACAAAATCTTTATTTGTATAAATTTCCTCAAATATCATTTTCAGGACATTTTTCTGTCGTCTGAAGTCTTTAGATTTTGTGCGACTTGAAGTCAAATAACCTCCTTGAAGGGCCTGACTTTTGAGAAAGATAAATTTTTTTCAGAGTATCTCAAAATTTAGAATGAATAGAAGATGCTCCAAAAATTAACCCCAAAAATGGGCTTCCTCCGAAGAAATTCGCCAAGGATGCAGCCGATCGCCCAAACATCAACCGTCGGAGTGTACTTCCTTGAAAATATTCTCTTTGTTCTTTCTTGATTCAAAGTTTAAAATTGAGACCTGTAGCTGAACAACAGCTCTGGAGCTCGATACCATCTTGTCGCAACCTGTAAAATTTATTTTCCTAAAATCGGTACTGTTAATTGAAAAAACGAACTGCAAGTTCCCAGCAAAAGATCAAATATTATTTTTTCTCTTAAAAACTTTTGGAAACCTATTTTCATCAGGAATGACGAAGCTACTATTTTCGTTTAAAATTTTCGATTTTTTTTTTTGAGTAGTTGGACTAAAACTTCTTGAAAACTACATTCGAAACTCAAAAAAAAATCGGATTTAATGTTTATTGAAAAATGAATAATAGAAAAATGAAGATGGAAGCAAGAAAAAAAGAAAAAAAAACATTTCAGACTTGAAATGGTTATGTAGAGGATACATGTTTTGTTTTAACTTTGAAAAAAAGTCCAGAACTAAGAAAAATTCAAAGTTCTCGTTATCAGATGAAACATTTTGTTTTCCTTTTTCAAATTTTTCTTCAGATTTTGAGAAAATCCATCCATAATTTGAAATTTCAAGCCAATCTCAGATAATTTTTTCTAATCACCTATCAAATGGTTAAAGTTCAATCATCATCATCATCATTTTTCTATACGAATACAGTTCAAGGGCTGAAATGACGTCTAACAGAACAAATCCGAACAAGTTTACTGTAATAAAAATTAAGTTCCAACGAAAAATCAAGCGATTTTTAAGAAAAAGTCAGCTCAACAAAAAAAAAGTTCGATCGAGGACTCATTCATCAATGTGTCTTGTCGTTTTGCAGTCGTAAAAACCAGCGGAAAGCTGGGAAATCAAGCTCAAAAGACGTCTCAATCCATTTTGTACACATTTTGGCCCATCAATCTAAGACACTTGTTTCGTGCCCTTCGACACCTTGTTCTTCGACTCGGAAAGAAGCAACAAATGGGAATGATAGAGAGATGAGAGAAATATTCTTTTGGATACCAAGAAACATAATTGAGAAAAATAGAAGAAAAAGAATGGTTAAAGAGAAGAAAGTGCTGAAAAATTGGATATTATTAAGGTTCAGCTCAGAATTGTTTTCCCAAGGATAGTAATCGTTTTAATAGGACTTGGTTCATTTAAAAAAAAAAACGTAGAAACCCACATTTTCATCATATTCTCGCTTGGGGTCATTGCCCACATACAGACAGGCCTGGCCGAAATCGGCGATTTTCACCAGGTTCTGTGACGTCACCAGGACGTTCTCGGGCTTCATATCCTGGAATATCCCGATTTTTCAATCATATAAAGTAGCATACCCTATGCATCACTCCTTTCGAATGCATATAGGAAACTCCTTCGAGTAATTGAGAGTAGAACCATCTGCAAAAAATTAAAAAAATCAGAAAACTTCAGGTTCATGATTTTGAGGTCAAAAAAGGTAATTTTTTGATTCAAAATAAGTTTACCGGAGAAATTGGTCAGTTTTCGGGCGTTTTACGTCGACGATGACGTCGTGCAAAGTGTAGGGGACCTCCTCGGTGACTATAGACAGAGTTCCTCCAGCGGCGAAAACGTCGAGGTACTTCAATACCTGCGGAAAATTATGTTAAAAGACGAAAAAAAAGCGAGAATAGACGCACGCTAGAAAACTTTCAAAGGAATTTATGTTTTTTTTTTCAAATATGTATGATTTCCCGTAACCTTTTTCCAAATAAGCAGAAAGCTCGTTTAGCTTGGAAGCTAAGAGACAGAACACAAAATTTGAAATTGAAAAAAACGAAAAAAAGCTAAAATTAAATCGGAAGCCAGGAGGTGAAAAAAAGTGCGCTGGAGCACGCTTTGACAAGTGGTTAAAATAAATTTTGAACCGACTGCAATATTTTAAATTTAAATTTTTGAGACTTTCTTTTGAAGTTTTTCGCTTTTTTTTTTCAACGAACATTTGGATGTTGAAGACAACGAAGAGCGCTGAGCTCTCGGGCGACGGCCAAACGGTCGGCCGATTCCAGCAGCATTCGTTTGATCGCCACTCGTTTCTTCGTCTGAATAATTTCGAGGTTAGATCTGCAGTATCTTGAACGAACTTACGGAAACGCAGCGCGCGACAAGAACCACTCCAAACGCGCCGCGGCCAGCGACTTTTTCCAATCGGTAGCCGTCCATCCAACATTTTTACTGCCTTTTTTGAGCCATTTGTGCTGATAATCACATTAATCTAACAGAATACTTGGAGTTCAAATTGCTCGAAAGATTGAGCATTTCCGGTTTAATATTTTGAAAAAAAGGATGCAAAGATAATTTGAACCTTTCTTGAGAGTCTGTCAGTTCTACTAAATTTCTTTATTTCAATGTATTACATTTAAAAGCATGAACAGAGCCAACAGTTTATTAGAACAACGAGCAACAAAAAAAAACAGTGAAAGGGACATTGACCAATTCAAAGTGACGGAAAAGCCTCGCGCTTCCCTCTGTTTCCATGACAACGACGCGCAGTCGATAGTATTTTAAATATAGAAAATTGAAGTGTCCTATTGGAAACATAAGAAGGAGAGAAATACCGAAAAACAACGGAAAAGTTAGGAAAGTTTTACCAAGAAAATATCATTTGGAACTTCCAAGTTGACAAAATCTGACAAAAAAAAAAATGAAACTCGATAAAAATCGGAAACAAAACGCTCAAGCCATATAAAAATTGGATCGTTCAGATTAAAAATGTTTTATAAGGTGTGGACAAGCGTAAATGTGTGCAGAAAGAATGTAAAATACAGTTAATTTCTGATTTCATAAATTGATTTTCTGAATAATTATTCAAAATAGCCCCTTTTTCTTTTCCCACTTCATGAAGCTTGATACAAAAGATACCGGTCGACCGTTGAGTTATGATTTTTTATTTCCCTTTCTGAGCTTTTATCTTGGGTAAAGAAGCGTCTGCGCTCTTTGCAGTGTCTTTCGGCTTCTTCCTCGGCCTTTCAGGTCGAGAAATCTGTAATTTCCGGTCAATATAACACGTTTCTGACTCGAAATCACCGTTGCAGCGCTTCTGGAAACGTCGGCCTTCTTCCCCACAACAGATGGAAGTTGAGACTGTGATGAAGAGATCGGAATGGGTTTTCCAACGATTCGAATGTGGACAAAATGGTCCCTCCACAGAGCAGCTTCTTCGTCAAGAGCCATGTCTGTAAGTTTTACAGTTTCGGAAGCCAGTTAAAATTAGTGAGAAGTTTAGACCCACTTAAAACAAAAATTTTCACAAAACGGAAAAGAAAAATTATTGGTAAAGAATCGAACCTCCTGTCGAGACGCCATCGTAGACGGCGTTGTCCCAAGATTCCAGAAATTTGACTGCGACGTCTTCTTTATTCCTTCTGGAGCTCGACGAGGACCTGCCTCGTGCGGAGCCGTTGGTCGTGCTCCAGGTGAGCATTTCGAATAGGATTCAACACCTGTTCAGTCTGGATTTGTTGGAAGGAATGTCTGGTTGCCATAGGGACCACTGCAGGGGTTTCTTAAGGGCTCAGCTCTTTTGACCTGATTGAAGAGCAGGGAATTTTCGAAAAAGAACATTATGAAGAGAAAAAATATGTGTAGCGATTTTCAGTGTATCTTTAGTTCCATAAATCTTTTTTCGGTCCTAAAAAGACAAAACCTCCAATTTTATTTAAAAAGCCAAAAATCCCTGGTTCAAACTTTTGTCCGAGAACTAGGATCTAGATCCCATCAGGAAATCTAACCAAGTTGAGAAGTTTGAGATGAATTAACGAGTTTAATCTTGAGCGAAAATCTCCGACGTTACTCGTAATGGCTATAAAAATAACGGGCCGCCACTCGATTTGACATCGTTTTTTTTTTTTTTTTTGAAGTTTTTTTATTACTATTGAACCTTTGAAGCTACAGAGAGTCTACTTCAAATTTGGTCTATATTTTTTGAAAGAAGACCATTACGATCAGATTTATGTGGTTTTTAAAGGAGCACAGGGGAAAATTTAAAAAGGTCTCGCGACGAATTTCTGCGCCTTTATAGATAGACCTATTATAAATATACGAGAAGCGAAAAAAACTTCTTTTTCAAAGGGAATGGACCGGGAAGCCCGTCTGAAGGCCTATCAATGGGTTTCGAATACCGCCATCGCTTTCGCCGTTGTCGCTGTTTTATCGGTAAATTTTCTAGCGTTTCATAGTTCATCCACCATTGTCTTGAGATCATGTTTAATGGAGTTATTTTTCACAAAAAAAAATGAGTAAAAAAGACGTTTTTTGAAGCCAACTGAATCGATTTTTAGAGGATACATTTGCCTTTTCAGGTCTGTGTGAGCCTCCCAATGATCTGCACCTATACTTTCCAAGTTCGAAGGTTACTCAACAGCGAAATTACGGCTTGCCAGGTATATTACATTCTACCTTGATATGGAGAACATTTTTCTCTAAATTAAGAATTCCCTATCATCTTATAAAGCTTTTTCTCGCGATTCCAACGGTATACTTGCATTGGGCTAAAAATTCGGAAAATTTAAGAAAACATAATTCAAAAATCCCATTTTACCCATAGAGCAACTTTGCTGCAAACTTAACGTGTATTTAAACAAACTTTTTCCCTAGATATAACTTTTTAGATGTTGCGGAAACAGTAATAGTTCCAAAGGATAGCGTATTTCAGTGCGTTTTTAAAGGCACACGACGCCTATGTCCTTTTTTCATTTGGCACGAAAACAACCAATCTTTCAAGCCCTTCATGAATCAACTATCACTTTCAGAAAAGCGTGAAGGAGCTGTGGAGTGAGATGGAGTCGATGAGAACGAGTAACAAGACGAGACCCATCCGACAGGCTTACAAAGAAGAAAGCGGCGCTGCCGCAAGTCCGACAGCTCCTGAGACTTACCCAGCCGAAGTTGGACCTCCCAAGGAGAAGTACGAAGAAGCCACGGAAGCTCCGGCGGTTGCTGTCGCTGCAGAAGGTACAGGATGCGGGGTTCGTACAACATTTAAAACTCAAACGCCTTCATCTCCAAACTTTTCAGGGCTGCTGTCCCGGAGGCCCTGGTCCAAACGGTCTTCCAGGTAAGCCAGGAAAGCCTGGAAGACCTGGAGCGCCAGGAATGCCTGGAAATCCTGGAAAGAGCATTGTGTCGGCTCCTTGTGCTCCTCCGACACCACCACCTTGCCGTGTATGCCCGACTGGCCCACCTGGAGAAGTCGGACCCCCGGGAGAAGCTGGAGAAGCCGGTCTGCCTGGCCAACCCGGCCGCAACGGAATGGACGGCAGCGGCGGAGAACCTGGACCCAAGGGACCAGCCGGACCTCCAGGCGCCGAAGGACAACCTGGAATGATCGGAGAACCTGGACAGCCGGCGCGAGCTGATTCATCTCCGAATCCTGGAGAGCCGGGTCCACCTGGAGAGCCAGGAGTAGCTGGACCTCCCGGACCGCCTGGACTTCCCGGCAGCGACGGCTTGCCCGGAAACGCCGGACAGAAAGGTCCAAACGGCCCCGACGGTCCGCCTGGAGAAGAAGGAAACCCGGGCCCAGTCGGTCCGAGTGGAGCTGCTGGTGACAACGGCGAGAAAGGAATCTGTCCTAAGTAAGATATGGAATGATTTCCAAATAATATGAATCATTTAGGTACTGTGCGATCGACGGCGGCGTCTTCTTCGAGGACGGCACTCGGCGATGACTTTAATATTTTTTCGCGATTTTCAATAAATATTTGTTGTTTTTTTAAATTATCAACAATGACAAAAAATGTCGATAAGTGTACCATTAAATGCTTCAGATCTTCAGAAGAAATAATTAAAATGTGGAGAAAAACAGTAAAACCATGTTTTTCCAAGTCAAACGGTTGTACGGTAAGACTGACATCCGCAAGCACGGTGACGCAATCACAGATAATTAGTTTTTAGCGCGCGTAGTTAATTTTAAATATTTTAAATATTTTTCAAATTTTTGGCTTTTTTGTATGAAAGTTTTTTGCTGAGATGTTTCGATACGCACACTATGATGGAATATTTGCTTCGAACTTTTCTTGCAATTTTTTTTCGTGTTCGTTCAAATACCAAGCGAAGATTTTTTTAAACAATGACGTCTCAAGAAGATCTTCAATATTTTTTTAGATCGAAAAATGCCTTCAAGAATTTTTTTGAATTATAATTTCTCTCTATTTTGATCAAAAATTTCAATCGAGATTTTTTTTGATAATTGTAAAGTTTTCGCCCATATACTGAACTCGTCGTCGACTATTAATAATTGTTCTCATTTTCTTTGTTAGATCTTTGTTCGAATAGCAAAAGGTAGCAAATGTATTCCGATGCCCGTAGTGAGGAGTCGCGTAAAAAAAGAAGTTTTTCGATTTCTTAAAACAAATAATTCAACCTTTTTATCATTTATGTCTTCATCGCCTTGAAAAATGTTTCGAAATAGCTTGAATCGACGTGCCGAACATTCGCTTCGAAAGATACAAAATTCCTCGTAGATCTGGATCCCAGTGGCACCTGCCATCGTCCGCGTCACACATGATAAATGCGTCGAGATACTTGTTTCGCGTGGATCATGAAGCGGCTGTCTTTGTTCCTTTATTTTGCGATGTTGTTGTGGAACATTTCCTGGGGTGGAAGCTAGTCAAAAAGTAGAAACTTTGAAAAATTTGCGACTTTTTCTCAGAGTTCATTTTTCCAGTTGGTAGAAGAAGGGTATATTCAAATATTGACTTCAAAAAGGTGTTCAAATTTTTTTATTAACTGAAAATACGTGGAAGTTTTAAGATGGATACTTTTGGAGTATTTTTTCTATCCTTCAAATTTTCAATTGAATGATTTTCCGGGGATATTTGAGTGCTTTTGAGAAGAATATGAGAATTTTTTTGGAAATAATTTTTTTAGAGTACATAGGTAAAGTCGGAAAGGGAGGAAAAAGGCTCAAAAAAATTTTCCTTTTAGGGTGATGAAGGCTCTCTTTTTGCGCCATTTTCTCAACCCTTATGCAACATTTTTGCTGCCTCTGTCTTTTTCCACCATTTCTCGATCCTTCAAAGTCCCAGAAAAATGGAAGGCTCGATAAAGGGACTCTTTTTGCTGCCATTTTTGAGCCTCTCCCTTTTATCGGTCATTATCTACCATTCCGACTTCGCCAGAGAAAAGCCGTTTTCAGTGGTATTCTGAATATGAATTCTTTTATTCAGCTTCAAACGCCTTCAAAAAGAATTTTTAAACAGAAAAGTGTTATCCCTACAGTACCTCAATACCTCAGAAATCGTTCCTGAACAGATCATTGCATTTTTTCCAAAGAAGCTTCTCGGAATGATGCCTTTTGTGGAGACGAACAATTGGCAGATCTGCCAGATAGATGGCGCCGATCAGGATATTTAGACGGTGGGTATTTGGGCAAGCCGAGACGTTTTCCGAAGGGGCGGAGAGGTTCATCAGCCAAACTTGTCTCTCTCTCACTCGCTCTTGCTATTCGGCGGCCCTCTGCAGCCATCTGATCGCGATTCCGCTCGATCCTCCTCAATTATTTCCTCCTCCCGGCACCGCTGATTCCATTTATGCGGCTATCGATTGCAATCAGCCTCATTTGTGCAGCTCACTTGCTCACAACAGGTAATGAGGGTCTTTAAGTTCAATTGAGCTTCATAGATGGTCAGAACTAAGGGTTTGACTAGGGTACTGTCTGCTTGGACGTTTGCTCGATTTGAATTTTTAATCTTTTCATGGTCTTGAGTTAACAAAAACTAAAACCTTGGTCCGGATGAAGCTTAGGAGCTGTAGTATATTTTGAATTTGCAGTTAAAGTCTGCTGGTTGCCTCTTCAAGATCTTGAGTTGACTGAAGCTTTAGCTTGGCTCAAAAATAGAGATTAGGCTTTGGAGTTCTTTGGAGTCGGTTCGGCAGTACTTTTAAAAGCCTGCTGTTTGCTTTTTCAATGCCTAGAGTTTGGGATGTAGTCTCTTCAGAGGTCGCCTTGAAAAATCGAATCTACAACATTTTAACCTACTTGAAGCTCTAGAAATGATTATTTTGCCTAGATTTTGTAGTAGTTTGTTTGAAAAGCTCCTGGTTCAATTTATTTTCAGAAGTTTTTAATTTCTTGAGCTGGAGGTCTAACGGTAGATCAAAGTTATAAAGCTTAGGCGTATGAGTTGAAATATAGTCTGTCCTGGCTTAAATCAAAAGTTTCAGTTTGCTGAGTTTTCGAGAATTTTGTCAGGAGTGTTAGATACAGTAAATGTTTGTAAAGACACTGGGGAAATTCAAAAAAATTTATCATAGCGAGCTCTAGACTGCTGGTGTGTTTGAGCCTTTCGTTCATATTTCAATAGTTTTAAACGATACCTTGGCTTTTCGAAACTGTATGGTAGCTATCCGTGACTGAATCCTATTTTTGACTTTTTCGAGGGAGTTCGAGCCAGCGACCTTTTCTCCGTCTGACAAAAGCCTTGCCGACTGAGCTAAGATTCCCGATTATTTAAAGTACGTGTCCTAGCGTCCACTAAGCAGAGATCCATCATAGTCCCAGAAGAACTTTGACCTATCCTCTACAAAAAAGGAAAGCTCAAGGTTGGACGGTTGGAAAAGAGAAAAAAAAAGTCGAAGCTCCTCGGGCCAATTACGTCGACTGCGGCCCATTCAAGTCACATCCAATTTGGCGCCGTTCTTTTTCGGTCGGATGAGTTCGATCCACTCAATTTCCTTTTTCTCGGAGGCAGCAAAAGGAAAAAAAAATGAGAATGGTCTGTAATAATTGATCGAAGCTGGCTTGTGTACGTTTCATGGATGCTTTATTTCGAACAATGAAGTTTATGAATCGTTAGCGAGGAATGAACTGGTTTTTTGAAGAAAAATTGAGACGAGCTTCAAGAAAATTATAAAGGATAATGGTTTCAAATCTAAAACTACCTGGAATTATTGAAGTCGCGCGAGCAAGGTTTCGCGGCGAAAAGCCTTTTCTATTGTTAATTTAATCTCTGCGTCTTTAAAGAATCGTCATGAATCAATGATTTTTTTAATTTTGTTACTTTTGTCTTCATATAGCTGATTCACGGCTGGCTCGAGCCATCGAAAAAAAGGGTCCAGACACGATAAGAAAAGAGACAGTGACTGTTTGGTGGAGAGCGCAGACAGGCCACGTCTTTTTGCGTATCAAGCTAGTCCTGAATCGGTTATATTTCTCAGGACGTGAGAAAAGTTATTGTCGAATAATAAAGGGTTTTGAGTCGTTCAAAGGAGCATAGAAAGAGTTTTGAAAGGTTTCAAGAGCCACTTTTCTTTCAAAATTCATGCCAAGGACGATTTTCTTCTTACTTAACTATCCCGAAATTTGCTTTAAATCGAATAAAAGAACTCCAATTTGGGTTTCCTGTTCATTTTCACCTTTGACTTTGCAGTTTCCGGATGTCTTCCTGGCTATGAAGCCGAAAGGGATCGGCTCCGCGAGCATCTTGGAATCGAGTGGGTTCCGCATGGTCTCGACGCGAATAGTACGGTTTTTTTATTCATTCTTTGATTTGAATTCTCCAAATATCTTTTTTCTTCTTTTCTTTTTTCCTTTGTTTCCAGAAGTTTTCTCATAATTTTAACTCTCTAATCATCATTTCAAACATTTTCATTCGTTTCAAAGCAATTTTCGTGCGGATTATCCCTTTTTTGCATAGAAATGTGTTGTTTCAGCGGGAATTTTTTCCCTCTAATTTGCCATCCTATGAAGCTTGACGCAAAAAAAGGCGTTTCAAAACAAATGGGTCGGAGAACGGGTATTTTGCGCAATCACATCGCTTTTCTTGCGCCTCTTCCTCCCGAACAGGAATTCAAAGACTTCTGGACTTTGAAAATCTTTGGTTGTTCCGAGAAAATGAAAATCTATGGTATTTTTGATTTTGAAATTGAGAGAAAAAACGCAGGAAATTCGGAGTTTTTGATGAAATGAATAAAAATTTAGAAGCTAGTTTTTTCGTACCTAAATATTCCAATATTACTTTTTTTTTAAAAATGCATAAAACCCTTTCTGGATCGTCTAAAAAAGCATGAACGGATATCATGAAGGTCTCGAAGCGAAAAGCCGTTTTATTATCATTTTGCTTCATTTAAAAACCTCTAAACTTAACCCACCGTAGGATTTTTTTTTTTGGCAAATCAAAAATTCACCACTAACTCCCTGGCAAGGGATGTCATTTCACTTTGCTTTTGGGATATTCCTGGAAATTGGCTTGAACACTTCTTGATGACCCAGAAGAAGATTCTGAAAGCCTTCAACTTCCCAACTTTCTACTTCTCGAGAAAAGCCGCTCCAAGTTCAAAAAATCGCTCAAAATCCATAAAATGAGCTATTTTGGGTGTTTGGAACCTTTTTTTGGAGAACTAGGAAGTTGTGCAGATTGAGACTTTCAGCATCCTCTTCTGGTACATTAAGAAGTTTTCTGGCGAATTTTCAGGAAGTTTCCAACCGTGAACTAAGATGACCTTCCCTATAGGTGAACGAGGAAAATCGTTTTTTTTTTATTTGATATTCATTGCTCATATTACTGATTATTTCGAAAAAACGTCCATTCTTTTCTAGGCTGGTCAGACAAGCCGGTCCGACACTCCTCGGATTTGAACTGTGACTTCACGAATCCGGAAAGATGTCGCTGGAAAAACATGGAGGATCGTTATCGATCCGATTCTGCGGTTGGAATTTATTCTAGTTGGACCTGAGAACTCCCCAAACTTGTTCAGGACTTTCATCTTTTCGAGAAAATCGACTTCACCGAGTTTCCAGCACTGCGAGTTGGGCCGGGACCGACCAATGTTAAGCAAGGTTTTTATTTTTGATTTATAGATGGTTTTTTTGAGAGGGAAAAAAATCTTTAGAAAAATGAAGATTATTCATTTTCCTGCAGGTATCTATTGGGCTATATATTTTTCAAGTTAAATCAAGATTTTTTTGATTAAAAAAATTTCATGAGCTTCATTTTCCATACAGATAGGAACTCGTTAAAGGAATTGGAGCCGTCTAGAAAAATTAAGATTGAAATTTGAAAAATATTTTATCTCATCGTTTTTTTTTGTTATCAATCAATTTTGAATATTTTACGGTTATTTGGTACCCTTTCCTTTTTTTTCCTCTCTTACTTAAGCGCCGAAGGATTTTTTTCAAAGCTTAAGGGGGGGGCAAAAAAACAAGAAAGAAAAAGTATATATACAGTTATTCAGCATCGTTTTTCATTTTTTTCCTCTAACTTGAGCGCCGAAGAACTTTTCAAAGCTTTTTAGTCTTCATAGAATAGGAGGGAGGGGGGCGAAAAAAAGGGAAAAAAAGGGGGATGAAAAAAAGCAAGTAAGAAAAAGTATTTATACAGTTATTTAGCACCCTTTTCATTTTTTTTTTCCTCAAATTTAACCGCTCAAAGATTTTTCAAACCTTGAGCTGTTTTTTTTTCTTCTCCGAGCTGTAATATTTCAACCCGGAATTCTAGGCGATAAGATGATTTTCACGGGAGACAAGAAACGAGAAGAACAGCACACGATTTATTTCTCCTCCCCCATCAATTGCCAGAACTCGACCGGAAATTTGACCTTTCACGTGAGCTTCTCAGTCCTTCCGATAATCTGAGGAAGAAGCTCAGATACTGGGTCTACAACGGAGCCCGAGTCGAGGTGGTTCTTTTCGAGGACGACGGCCAAGGGGGCTTCAAAATGGTCTTCGATAATCCGGCCGAGGAAAAGCCTTATGTTGATTGTGGTAATTGAGAAAATTGGTTACGTTCTCAATTTTTATGTGATTCAAGGTACAATTCACCTGAATACGGAATGCCATGCAGATATCCCTCCGCGGGACAAGCCTTTCAGGTGGGCGAAGATTGAGTTATTTATTCGTTTTGGATTTATTGATTTATTTCCGCTCTAAAATAAATACACATGGTACAGAATAGACATGGAATAAAAAAATGTTATTTCGAAATATCAAGTTTCGTTTTTCGGCCAAATTTCTTTTGTCTGGAAATTCATGAAATTTTAAAATACGGCTTTATGTTGGAGAAAGGTTTATTTTTAGTTTATTTTAGACATTCAGTTTCAAAGTTTTGGCCTGGTAAAGTTGGGTAAAAATAAATAAATCGAAAGGATCTATCAGATTTAACCAATTTTCTGATTTTTTTTTCGACCGTGCTCAGAAAAAATGAGAAAATGTGTTACTGAAAAAGGTGTGAAGATAATTTAATAAAAAGATAAATTCATATCATTCGAAAGGACCAAAATGCTTTTTCTCGAAAAAGAAAATCATGTCAAATCATTGCAAAAAATCTATCGATGTAAAACTTTTCAAAAGGCAAAATTGCAATTTTTATTGCGTGCTGAACTGTTCACTTGAAAATTTTCAATGATTTCTAGTTTTTAAGGAAAAAAAAAGTTCAAAATGGACGGGACAAAAGTTTGAATTGCCGCCGAACTTGGTGGCCGGAGAATAAAATCGCTTTTTTCATCAAAAGTACTCATATCTGTGATTCCTTCATTCGATACGCAACAAGAAGACTATAAGATACTTATTTCATCTCAAAATCCGTTTCTTCACTCTCTTCTATCTTCATCCAATCAAAATTCGCAGAATCGGCATTCGCGCCTACGAAATGTCGAATCCAGACGGCTCGTTCGTCCTCATCGACAACATTTTGTACAGCGCCAGCCTGTGCAAAGTCGGAAGTGAGCAGAAGACGTCGTTCTTCTGAAATAAAAGAGTGTTCAGTCGACGTCGGCGACGACTTCCAGACGACGGGCCTGCAGACGGGCGCCACGGGTCAGCCCATCCGAACGGCTTCTGATTTGGACTGCCAGGAGTTCGACGACAGCTGTCGCTGGAGATCCGGCGGTGGAGATGTTGCCACTGTCAGATTTATCTTTTTTTTTCTATCTTTTTGAAGAAAAATTTACCAAAATGCGGAGCAACATGTACTGGAAAAAATATAGTTGTCACTTAAGAGATTTCTCAGGGAATACTTGGAGAGGACACTAAAAATACCACTATACCAACTATAGAAGCTATTATTTTTTGTCTCAGTGGCCAATAAAAGTGGTCTAGTGGTACCACGTAGACTTCTAAAGAAGCTTATAAATTTTAATCACTCAAGTGGCCATAAGCCGACTACTATAGGGCCCACTAATACGTCAAAACCCTAAAGGGACCACTAAACATTTTTCATAGCAAGCGAGAACTCTCTTCGAAGATGTGTAGTAGTAGTGACTCCTGCGTAAAAATTTTAGTTTTCGAGATATTCTTCTTCAAATTTCGCCTTTAACACAGAATTTAAGTCCAAACCTTCAAGCAACAAAGTTTTGAAAAGTATTAAGCCTAACTCTAAAGTGACCATCTTTGTAAGAGAAAATTCTGAGAATTCGATTTTTCAAAGCTGTTTCCTTTTTTCATCGACTAGGCTTTTGAAGATGTGGCGAAGGTCTGCCTCGGTTCTACCGGAAGAATCGCTTCTGAACGCGACGGGGACGGCGATGAGACCCCAGGGAGGCTACGCCAGCGTTTATATCGAGCAGGACACGAAGGTAAGAATCCAAAGAAGACGTCAAAATATGCCGATGTTCAGAAATCGATCGACGTTCTCCGATCGGACCCGATCAGCTGCCAGAGCCGCACCGAGAACACTCTGACGTTCAGGTATCAAGAAAAAAAGGACTGGACAAAAAAACCGTAAGAGGCGCTCAAAATGTGCTCTATGGATAATCTGAAACTCTGATTTTTCGGATTTTTTACAAAAGCTTCATGTTTTCTCTCATTTTTTCGCCGTGTTTTTTAACCTTTATCAATTTGGAATTATAGCAAAAATTTCATGAAAATCGAGTTTTCTTGCACGAATTCATTAATCAGAGCCTCACAGAGAACTTTCTGATAATCAGGTATCAAAAAAAAACTTGAAAAAAGAGCCACGATAAAAGCTGAAAGTGTGCTCCAAGGGGGCGCTAAAAGTGTGCTCCAATGATAATCATCAATTCGAATTTCGTTTTCACACTTTCCTCTCAATTTTTTTCAATCTATCCGCGCATGCTACCTGATTCGGAGTTTGAGAAAAAAAAACCGAAATTCTCATAAAAATCGAATTTTTTTTTCTCCAAATCCATTAATCAGTGCCACACAGAGAACATTTTAACATTCAGGTATCAAAAAAAACTTGAAAAAAGAGCCGCAATAGACGATGAAAGTATGCTCCATGGACAATCCAAAAAAAAAAACTTCTTTCACTTTTCATTAGCTTTACCTTTCAAACTATCCGAGCAAACTACCAAAGCGAGAAAAAAGCGAAATTTTCATGAAAATCTGCTTCAAATTTGCGATGGAATGGTTTGAGGCAAGCTATTCAGTCATATACTCAAAGCGCTTCTGTTGACTTGAAATCCTTCATAAAAGCCTTCCAGATTCTGGAAGTTTGGAGAAATCGAACTGGAGGCCTGCGCCGTCGACATGATGCTCAACGACATCGAGTGCTCGCCGATCCCTCAAGCGGCCTCTCCGGCGACCGTCTCCGCCTCTTTCCGCAAGGCCGCCAACAACTTCATGGTAGAGTTCGAGTGCATGGAAAACAAAAAGATTTTTTTTTCAGAATATAGAGAGAAAATGAACTTAGGACTGGCAAAATGAGAAAAATCAATGAATATCTCAACTTTAGACTTTAGAGATCGTGGTAAACCTTACCAGGAAATGGTCGCAGTGGGACTTCTGAATGAGAACAGATTTTCTAGATGTAGTTTTTCACGCTGATTCCAATTCCGGTCTCAAAAGTTGCCACCGAGGTCTGTGAAAAAAGTTATGGACCCTCAAAAGTCGAAAATCTCATGGTCTTCGATCGAGCTTATTTTTGGAGGGTATGTAGATTCTGTCCCTTTGACTTTTTCCAAAAAAATGGTTAGAGAATCCATCAAACACGTCTCGAATTCCCATGAAATGAAAAATTTGGCTTCTAGCTGACCATTAGAGTCTCGAAGTACAACGGCGACTTCGACAACATGCTGATCATCGACGACATTATCTACCGAGCAACCTTGTGCTCGGACGCCCTCTCAGTCTTCGACGTCGGCGAGCATTTTGTCTCGACCCCAATGCTCAGTCTCCTCCTCAACCGCAACGTCAACACGGCCAAAGTACAGTAGCCCCTTGTCCTACACCGAAAACCTTCGTCTCAGGACCTGTCCTGCGACTTTTCCAAGAGAGCTTCCTCCTGCATGTGGGGCGTTCTGAACGACGACGAAGATGAGCACGAGATCGCCGCGACTTCTTGGACCGTCGGCCATGGACCGCTCAATTCGGAGAAGCTTTATTCCCTCACCGGACTTACGATTGTCCCAGGTTACTGGAAGTTTTGATTTTGTTCGAAGAAATTGCGAGACGGAGCTTTTGATGCTTCAAGCAATCAGAGTTAGAAAGTTGAAGTTTGCTGGTTTCAAAAGAATATGAAAATTAGAATGAATTGTTCCTTTGAGGCCAGTTTTTAAACGAAATTTTCATTCCCAGGCATGAAAATCATGTTTTTCGCTTTATTTTTGTATGAAAAAAGCTCTCGGCTGTACATGGGAGTTCCAGAGTGGGCATTAGAGGGGTGAGGGGAAAAAGAGCCCCTATATGGGTCGCAAAGGGATCCCTATAGGGGTTTAAGGTCTGACCACTTAGCCCCTAAAGCTCAAGTGGACCCTAAAGGGGTGTCTCCATTTGATTAAAAAACGCTTATTCATTCAGTTTTTTCTCATGGAAATGCATCTTTGCTTAGAGTTCATAACAGTTATCGACTAGCATGTCTCCTAAAGGGACCACTTTTGCAAGCCTTAGTGGCCCCTATAGGGGTTGGTAAAGTGGTCCCTAAGGTTACCCCTATAGGGATCACCTTGGAGTTCCTGAAAAATCAAAAATTTCGCTTCTTGTAGGAAGCTCTGCAGAAACGATTCATTTTTCTCACAAATTTCCTTCGTTCAGACGGAGAATTCGGAGTCGCCAAGTTTGAGACGGGCGGAACGGCGATTCTTCTCTCAGAAGTTGTAAAATGCGCTTTGGACAACGTCAGCGTCACTTTCAAGCTGTGGACGACTGGAAGCGCTTCTCTTAAGGTTTGGCTGATTTTTCGCGACTTTTGCATTTGAGTCGTGTTATGACCGCCCTTTGAAAGGTATCTCACATACTTTGAAGCACTATAGTCCGTTTTTCACGTCTTCTCTGCGCCCTCCTCGTCTCTCGGCGACCCTCTCATGTTGACGTGCTATTTCCAAGTTTCTCTGTCTTCGTCGGTGAGGGAACAGAGAGACGCCGACTCGCGAAAACTGTCACGGACTACAAAAATCGGCTCCAAAACAAAAGTCGAACTTTTTTCTCCGGTTTTATCAATTTGCTTCAAAGAGATCAACTTTTCAAGGTCTATTTTTATCTTTCTTGTCAGGTTTGCCTCGTGGAAGAGTCGTCTCCGTCGCTTCTCGACTGCCAACCCGCGACTTCTGGAACCGTCCAGGTCGACCTCCCCCAGATCAAACGTCCCTTCCGGATCGCATTCCATTCCGAAGCTCCTGACCAGGGCATGGTCATTGTCGATGACGTCGTCGTTCAAGTCTGCCTCTCAGAAATTCAAAAATCAGAGAATGGTTTCAGGGAAACGTGTGTCCTCCAACTCCGGCTCGACAGTACTCATCCAAGTCCTTCCGGCCGAACTCGGAAATCCCCGATCCGAATGTCTGCCGTCTTTTGTCCTGTGATTTCCATTCTGGCCACGCTTGTCTTTATGAAGCTAGCCAAGTGGCCCATTCGGCTTATCACTCGGTGAGAAATCAATATTCTCAATTTTTTGATTTCAAGGAGATTTCAGGTGTCGCGAAACAAGGTGCAGGCATTCTTGACCCGAAGCAAAACGGTCTTCATTTTGGAATCGCCGCAGTTCCATCTCAACACCGTCGCCCGACTTCATTTCACCTACGAACTCCAGGTTTTCTGAGTATCCCGTGATGGTTTTTGACGTTTTCCTATCAGGGCGACGTCGCCTTGTTCATCTGCAATGACAGCGGCACGAAAGAGCTGGAAAGTTGCTTCAAAGTCGACGGCAAGTCCGGAGATGACTACATCGAGCTTCTCGCTAGTGATACCAAGGTATTGAGGATTGGCTTTTTTTTACACACATCTCACGAAATTTGGATATGACATTGTTATTCAAAAACCTTTTCAGGAACTCCAAAGTGGTCCCTATAGGGGTGACTTTTGTTGCCCTTGAAAATCCCCCTCTAGTGATAACTTCATCTCCCCCCATAGGGACCATTAAAGCTTGCAAAAGTGGCCCCTATAGGGGACACGGCTAGTCGTTTATTTGTAAGAACTCTATGACGCATAGCCATGCGAAAAAAGCTTGTCTTTTTATATTTCACTTCTGACCAGAAAATCAAAAGAACCCTATAGGGACCACCTAAGCGACCAGCTAAATTCTACCCCAAAGCTTTACTTTTTCCCCTGTCAGGACCGTTTTTCCTCCTAACTCCTATAGGGACCACTCTGCTGCTCCTTAATCCGGATTTTCAAATTTTCAGGTCTACTTGATCGCCAGACTCACTGAAATGGGACATTCTGGAAGCCTGAGCGTGAGCCGGATCCAGCTCACCGACACGAATGACACTCCCGTCTGCTGAGCATCCAAAACTTTTTTGAAGTTTCCAACTACCTGCCTCCCGCACCGGTCATCCTAATTTATTCTATTTATGCGAGTTATTGCCGCTCAATACCCGATTACTGGTACGAAACCGACAGCTAGAGCTTTCGGGATCCGAAAATATTCGTTATCGATTGTTATCACGTTGTTTTAAGTTATTAGTATTTCTCAATGATAAAATTAAATATTTAAAAAAAGTAGTTTGAAAGTGTTCTAAAAATATATACACTATGAGTTTTGAGTCATGGAATTTTCTGACCATGTCTAAATTTTCGTCAAATTTCCAACGCGAATTGTAACCTGACTTTTCTGCGCTCTCATTCTTTTATGAACTGGATGGATAAGAGAGCGCAGACAGGCCAGACTGTATCAATCTTTCAAAATTCCTCAATATTACTTCTCTCAGAGGTAAAATGATTTATTTAAGCAATCAACAGGCTCGACATCAGAATATGTCGAAAAGATTACACGAGTTAAGAGTTGAGACAACACCGTATAAATATAAAACGAGGAAAAAAGAGTTCCAAAGAAAATAGTTTAACTTCACAGGGAGAAACCGTTGCATCCGTAAATTCGAAAAAAGAGTTATAAAGTGAGTGGGGCAATCAGTAATATATGAAAATTATTATGAAAACAAGCATCAATAAGTTAATTTTGAAAGAGAAATCAGAGCGAGTATCGGATGTAGGGGATCTCGACGTCGTTGTCATCGTCCATAATGTTAGGGTCGGTCATCATCGGCTCGAGGACAATGTAGCGGACAGTCGGGTCGATCTTCTTCTTCGTCAACTCCTCGTAAATGCCTCGCAAGCTGAAGAAATGAGGCGATGAGAAAAATAAAGTTTACAATGAAACTCTGATCAAGGAATGTCTATATCCAGATATAGAATATTTACTTAAACACTTAGACAAAATATCTTACCAAAAAGGTCTCTGAAAGTTATTTTATCATTGAAGCTCTGTTCAGTGACCTTATCAACGATAATTCACGCTCTATATACGCCATTGAAGAACAAAAAATAATCTCAATTATAAAGACTTGAAACCGATTCAAGAAATTAATTTTCTTCTCTTAATTTTTTAAAATGTTCCCTCTACACACTAAAAACCATTATTCTAACTTTGGACTGAAACTTTTCAAGAAAGAAAGACAAAAAACCCAAAGATCACTGAAAGAATGAAAGAGAAAACTCCTCGTTTTAACTCTAGGAAAATTTTTTCTGCATCATTCCAAATCACGAGAAGACGTACTCAGTGTTGAGACGCTGCTTCTTTCTGGCCTCCGGCATGAAGAAGGCGTAGAGAAGACAGGCGCCGGCCGACACCATCGAGACGTCCAAACCGGTCGAATTCTTCAGCTCCGTGATGAACTTCTCCAGCGTGATGGGTCCAGTGATGTCGATGCGGTCCCAGAGAGTGAAGCTCTTGTCGCCGTACTGAAAAATGCTATGCTATCGCAATTCAGAAATTACTTCTTAAGACCCACTTGAGCACTTTTCCCTACATTATAATACATCCATATCATACGTGGGCTGGATCCCTGTGTTTTGGCGCGCGAAAAAAATCTCAACACGTACTGAAATAGGGCCCAGCCGACGAATGTGCCAAATTGTAAACATTATAAAATAATAAAATACAAAGGTAATTAACGAGTTCAGAAAAATTTCCTTCAATTATTTTTTCAGTAGTACAATTTCATCGAACTGCCAGACCCCTCAAAAGCTAAATTTCATAGATTTATTTGAAACGCTCCTTGGCCTTTACTTCAAACGATTACCTTCTTCTTGGGAGCCGCGATAGGTTCCGAGAATCCGAAGAAAGGCAGCGCCAGGTTGATGAATCCGTTCTTGAAGCGGTCCAGCGGAGTCTTGGGGATGCCGTTGACGTCGATAATTTTGTAGAGCTCGATGCAGACCAAGCCGGCGACAGCTGCAGTCGTCGTGGCGAGGGCCGGAATGATTCGGCCGGCAATTTGCTTCGTCTGAAAATTCTTCTTCAGCAGGGAAACTAAAAGTATGAAGTTCATCTGAATTCATTCTTCCCCTTTTGAGATTGCTCCATTCACTTATCAGAGGATTACACTTCTGACCATAAAAACTAGTTTGCTTTTTGTATACCTTCATAGAATCAGCCGCTTCGATGTCATAATTCTCAGCGCGAAGGTTGGACGCCGCCGCGACGAACTCGATGTGATGGTTGGTGTCGTCGTCCTTCTCGAAGTCGACGCCTTCCAACTTCGCCACAGACTTCACGTTCAAACGCGCCAGTTTCAGTTTCAAGGCTTCAACGACCGCGTCATCTGGAAAAAACACGCGATAAGTATTTTGCAGATAACGGCTCTCTTATGATTATATCTCTTTAACGGTCATCAATTGTTCCATTTTTGTTCTCTGTAAAGTTTTGTATGACCTCGTCTTCAAAAATCCTGTATAACTAAAATTGAAGTTCAAGAATTTTCGTTCCGTTTTCTTCATGCCTTATCTTGATATAATTTTTTTTAACTTCCAAAAAAATATATATTTTACCATCAGATCCATCAGTCAAAGCCGAGCTGTCCTGTTGCTTCGCCTCGGCGTCAGTCGTGGCGATTTTCACGCCCACCAATGGCTTGAACGCCGTCGGCACAACAGAGCTGGCGATCTAGAATAGACAGATAAATCAAAAACTGTGATAATCTTAAAACAACTTGATTTTTTCAACGTTTCACATACAAATAGTTGACTTCTCCAATACGACGGGTATAAACTGTGGCACGAGGTCTACTTAGAAAATTCCGAAACGAATCGCTGAAGAACACTTAACAAAATAATACTAAAAAGGCCTCTTCTCGGCGCTTTTTTCCACAATCTTCTTTGAATCTTACGGGCTCAGAAAAAATATCTTTTTTTCCGCTTTTTGTTCAAAATCTTTTTCTCAAAAAAACTCCATTTTTCAAAGTTCTCTTGGCATTTTTCAAGAAAAAAAAAGTGAGCATTGATTTGATTAATTTAGGATAAAGAAATAATTTTTACCGAAGCAACGTGAGCTTTGTCGAGAATGGGCTGGATTCCGTACAATTGAGCCCGAAGAATGGACGCAGCGTAGACAAAGTTGAAGTGCTCCGGCTAAAAAAAGACACTGTTTAAAGAGTCTATTACTGTATCTCCAAGCTAGAAATCTTTGAAAGCTAGAGAGAACTTTGAGACGAAAACGTCCACCCATTTATATTTTAAACGATCTATAGCTTTCTAAGATTCCGTCAAGTCATTCAGGAGCCCAAGAAAATACCTTGGAGGCGTCAAACTGCAAGACGTGCGGGCACCGTTTTGCGCCCGACCAGAACTTGGCTCCGCTGTCGGTCAGCTGATGGGGCGGGAACGAGTGGAGCATCTGGGCGATGGCGTTGTGGTAGAGGTCCTGGAACTGGTCGCGGGCCCAGCGGACGCAGTCCTCGGCGCTCGTCGGACGCTTGTCGATCAGCGTGTCTTTCACCTGGGGTTTTAAATATTATTACTGCAATTTGCATCAAGACTTCTGAATCATCTCAAAAAGGGATGAAACTTTCAAACGTCAGCTAAGTTATTCGTTATCATTTTTCACACAGTCCCAAATAAAATAAGCTAAAGCTGATTCACGACTGACTTAATCCAAAAAGGGTCCCGACACGAAAAAAGAGACAGTGTTTGGTTGGTGGAGAGCGCAGACAGTTACTCTCCCCGTCTGAGCTAGACATAAATCGGCTACTATAAAATTTAACCACGATCATTCTTCGAACTCTGCTTAAAGTTCAAATCATCCTTCACAAAACTTTTTTTTCTAGATATTTTACAAATCTTCCAGAAGATCAATCAAATTCCGTGACCCCAGAGACCTGCTGAAGAATCATGATCCTCTGGCCGATGGCCAACTTCTCGAGATGTTCGATGAAGCCGCGTTCATCCACGAGGAACTTGTTGGCCATGTCGGCCGGCTGGTTGAAGAACGACTCGAATTGCTCGCGAGCCCACTGGATCGTGTGCTGGATCTCGTTGGGGAAGTTCTTCAAGGTGCACACCGGAATCTCTTTCTCTGGTGGATCGGCCGATGAGCTGAAAAGATTCTCTTGTTTTTCGTCGCAAAAGTTTTTTGCTTGTTGTTTCCATCCGATTTTTGCCAATAAAAATCCTCTGAAAACCATTTTTACCTGTAGGACTCGGTGAGATGCGGATAGACGACTTGAGTGTTTCCCTTGGTTCCCATGGTACCAGATTCGAGAAGCGGCAGACGATAATAGACACATCTTCTGTCCATGTATCGCCCTACAAAATGAGCATTTTCGGATGAAAAACCCGCAAATTTGCACTCACGAGCATCAACATTATCCAGGGCGTTGGCCACTCCGTTGAGCTCCTCGAAAAAGTCGTCGTTGAAAATATTCTCCGTGTCGGCGCCGACTCTTTCCGCCAGAGCCTTGATATGGACATCTTTGTTGAATTGAGTCACGGCGCGGGCCGCAACTTCCGATTTCTTTTGCTAAAATTATCAAAAATCAGTCGTTTATTCTTGAAATTGGGCTTCTCAAGTTCTCAAGTGAAATGAGGTTTGAAAAAATCGTTATTCCAGCAAGACTAAATTATCTATTGGTGTTAACAGTTGTCCACCTTTTCTTGAATGATCCTCAACTAGCTATTCTCGCCACACAGTAATATAATCCCCACAAAAAAAGCTACAAAAAAAATTTTTTTTCCCAGCTTCCTTACCCCGACGTCCTTGCGACGGAACAAGAACTGACGGTTCAAGTTGCTGATCTCGATCTGGTCCATGTCGGTGATCTTTATCAGACCGCCCTCTCCGCAGGCGACGCCCATCATCGCCATGTTCTTGAGCAGTTCGCAGCCGATGGCGCCGGCTCCGACGACGAACCAACGTTGCTTGAAGAGGGCCTCCTGGTAGGGCCAGCCGAAGATGGCCGCCTGGCCGTCGTAGCGCGACTGACGAGGTTGACAATCGGCGGCGGTGAGCTTCGCGTTGTCAAAGGCGGTCCAGTCGCCGGGCAGAGCTTCCAGATGATCCAGGTAAAGGAACTGCTTGAGGGGCGTCATGTGTCGAGTGACGGCCTTCATGGCTTCCTGGGCGGCGATTCCTCCGACCACCGATGCAACGGTGACGAGATTTCCGCTGGCCTGAAATTGGAGTGTTTAACAAGGGTCAACCGGAGTATTGATGGAGTCAAAACCACTTAGGAGCTCCAGAGTGGCAACCTTAGGGACCCTCGAAGGCTCCCACTTAGGGACCACCGTACCTTACTTTGAAGGGCCACTTTGGCAAGCTTTAGTTCCCCCTATAGGGTCATCCGTTCGTGAGCCCTATAGGGGGGGAGGGGGGCATACTAGGGGTTTTAGGCCTCATTAAATTGAAAAATATCAACACAGAAAAATTAATCAAGTTTTCCTTTTTAACTTTCAAATCACTTATTGAACTTTATCCCTATAGCAGTCACTATTTTGTTCCCTACACGGGGGCTATTTTTCCCCTAACCCCTCAGGGACCACTGGCGTTCCTAAACGATAAATATATCAGAATTAAATTTAAGGGTCTTTGAGTTAATTTTCCAGGTGGATGATTCTTTTCCCATTCTCACCTGGTAGGAGAAGAGCTGGACGAGCTTATCCTCGACTTCAGCTCCCGGACGCAACTCGGCCTTCAACAGAGCGGCGTCTTCGTCGGAGCGAGGCGCAGGTCGACGGCCGTGTTTCTTCTCGAAAGAGTAGAGGGCAGCCCAGAGAGCGTGCAGCTTGTCGGGATAGTCAAACTTGGCGAAATCCCAAATCGCGTGCTCGGGCTCCTTGATGGAATCTTCCAGGGATTTGAACGAGATCGTCGATGGCAGCTATAATCTTGAGGCTATAAAACATCAAGAGACCAGTAACGGCCTGGAGAGACACCAGATAAAGGGATATTCATACTTTTGCAGGGAGTCTATTTAGGCCCAATCTGCCCTTTTACTTCTTCCCTTCGAATCAGGATGCAGAGAGAAACTACGGCCACGATAGGCACTAGAGAAAAAGAAATCTCTGCTTCTCTAACGTTTCTTCAAACCAAAGTTGCTCTCTATTTTTTCATTGTGTCGGGAAAACGCAAAAAAGTGATAGATTGAGGTAACCGGCGACCTTCCAAAGAAAGAAAAACACTATATTTCTCTGTCGTCTCTTCAGACAGTCGTTGATCTCTAAAATCACCTTGACTTGTTTGGCGCGACCTCCTTCCAGGTACTCTCCAAATCCAGCGGCCGCATTTCCAATGTTGAAGATGTAAGGATCTGAAATTCGACTAAAAATTCCGGAAAGACAACGAGAAAACCGCACTTTTTCACGGTGATCTTGAGGGGCTGGCAGCCGTTGAGCTCGTCCATGCCCTTGACTTCGGAGAACGTGACGAAATCGCCGTCTTCGAGGCCGTGGAAGAGGTTCTCGAGGGTGGTGACGTCACCCGTGTCGCGGTCGACGTGTTCGATGAGGAACTCGCGGACTTGCTCTCCATTCCGGTCGTCGATGACGTGTTTCTCGCCGAGGTCTACGAAAATGTAGGAGAAGAGACCGCGGGCGTCGGCCACCAGCAGTTTCCGTCCGTGGACTCGAGCCCATTTCGACAAAGTAAGCTGCTCGGCTCGGTTCGTGTCAGTCAGGATGATCAACTGCAACTTTTTTTTCTGATGAGCAAAAGTTTCTGAAAAATCTAGGATTTTGTTCAAAAGGATAAAAATGATAAAAAGGTGAAATAAAAATGAGAAAATTCATTGAAAAAAGGGAATAATTATTTTCAAAAGTAAGGCCGTTCAAAATTAGAGTAAAAAGCGAAGTTTACCACCTATTGAATCACAATTCCTTTTGGTGTTGGTTTTAAAAACACAGAAGAAAGATAGCTACCGTCGACACAGCTTTTTTTTGAATTTTTTTCTTAACAAAAGTACAGAAAAGACAAAAAAGAAAGGTCTTGAAGCGAAATTTGGCCTAATTTTGTATACGGTCTTTTTTGCATAACACGGGACAATCTAACGCTCGGACGGGATGTGAAAATCTCAGTGTTTACTACGAGCTGTTTTTCTGTTGAAAATCTAGTAATTTCTGTTTCAAGCTAGCCCTTAATGGGGTAGCCCATAAATGAAACCAGCTCCTTTTCTTCATTCGATATGGGTGAACAAGCTCTTGGAAACCGCCGGGAAGTACTTTTTCTGGTACGATTTTCTAAACCAAATCCGACAAAAAAGTACATCAGTCTCGGTGACGTCCTTCTCGGTGAGCTCAGCAGTCTTGAGGCCGACGTTGACCGTGTCGTTGAGTTCGGCGAGCCGCTGTCGACAAGCCGCCGCGCGGTTTTCTCCGAGGTTTTCCTTGGTCAAGTAATATTGAGCCGAGAGATCATGCCATTCGGCGGCGCGAGTGTCGTGAAGGGTCACATTACGGACTCCTGAAAAATTCAAAAATTTGAAAAAGAAAAGTCAGCTTTCTAAATAACGTTCTGCCACGAGCTTCTCATTTTCTATTCAGTCTTCAGAAAAGATTCTCTGTTGAATCATGGAATAAGAATTTTCTGACAAGCTTCTGAGAAAGTAAAACATTGAAATTTTGAAAATCTCCCGTCTTTCAAAGCTTCTGTATTAAAAATCTACTTTGATTGAAAATGATTCATCTTCTGTTGAAAAAGCTTTTTGAAACTACAGAAAAACGTGCTTTATTCCCCTGGCTCTAAAAATTCAAGTTTGAAAAAAGATGAACCTCCAAGGATGAGATTTTTGGCGATTTCGACGCCGACTGATCCAAGACCCGAGATGAGCACAGAGGCGTGGCGCAGGTTCAACATGGCCGATTCTCCGAGGGCATAGCTGGAAAATCAAAAATTTAACATTGACTTTATCGATTTCTATCTAGAATTTTCTCAGTTGCTTGAAGAAATATAGAAATTTTCAGAAATCTGTCAAGGCAAAAAGCCATTTTTTGTATTATTTCCGATTATAGTCAATGTTTCCCGACTTGAAAGGCGAGGGAGGCGTGGCAAGGGGCGGGACGCGTAGCGTGTGCGTACGCGGTTCTTGGCACGTGTTCAATTCAACCGCTAGCGAGCATTCAGAGAGCTTATTTATTGCTCTTTTCACTTGTTTTTTAATTATTTATTGATTATGTTCATGTGTGCATCAAAAAAATAGAAGAAAAATACAGAAAAAAAGAGCGGTGGCCGAGCTTTTTAAATAGTCGGCGGCGATTGAATTGAACTGGCGCCAAGAACCGCGAACGCACACGCTACGCGTCCCGCCCCTTGCCCCGCCTCCCTCGCCTTTCAAGTCGGGAAACATTGACTATATAAGCGCCAACAATTTCACAAGTAAGTTTTTTTGAGAAAAAAACGTCTTATAATGAGAATTAATATTTAACTTATATAAGACCGAATAGAGGAAATATTCGAAAAACAAATTTCGAGACAAATTTACTGAAGAAATTTTTTAAAATCCAGAACCTCAAAAACTAATCTTTCAAACTTCGCGAAATTAACAAAACTTCCTAGAAAAAAATCATTCAAAGACAACGAATTTTCAAATGTCTTTTTCGAAACTCCTAATAAAAATTTAAAAAAATGCCCGCCTCATGAAAAAAATTCGAAAGATTTAACAAAAATTTCCTCACAAAATGCTGAAAAAAAAACACACAAAAATCTTATCAAGCCTTTTATAAAAAAATCTAAAACACAAATCCATCCACATTTTAAAAACTTACATCTGTCGAGAGTAGAGATCCTTGTCGATGGCATCGTCCGTACCGTTGGAATTGCCGTTTTTCGCGTTATTTTGCGCCATTTTCGCCTTGTCGTTGTTGTTATCGCCCTTCGTCGTCTGATTGAGTGATTCGACGCCTTCCTGAGAAAAAAAATGCAATTAAAAATAATCAAAGAAAAAAAAACTAGATAACTCAACCTTATTTTAAAAAATGGCTACATCTTTTCAACAGTTTCTATGTGGATATATGACTCTAAGAAGAATCTCTCGACTCAATCATTCTTTAGCGTATAATAAATTTGGAAAAAGTCCCAAGAAATAAAAAAATTTGTTTCACTATTACTTTTTCGGAAAAATCTCGAACTATTGCCGTTTTCGAAGGAATTCGGGCGACTTCAAAATTGACGCGTTATTCGTTAAAATGATTTTGCAAAACAAGCAAAGTTGAAACTTCGGAAGCTGTTAAAAAAAAATTGGGATCATCGAAAATGAGTCCTTACACAATAATAAAAAAGAGAGTGCCCGTTTGGTGGACAAGACACGCCTCTTAGCGTCCCAAGCTAGCCGTGTACCTTTACGCGCGAAACTCCAACTTTTGAATTTATTAGGGCATTGTGTAACGAAAAATTAAAATTCACGCGTAGTGGCCCGTGGTATATCGTTGTGAGATCTAATTTTTTACGGCTTCCAGAATTTCCAAGCTTTCGTGGAATCGCCTAAAGATGCTCTATGTTATGATTTACCCAGTCACTGAGAAAATTTCCGAGTTTTTCGGTTTTTTCCTAAAGAAGATAGTCCATAGATACACCGTCATTAATAGATCTCTAATTTCAACCTAACCCACAGAAAACGGTATATTCTCAACGCTAAAGCCCTCAAAAGTCCCAATTTCTCGAAAAAACAAAGTAAATGTTGATAATAAGAAAATGATGACAAAAGACACGAATATCCGTGACAGCTGAGCTTGGTGCAAAAAAACTCATTTCGTAACTGGAGAGAGAGAGAAAAAGAGGAAAAGCGCCAACCGCAAAACTAACAACTGACAAAAACAATGACCTCGTCAGACACACAAAAGCAGGGAGGCGATTAAACAAACACTACAGTTTCCGAGACTTTATTTAAAGCAAGATAATGAAGATTTTCAATGAGATTTTCATCTTGAAAAGTTGGAAGTTGTAGAGAAAAGCAAATTTGAGGATCTTTATTTGATTATTTCTCGGCTAATAACTTTTTTTAAAATGTGACATTCTAGGTAAAAATCTAGGTTATCCGTATAAGGATTTTCACATTCTCTCTCTCTCATAATAATAATAATAATAAAAATAGATACGATATTTTTTTTCGTGTGAAAAAAATGAATGAATTAATGCCACGTTTCAAAATGATATACGAATCTCGTTTGAAAATTTTTCGCCAAAAATTTTCACGTTTTGTGAAAAATGAACCTGGATTAACGGAAATTTTGCAAAGAATTTGATAATTTTGAAACCCCCTCCCTCCTCTCTTCAAAATATACTGTTTTAACCAGTTGAACCGGGAAATTAAAGCTTCTATATTCCATGTCAAACCATATTAAAATTTAAAAATTTAGACGATAAATCTCATAAAAAATAATTTTTTGACAACGAACCTTCAAAAATAGCAAAATATTGCCATCTGACACGTATTTCCTGTACATAGGACTAGTAACAAATATCGAAGAATTTAGGAGAACGGTCCCATTTTCGGAATAAACCCATGAGGACAGCCTCAGAGTGCCAAACGGACATTGAAAAAAAAAAACTTTCGGCTATCTTTTGTCGCATAGCAACGATGCCTACACGCAACAAAGGTTATCACAAAACGCCTAATTAATCGCGATTGTCTGAATTACGGTAGGGAGGTCGGATGAGATCATGTACATCATGTTGTCTATTCAGGAAGGCGCGATGACGTTTTTGGAAGCGAAAAATAAGATTTGAGAAAGTTTTTGAGGCAAAAATATGGTTACCGTGAGACGTTGAAAAATTAAAGTTTGCAGATAGAACTTATTATAAAGACTATATTCACTGAACACAAATTTTCCCGCTTATCCAAAATCTGGGCTTGAAAAGTCGCCAAAAAGCTAGTATATGATCATTTCAAACCTAGCTCGAAACGAGTTTTTGACCTCCATTTTGAAATTATGGTCACATTTTTATTCACGAAATTCAATTTTAAAAAAAGAAAACCACTTAAAGTTAAAGTAAAAATCCAGCCAGCAGCATAAAAAAATTGTTTCATCCAATAAACTCGTTTTGCTTTCAAAGATAAACAGCGCAAAAATTTAATTACAGACAACCTTGGCCATTATTTTTTGATTCAGAATAAACGCCAATAAACTTTATATCTTTGAAAAGTCAGATAAAAAGCTTTTCCCAAAGAAATATACCACGGCGGATGAGCAGCGATTTCCGCGTTCGGCAAATATTTTATTTTGGAACAAAAATGGGTCAGTTCCTATTTTTCGTCAATAGGCCCAACATGATTCTCTGAAAATTGAGAATGAGCAAAGGCAGCATTTAAAAAAAGAAAAAAAAAAAAACAATCAAATTAAAAAAATCGCTGAATAAGTTGTCTGCATTCTTGAGCGTTTGCATCACTTAAAATTGATAAAAAGGTCATTTTCGTAAATGCGTCAATTATTCCTTCCCAAGAAGTACGAAAAGGGAGGGACGTGGGAAAAAGAGAAAGATAGGAAAGTTAGTTTTAAAAATTAACATTCCTTCCAAGTTTCCTATAATTTCGTCTCGAAAATGAATCTCTTGGTGAAATTTTATTTTGAAGTATCTAGATCGATTTCATCATAATCACCCCTTCCATATAAAATTGCAAATTTCTTATTTACGAAAAAAATTTTGGAAAAATTGCTGAATTTCCTCATGGTTTTTTTTTCAAACATACATCGGCTGGATCCCACCCCGATGTGCGGGCATTATTTTTTTTTTAATTTCAAAAATTGCTGAATTCCATAAACAGTCCAGCGTTTTATATCACAACAAAAATCCCACAGAAGATCAAAAAGCTTGAGAAAAATTACAAGAAGCTCAAAAAAACTCGGTAATCACTCTGAAAGCGCTTTTAACAAATTTTTGGAAGAAAAACTTTTCTATTTCGGAAAAATCAAAATTTTTCCTTTCATAGGAAAAAAATATTGATCCAAGGTTCTCTTAATATCATTTCATTATCTCAAATTTGAGGTCCTCAGATTTATTTCAAGTCTCTGGTCGTTTTTTTTTTTAAATGAGATTTCCGAATTTCTCGAGAAACTCGAAAAAAGTCCACCTGATATTATTGTAACTGAAAGTCTTCTTCATTTTTCTTCAAAAAAACTTCTTCTTTTCTGAAGTTCTCTCCCTGATAAAATAAGGATATATTTCACCTGTTGATTGCCGGCGACCTCGACAATCTCCGTTCGGACCTTCTTCGTTGGTGGGGGCGCGAAAGAATCGGACGACGAAGTGTTCTCCAACACACTAGTCATAAAGAAACCGCTGCAAAATATTCTCTTCAATATAAGTTCCCCTGAAGGTTTTTTGAGCCTGAACCTTTCAAAAAACCGACCAATACCAAAACGAGTACATGTTAGTTGTTAGTAGTGATGCAAACTAATAGACTGGTTAGTTTTTATTAGTTAGAAATAATAGTAGCAAAATAAAAAGACTAAGTAGAGAGGGAAAAGCGATTATTCAAAAAAGCCTTCTCGATAATTCTTGCTGTGGTTGAGAATGTTAGAGTGATCCATCATCTAGATTAAAAATTCAGAGTGCCTATGATCCAAAAAAACCTTTTTTTGAAAACAACTCGATGCTCCTTTTAAACATCTAGGGTTATTATTCAAAAAAATACTAAGAAAGGGAAAAAAGAAAAGGGAAAAAGTTCACTCAAAGTGATTTTTTTATTTTTGAAGTGAGCTAGTGGAAACGAAAAAAAGTTGGATTAGATCGAATTCAACAAAAATTCCTATAGTCATAATCTAAACCTTCTGATAGGAATGTTAACAAAAATGGTAGAAGCATATAAATTTGATCCTTTTTTGGAGTTAATTTCTGTTCCGATAACTAATCTGATACACCAATTTACATGTTAATAAAAGCAAGAGGCGAGAAAAAAAAACATTTTCTACTGGCAAAATCCTTCAGAACAGACAACTTCCTAACTTTGAAAAAATTCTAGCGCGTATAGCGAACAGAATAATTTTTTTGGGACATTTTCTATTGAAAAAAATAAAGTTCAAAAATATTCTTCGAATTCAAGTTACACTGCCTTTTCATCGAAATTCTCACTAGTACTCACAAGGTTATGACAGGGTTACAGTACTGAATTCAATACCCTTTTTACCAGAAAAAGATGAAAATCAGGGAATAAAAAAGCCATAATATGGAAGAAAAACTAAAGAGCATTCGCATGGATTCCCGCACACCATTTTCCCGAGTCAAAAGACCTCTGACCTGCTCGGATCGACAGCAGCCGTTGAGCAGGTACTTAACGTAGCCGCGGGGAAAGTTCCACGACTAGTTAGGCACAAGCGCAAGCTGTCAAAAAAACCCGCCAAGGAGTTCGAAAGTTGCTCTAACGACGTGAAGTCGGTGGTGGTTTTCTGCTTTCGCAGACTCTGCAGCGGATCATTATTCACGAACGTTTATTCATCAAAACGAGTATGCTTATAGGGGACAGTCAGATTTGAAAATGTGGGTGATTGGACTTTTTGGAATGAAAAACTGGCCGAGGATTCACAGACGTTTGAGAATCAATAATCTTGCTAAATAGGATTGTGAAACACCGTCAAAAGAACCGAAACTTAGACTTTCGTTGGAAATTCACCATGTAAAAATTTAAAAAAACAAAAGGGTAAAAAGTATTAAAGTCTTTTTTTAAAAATTCCCTACTGTGGTTTTTTTAAATGGGCACTGTTTCATAGAAAGAACATTCGAGACGAAGAGCCACGTCATATTTTATTCCAGACAATGCGAAAGTGCTGCGCATTTAAACTCCACAGCAAGGATTTTCAAACATCAATCAATCGTTTTTAAAAATGCTTAATGACGAGGTGGATTCCTAGACTTGCCGGAACTTCCTTTCTAAACAAACGATTTCCTCAAAAACCGCCTAAAAGGTCGCTGTGAATTCAAGACACCTAGTGCTCAAAATGACTAGATATATGGAATATTATCAAAAAGATTTCCAAAAAACTGAAAGAGCCTTCAAAACGAAAAATTTTGAAATCTTGCGAGAAAATTGTCAATGGCGCGCACATACGAAGTTTCTCGAAAATGAAAACCCCTGAAGTCATCACTACGTTTTTAAAGATGTTTCACAGGCTTTCGTAACTTTCAGAGTGCCATATAAGGTCTCAATGATTTTTAAGACATTTACGTTCTGAATTGAAAAAATCTCAGAATTTCGAGTAACGGAAAAAAAAAATAAAATTAATCAATTTGTTTGACTACGCTTCGACAAGAAATGACTAATCTGTGATCCGTGATCATCAGTGTTTATCGATTGAAAAAAAGCTTCAAAACAAGATCAAGCATGAGTTTTTAAAGAACGAGGTCCAAAACTTTGATAAATATCGTATTTCGCAACGAATTGAAATCTCTACTGGCTACTTTAAAAAAAAATTTTAAAAGCTACGTGATAAAAATAGCTTTTTCACGTTTCAAAAGTGAAGATATTTCACAAAAACTCTTCCAGCAGCGCAAAAAAGCGAAAAGTCTGAGTTCTGCACATAAAAGTTGGCAAAGAGTCCAGCGAAAAGTTCACAAAAACTGAAAAAATGAAGAAATCTTGCAGCGAATAAACGTTGTCGAATTGACGTGGCTCCAGTTTTCAAAAAAATAATCGAATAAAGACAAAGTTCCAAAGCTGATTTCAGATAATTTTTTTAAACTCGGCGCCAAAATAACTTTGCTCTACTCGAATTCGCGCGCTTTAAAGAAAAAAATTCCCTCTTTCTTCTGACCTTTATCAACTTTTCAAACTTGATTTCCACAGTAGTGAAGGAATCACGTGTTCCAATCATAAAGCCGATGAAAAATCGACTTCTCAATCTTCAAAAATAAATTTTCACGAAGTAAACGAAAGAACTCTCGAAAACAGGTTAATCGAAATGATTCATGTAAAGACAGAGCTAACAAGCAAATAAAAAAACCCAGTCACTCGGAATGAAACAGAAAAGAAAACAATAAACTGTGTATAAACGAGGTTCTAGACAACATAACTTAATAGATGGGAACAGACGAGTAACACAACTTGATGAATAGTTAGGGTAAGGAGGTTTATAGTTTGGAGTTGACCACGCCTAGTCAGCCCTGGACGAAGTGCCACTTGTCGACGTCTTCGGGGAGCGACGCCTCGGCGCCGTGCTCCGGATGAGAGGCGAGGGCGACGTTGGCCGCGTCGTCCGTCGCCTGGTGGGCCGCTTCAACCACACGGCTCACACTGAAAAATATTTAAATTCTGAATATTTTCTTTTAAAAAACTGCAATCTCTACTTCGATTCAGGGGTTTGCTCTATTTTATGACTTTTTTAAATGCGGTGCTCAAAAACCTTCCGTCTCGACCCCATCAAAATCTATTGAGAAAAAAAAACGAACGTGTTGAGTTCAGGCGTCGCCTCCTTGATGAGCTTCTGCCAGAAGAGCGCAGTTTCGTCGATGACTTTCAGGGCGTATTCGCGATTCTTAAACTCGCCGTTGAAGGCGAACTCGTTGGCTGGCTTTCCAGCCGGAATCTTGTACAAACGGAACCATTCGACCGTCGCCTAAAAAAAAAAGAAACTTATTTTGGCTTGTCGTTCTATAGAATTTCGCATGGAAAGTAGGAAAGTATGGCATGAACTGAAAATGAACAAAATTTTGAAAAATCTCAAGATTTCTTCTGTGGATTTCGCTTTCATGTACGTTGTCCCTTCTTTTTTTTCGAATTTTACTCGATAATAAATGATTATACGGCAAAGTTCAACCGATCACGGAAAAAGGCACAAAAAAGAACAATATAGGGCTCTTTTTCAGTTCCTGAATAGGTGTCAAGTTTTTCTGAATCTTCTTTTTTTTGCATTTTTTCCGCCTCCTTTTTTTTTCCTAATAAGGTCCTTTTCCGAAAAAGGTCAAAAATAGAGAATGTGAGGCCTTTTAGAGGTCTTTCTTTTCGAAGAATTTCCGATTATAAATGCACAAAACCCACCGCCAGAAGGCCTGGGAAGACTCTTTCGACGTCGGTGATGTCGCTCAGCTCGGCGGCGGCCGGGTCGTTGACGTCGATCGTCACGATTTTCCAGTCGGTCTCCCCTTCGTCGATCAGCGCCAAGGTGCCGAGGACCTTCACTTGAAGGACAGCTCCTCGTTTCGCAACCTGAAAGGTGTTGTTCGAAAGAGATTAGAACTATAATAAAAAAAAGTTTGAAACACGAATATTTTCATCGAAAGTCTACTAATCACAGCTTCAACAAGGTTTTATGTATACCTTTGATCCGATTTCGATAACGTCAAGCGGATCGTTGTCGCCCTTGGCACCCGTGTCAGGAACAATGTGGTTCGGATCTTCCCAGGTCTTAAAATAATAATTTGAAAAATAATCCAACTTTTTTTGAAATCATGTCATTTCGCGTAGTTCACGATGAGTTAAAAGTAATTATCGTGAAATTCAAAATTATCTCTGGCTCTCCGAAATTGAGTTATCTTTTACACTCTCTGCTTTTCCAAATAGCGCGGAATCATTTTGAAAAGGCATATTTCTTTACAAAAGGGCTATTATCAGCGATTTTCAACTCTGGCTAAATTTGGGTATTCCATGAATTTTACGCGAAAAATTATATCTTCAAACTTTTTGAAAAGTACATCTACTACTCTTAAATCGAGTAAAGACTTTTCGACACAAAATTACACGAAAAAATTCAAATATTATTGTATGTTTCTTACTGATAGAATCTAAAAAAATTATGAAACTATCTCCTAAAAAAATATTCTGTATTCAAGCAGTACACAAAAAAAAAAATAAATCGAACAATTTTTAAAAACGAACCTGAGGGAAAGCTCCATAGTTCCAGATGTACCCCTTGTGGGGGAAAAATATTATGCACAAATCGAGCTTTTCCCTTCTTTTCGTCCTGCTTAATCGGACTGAAGGCTTCCTTGGTGGCCATCTGAAGATACAAACTTTTAAGAGATCAACAGAATATTAATGACCTCCATCTTGGCATTGGTCCACCGGGGGATTTCAACAATCATGTTGAAAATTTGGTTTTCCTTGTCAGCAAAGAGCGGAATGTCATGCCATGGCGAAATGATGCCTTCCGGACCCTCTGAAAAAGTTATATCGATTGAAAAATCACGGGTTGACAGGATAAGTTCCAAATTTTCGTTCTCATTCTTTTTTTTCTCTCTATTACTTTTTTTCGCAAGAAACTTCTATATGAACACTGAAATTTTCAGGGCTAATGTTTAATGTTCAAAAAAATTTTAAAAACCAAAAATTTCGAATCTTCAGTTACAGATTTCTATCAAAATTAAACACAGGAAGTCTTAAATTTCTTTTCAAAAGTTTGAATTCTAACAGATTTTAAGCTTTTTCGTATAAAAAAATTATCGACAAGACATCACGAAAAAAATTTTTTTTTGCAAATTTTTTTCTCCATTTTTTTATTAATTTTTTTCTCGGTTTTCCACAAGATTTTCCGCTTTTTCCATGTACCCATAACACGTACTGAAGTAAAGTCGGTAGTCCAAGCTGTAGAGGGAGCCTCTCTCCACAATTTCGTAGACGGGGTAACCAGTTGAAGACATTGTTCGGGCTGCTGAACTCGAAACGACGATCGGCGCTTCCTCGGGCGTGTTCGGCCTGCAAGGAAGTCAAATTCAGTTCAACGAATTGAAAAAAGCGCAACGTAAAAGAAAAATACAAACTTGAAAAAAGCAATGCGTAGACATGACAAACAGATAAGATGGAGCAAACGCGACTAAATATAGGAAAAGCGGTAAATCAATTATTGTAAGCGACTGTCAAAATTTTCCTCATTGGATGTTTTTCGTTGTAAATTCATTGAAAGGTGTATGAAGATTATAAGGAAAGTTTCATAAAGAGCCTAAAACGAAAAGCAATTCCCAGTGTTATGTCAAGACACAGGAGATTCTAATTAGTTCTTCTGACCAGACTAGACTCAAAAATGGCTCAAAAGGAACACAAGGCCACAATTTCGCGACCTACTTTTCGCCTTGTAAGGTGCGAGAGGGCCGAGAATGGGAGATTGGCGAGGTGTCGGTCAAAATCTTTCATACAAACTTTATTTCCAATCAAGCTTGTTTAATTATGTATAATCAGTATCGAAATTGTTAGAAATATTAATGCGACGTCAAGAACTCAAAAAGCCTTTGCAATAAAATAGTTTGATTTTGGAAAATTTATTTGAAAATAAAAACCCGTTTTGAGGTTTTTGAAAGGTATTGAAACCTCTTCTCCGAAATTCTACATGTAAAAAGTCTCGATTATCCTATGTATGAGAACGAAACAAAAATTATCCAATCACATTCCAACAAGAAATAAGGAAACTTTTGACAATCAGCAATTCGAAAAACTGCTCGCCTAGAGAAGGAAGGATATGCGGAAGACCTGGGCAGTGGAGCAGCCAAGGCGAAACAAACTATTCTGAACTCGACTCTTATTTACTAGGGCTGTGTCGAAACAGACGCCTATTGCGTCAGATTTCAACTAACAACGCAAAAATGATGCCAATCCTGAGCAAGAGCCACAATCGCAACGAGAGGAACGGAAGAAGAGGACGTCGTCGCATGAGTGGCTCCTTCCTTCCTGTTGATTTCAGCTCATAAAGAGAACGGCGGACGAGAAAAAAAAAGAGACGAAACAACAAACAGAAACGCCCTCCGTGAGAGATAACGCAAAACACGGAGGCGTGGAATGGAACAGCGAAAAGCGAGAATAGAAGTATGCAAGCATGAGCAAATAGTTAACTTATTTGTTTTCGGAAAATTTGAAATTCTAAAGCGTATAAAAAGCTTTTTTTGGACTTTCCACTTAAAATGCTTGTTTTACGAATTTAGTTTGACCATAAAGCTTAAAATTTGATCTTTAGTTCAATCATTGCCAAATTAAGACAAAAATTCAATAGGATTTCACACTATTAGCGATAACAAAAGATTTAGAGCTTTTCGTAGTGTTTTCGTCCCGAAATAGCTGTTATTAGAGTAGTGAGCTGTTAGAACACAAACTCGAACCAAAAATATCACAGCTCACTCAGAAAATGATTGACAGAAGGCCTCTCCTCTAATCAAAAATCAATGCTAGGGTTCAGTTCGTCAGTCAAAATTTCGGTCCAAGAAAAATTCAATCTCATAATTTCAGTCAATGTCACCTTATTCATACTAATTGGAGCGCTTTTCCTAAAGTCATACCTTTTCTGGTTGAAGCATGATCCGCAAAATAACCACATGACGAAGAAGATGAGACTCCGCGGAATGAATTTGGGTAGATCTCACGTTGTACATTTTACGCTATCTTTGACATTTTTGATAATCGAAGACGTTTCGAAGTTTCCGGACGCGGTTAAAGACTTCGAATCTGCTTTGAAAATATTTTGACAGATTTCGAAAGTTAAGAAAATCTTTCAGAAAAACTTTTGCTAATTGAAAAGCTATTTTAACAATACATTTTATATTTGTAACCCTATTTTTGATGAGTGGTATAGTTATTTTAACTAACTATTTGAGAAAAACACAGCGGTTTCAAAACATTTAATGATGAAGGTCATAGCCGGCTCGCTCTGAATTGAGAAAAAAAATTCGCGCAAAAAATTCCTTTTCGGGAGCTAACGTTCCTACAAATTCGAAGGTTACTACGGAAAAAATTCTCAAGAAGTGCAATAAGAAAAGCCAGCGCTGAATGTACTGTAGAAGGATTGACCTTGAGTGCTTGTTGCGAAGTTGCTGCTGCTGTACGTCGTGGCTTTTGGCGAGAAGAGTAGGACTTCCGACGACAGGAGCCGTCGTCTGCTGGGAGAACGAATTGCTAGAAATACTCTGCGGACCTTCCACCGATCCGCCCGTCTCCGAAAGGGCCTTATTGGCGACAGGAGTCTGTTTGGCGGGTGAGGCGACGACGTTTTGCTCCTTCTCGGTGGCCGGCAGGACGGTCGATCCACCGCAGCCCATGGAGCTGGAGGAGGCGAAGGCTGAGCAGCACCGACGAGCTTGCAAGTTGGCTGAACGGGATAGCGCCGCCGATTTCGCCAAAACGGCCACGCAGGAAGCCTTGCCCTGCCGCCAGTTGTTATGGGCGATGAGGGAGATGATAGCGGTCGCCGGCACCCGTCCAAGCATCATCACCTGTGCATAATCCCTCCAACTTAGGGTGAAACATGGAAAACCGAAAAATCCCTCTCAAAGCAGCCTACTACATGAAAATTCTTTTAGAAACCTAGCTTTAGCTCTCTAGATAGTTATTGATTAGCAAATTAGACGAAAAAGGAAGATGATATGATGTTTTCCTAGTCTCATCCGTTGCTATGCCTACGCCTAAGCTTTCAATTGCCGCTTGGGCATTAGAAGCGTCACGCGATAAAGATTAAAATTATGACGAAAACCGATTAACCAAAATACACTCCATTCCCCGCTAGCTCGGAACAAAATGATAAAATTCTTTTCGCAAATCTTTCCGTAATAATGTGATAGATCTATTTGAAAAAAATTTTGAGGACCAGCCGTGATGAGAAATTGAAAAAAATATTTTTTTTTCTGGAAAGTTTTAAAAAAATAATACTAGACACTCAAAAAAAGGAACGAAAAAAGAGTGATTCGAAGAGAGTTTAAAAAAATTCCAATCAGATAAAATGATAGAGAGTAAAAAAAGGCTTGAAAGAAATATTTAAAATTAATTTATCACCAGTTTGGGATGCTTTTTTTCAAAAAAATAATACATATAACAGAATAAAAAAAGATCTTGAGCTGAACTTTTTTTACCCTTTTTGAAGTGAAGCTATTTCTTGGTAGCTTTCTCAAAAATGTTAGTGAAAAAGAAGTCAAATTAATAGAAAAAAACAATATTAATTTAAAAAAAGTTCAAAGTTCAAGATTTTAGGATTTTTAATTTGTCGTGAAGTTTGGTGTTTAGGATCCATTAACACAGCGACGGCGAACCTCATGATCAATATTCGATAAATTTTCATTTCCTGATTATAATATCATCTCAAAGTTAACTGGTTAATCTTAATCTAAACGAGCAATATGTATCAAAATTGATAATCTTCATAATTCGATTCTTTATTAGTACACCCAAAAAGTCTAAATTTCTGCTTCTCCTTTATTTTTCTTAATCATTTATTGTTACCAATTTTCACCGCCTAATTTTGAGGTTTCTTCACGAGGTAGCTGTTTGAAAAAAAAAACAGATATTCTTGTTTCAAAACCGAATCCGAATTACTTCAAGAGGCCACGCAACAGAATTTCATTCAACACAAAGCGCAAGATTGAATAAAAACAGACAATAAAATTTCTTCAAAAAGGCATAAAAGATGCGAAAATACACGTGATGAACCCGAAAGTGGTAAGTTAAAAAAATTAATATTCCCTATTAGAAATCTTCAAAAAATTTCAAAAAACTAAATGATGCATACTCCGTGTGTGGAAGATATTACGGGGTCCTCAATAAGTACAACTTGTAACTGGTAAGCTAGGAAGAATTTCTCAACGGAAACCGGGTATTTCAGCCGTTAATTACTAGTTTAGACCCAAAATGAGGCAAAAGGCATTTGAAGCGGAGGCAAAAGGAGAAAAGGCATAGGACGAACCCCGGAAGAATCAACAAAATTTTGAACCCGTTATGAAAAATTGAGTAAAGTAAAACGGGAAAAAAACTAATTAAAGAAGAATCTAGCCCAAAAAAGGAAGTTAACGAGGAAAATCAACAGTAGAGCTTGTTAAGATGCTGTTAAATATACAAAAAATGGTGAAATCGCATTTCCTCAGACTTTATATCGAGTGAAAGCTTCGATAAAGTTTGCAATTCGGGAGACGTTCATCTGCACCAGACGTCGTGGTTCATTTTCTTTTTCAGAACTTCCAGCCGTATCCAAAGTCTCCACACGTTTGAGTTCATCGTCTTTCATTTTCTCTTGGAATTCGTGGATCTGAAGAATCAATCTTGAAATGAGCTTTTAAAAACTATAATTTGAACAAAGTTTCAACTATAAGCATGTAATTTGCCGCAGAATTTCTGTGAAAATCTTTTTGGGCCTTCAAAAAGTATAAAATCCATTTGAAAAGGTACAAAAAAGGCGTAAAAACGACAAAACTTCCCAAACACGTGGAACTAACGGATAAGCGTCAAAAAAATTATATTTTTTTCTTGCTTTTCTATTTGAAATTCTCTGCACGTTGATAATTTGTTTTAAAGTTACTATTGAATATCTGGGAATAATTTTAAAAAATCAATCGTTACTCTGAAAATTGAATGAGTTCATGTGCTTTTTATACTGACCGGATTAAAAAAACCGAATAAAAAAATAGTGATGATAAAAAAATTGATAATAGAAATTTCCGGTGGTATGAAAAAAACCAGCGAAAAATTCAAACGGCGACTTTTCCGATTTTTCATATCGCTAGGGAACTTTCCAACGGCCACCTTTCCGCCGAATCTTTTTTTCCGACTTTTTTTCACTTATATTTGTCCGTTTATAGAACATCTATTAACATTTTTTCCTATTTCTTTGTTTTTTTAATCATGAAACAACTACCTACTATATATAGGAAGATTTAAAAACGAATGTTTTATCGAGAAAAAAAGTCGGAAAAAGATTCGTCGGAAAGTTCCCTAGCGAAATGAAAAAAATCGGAAAAAGTCGCCGTTTGAATTTTCGCCGGTGTTTTTTTTTCATACCACCAAATTTCAATGTGATCTTTAAAAAAATGAAAAAAATTTTGTAACATCTCCGTCCTTTCTTTCGAAATCTTCTTCAAGAAACCGAAAAAAACTTTTCAAAAATCTGACCTGCGGAGCGATCGACCGGAGGGCATCCAAAACGCTGTTCGACGAAGAAACATCGTGACCGACGAGGAAATTAGCCAAAACGACTCGGATCACATCCCACTTGGCAAAAAAGGCGAGAGCCTGTTTCTGAGTGATCTGCTTGCGGAAGGCAGAAACTGTGAAGAGCGAATCGTCTGAACAATTGATTCTTAAACTGCGCATTTTTTGAAAATCACCTTTCGCAGGATCTTTATCGAAAATAGAGTTTTCAATTTCTGTGATGAGGTTCTTGAGGCGGCTGAAGGCAAAGGTGAGCGCATCATTGGAGGCCGTTTTCGACAGAACCAAGATGTCGCGGAGATACTTGTCCAGTCCAGATCCTGCCTGAAAAAAAAGAAAATTTAGGCGAAACAGAAGTTTTCATCCGAAATTGAATGTTCAGAGCGATCGGTGGAAAAGAATTTAAAGAATTTTGATTTTTTTGATATTTAAAAGAAAATTTAAAACTGCTATAACCAGAAAAGACCATAAAAATTTTTCTCTTCAGCCTCAGGGAGGTGGAGATAACTTTAATTTAGGAAAAACTTGAAACATAGGCAAAGTCGGAAGGACCCTTCACGGGCCCTTTGAGCGTCCGTTACGGATCCGTCTGTTTCCGGAAATTGTTCCTAAACGGTTTCCTTTTTTCTGCCTTTTTGCGTCCTTTCATCGGCCTTCATCCACCCTTTTTGGACCCTTTTGAGAAATACAATTTTTTTAAAATTGAGAATAATCTTTACAAGTGACTGCGTATGAACCGAAATAAGCTACAGTAATAACATCGGAAATCATCAATAACAGAGACTTTCAGAACCTTTTTGAACCCCCACTCTTTCTTCACCCTTTTCGCGGCCTCTCCCTTTTTTCGCCCTTTTATGACCCTTTTTAACCCACCAAAAATGAAAGGCTCAATAAAGGCCGTAAAAAGGGACCCTTTTAGCGGCCATTTTGCAGTCACTCCCTTTTTGCACCCGTTTTCCGCACTTCCGACTTTGGCAGTGAAGGAAGGATCGGCGCCCTTTGAAAATGGTCTACTCATATATTTTGGGAGATATTTTTCAACTGCCTCTTATCTTCCCATACCGGTCCCTTTAAACACATTTTTAACAGGTAGTAAAATCTTACCTGAACGCTCGAATTCTCTTCTCCCGATATAACCAGGATCGAGTCTTGCTTTTGCGGATCAGCAAAGTCGGCTTCGATTTTCTTCGCGACGGCTTCCAATCTTTTCAAAGTCTCGTCAGAAGTCAATTGCAAGACGTGAACGTAGTCGAATCGAGCGCGCAACAGCCAGCTGATCACTTCGAAATGATCCTTGTTCTGGAAATATCAAAACTTAAAACATCTTTCCATTTTTTCGAATTTTACCCGGTACACCAAAGATCGGAAAAGGGTTGCAAAACAAGTTTCCTCCTCGATTTCTTCAATAATCCAGCGTAGGCAGGGAAAAACTGAACTCAGGAGAAAATAGACAGTTGCTGCCACGGCAGTGTTCTGAAGAGTATTTCAACTTTCGAAAATGCTTCTGAAAGCTTGAATACCTCGTGGTTCATGAAAATCATCGTCAACATGTCCCGCACAATCTCGTCTTTTACGTTTTCTTCTATTTCCTGAACACAAATTTTTCTGTTTGGTGAAAAAAAGTTGAATTCCGCATTTTGGAACAGTCTGCGAGGAGGGAAAGGATCATGAAACTACCAAACTCTGAATGAAGAAAAACTGAAAAGTTGGAAACTTCCTGGAAAAGTTTTAGAAAATCGGAAAAAATATCATGTTTTCCGTTCATTTTTCCTTTCACGGTAAATAAGTTCATAGGCTTCCAGAATTACCATAATGCGAATAAATGTATCATTTTCTCCAATTTAATCTCAAAAGATCTTATAATTATTAAAAAAACCAGTAGGTTGACCTGAGAAAAAAAGTGGAAGACTCGAATTTCAATGAGAAAACACAGGGTGACATCAGAAAGTTGAAAAACCTTTTCAGAAAAAAAAATTCTATCCTTCATAATAAAAATTAGGCTCTTTTCTTTAAATTTGCATCATATGGTCTGTTCAGATTTTCAAAATCAAGTAGGATGATGTCATTCTTGAGCGCTATGTGGAAGACCCGCTCTCTGATTGGTTCATTGAGCCCCTAGGGGCCGAGCTTAAGCGACTTCAAATTAAGCCTGAGCCGACTATATACATTGAACAATTCTAAAATCATTCTTATGAAAGAAATAAGAGCGCAGACGAGCTAGACTGTTGCAAATGATGGTGTAAAACTCACGCAAAAGTTAACAGCATGACAAAAAACTCGGATATAGGCTCCGCACTGCGGAAACGCTCAGATTACTTTGTAGGGCCATTGTGGAGGACAACTTTCTGGAAATAACTTGATAAGTAAGATTCAGGGATTTTTAATTACTTTATGAAGGGCAACCAGATGTCTCCGGCGCAGTTTGGTAGTGAGAAAGCGGTGCTCAAGAAGTTCTCTTCCTGAAAAAGACGATAAATTTCTTGAACATGCAGTTTAATGACCTCCGTATTGGTCAGGGCATCCGGATTTCCAGTATCTTTCAAGCGGAGAACAACTCTCCACATGTCCGACTGGGAAGAGTGTTGCAGATACTCAAAAATAACTTTGTAAAAAGTTTCTTGACTCCAAAAATCACCTCTATCATCACTTCAGCGACATCTTTGGCTGGCATTTTCTCGACTTCTTTCAAATTGTCGCCCATTTGAAGTTTGATGACGTCAGGGTCGGATTTCATGTGAAAAGCTTGGAGAAGTTGGCCGCGAGCGATATTTGACTGAAAAATCTTTTTTTTTCGTAAACCGCATTGAAAAAAAGAGTCGCCAAAACGATGGTCATTTTTTTAAAGATGATCAAGATCGCAAAAAAATTGAATATTTTGATCGTATTTTTGTGCCCTTTTTTTCACTGTTATTTAAAAACCATTTACGACCTGAGATCCGAATAAAACTCTTTCCGAAAACCAAATTCAGTTGAATCAGTTTTATTTTCTGTTTTTAGAAAAATTTTTCACACGGCTGCCTATATATATTTTTGAGATTTCGACTTTCGAAAAATTAGGTTAAAAAATTTCAGATTTCAAAATATTTATAAAAATAAAAATTTTTGTACTTTTATTTTTTTATTCTTTTAATCTTTCTAGAGAGCCTGGAGCTCCCATTCTCCAGCTCAAAAAGGGAAAAAAATTGTGAAATTTCTCAAGTGTTCATGAAGCTTACAGTAACCAGCAATCAGCGGCTGACTTGAAAAAAAGAGCTTTTCAAAGCCGAAAATTTTGGACTAATCCATTAAAAATTCTGGCTACAAAAAAAAAAACCAACAATCATTTCCAACTTGCGGAGCTTCGCCCGAGGTGCGTAGGCCGGAGTCGAAGAAACGGTTCTTTTCTTGGCGGTTTCCTTGCTTCCGGTCGAAAGTCTCTTCTTGACGGCGGCCGTCATTTGTCCAGTGTTGGAACTTCCGGCCGGTGATTTTTTCGCCGTTCCACTTAAGCGACTTCTTTTCGGAGCAGGTTGTCCGTCAGGCAGCAGGACAGTTTTTCTAACAGCCTTCTGGAAAAGCAATCATGACGAAAGAAGAAAAAGTAAAATTTCAAAATAAAAAATTCAGTAAAAGGATCCTAATATGGTTGCAGCAAGAGTGAAATTCTTCGAACAAACTTTAAGAAATAATTGAAGCAGGAATTTGAGGGAGTATATACTTTTACAAACGAAAATCGTCAATTTCGACTAGGTTAAAAAAATTCAGAGTAAACTCATTATTCCATTTTACTTTTTGGTCGATTTCAAAGGATATCGAAGGCGGGAAAGATTAGGTTCCCTAAGAAGCTGATAATTTGATAAAATGTTGCCGATATGTTTTCTAGAATATTTACTTTATTTATTTCTTTATTGTCAGAACAACGCAAATAGTTAGGGTACAGATAGAAAGGAAATAATATATTTACTCCAGGAAAAAAAGAAAAAAATTCCATCCTTCTAACTTTTTTTAATCGAGTTCAAAACATCTTGAATATTTTTTTTTGCATCAAAAAGTTGGGTTTCTAACAATAAAACTTAACTAAAAGGCAAAAATTTTGATTTTTTATGGGATAAGAATGAACAATTGAGAATCTCAGTAAAGATTCCTCAATTTTTCAAATGATTCTTGGCCTTACAAAAAACTTGGCTTTACTCGTTGATGTACCTATTTTTACGCGTTTGAGAGTTTCCATTGGTTTTTATGTGTCTTTTTCGAAAACTGGAAAGTTGAGCAAGTTAGGAACTTTATATGGTACAACAAAAAATTTTCAGGCTTACCAAGCGGAAAGCAGACTTATTTTCCAGCAAGTTTTCATCAATTTCACAAGCAATTATTCCTTTTTTTAATTTCCTTGCAAGACCCATTTTTCCTCTTCACATATTTTACCTCCTGGTTCTTTTTCAACGCAAACGACGCTGAAACGGCATCGAGCACAGGTTCCGCTTTCGGTTCTTTTTTGGGGACATCAAGCTTCTGCAAAACATAGATTATACAAACAAAGGCATGAAAATCCCTCACAGAAGTTTCTTCGTCGTCGCTTTCACTGTCCGATATTTCCAAGCCGATAGCCGCCAAAATCGCGGGATTCTTTCTTCTGGAATAATCCTTTCTTAGAAGTACTGATGATTCTTGTTACTTTGACCGCAGCCGGTCTAGGAAGGCTTGCAAGAGGATTGAAAGTAGCGAAAAAACTCGAATTGACCGCAGGCTTCTGAAAAACTTCTACAGTAATCCCGCTTCGAAATAAAACGCGTTGGTGGCACTTGGAATGGCTCGACTCCTAGCAACTATGAAGATGCGCCCGACTAAAAACGACTTACGCCCGTAACAATTCAAAAAAAATCTTTTCATTTCTAACGATGCACAGCGCGACTGCAACACATTGAGTCATTCCAAATGCGACCAAAAATTGAAAAGAGTGACTACTTTTTCTTCTCTTGAAGGATCGTGGGACAACTGGATCGCTTTCGGTGGCTTCACCGTAGTTGCAACTTTGGGTTTCATTTCCTGAATTTTTTCTTGAACATTTCAATAAGCTTTTGATTTATAAATACTGCAACATCGTCGTCAATTTCTGGAACTGCCAATCCAACATCTTCTGTCGCAGAATTGACCATTTGAGGTTTTGTCTCGGGCAGCTTAAAAGATCAGAGTAATTAAGAATTTATGAAGATAATGCAATAACATAGGTCACCTCGAGTCACATTCATAACCCATTTTTACTGAAAAATAAATCTTTTTAAAAAAACTATTTTTGCTGAAAAAAACTCTTGTAGGTGAACCAAAAAACCGTGATTACTTTTTATAGAAACGAAAAAAAAAAACGAAAAATTATAAACCTTTGTAAAAAAAAATGTAGCCCTCCTAAGCAAATATTTCCCAGTTCTATTCCATTCAAAAGCCTTCGTTGGGAAATTTTTTTCAAATTATTTAACTTAAGAAAACAAAAAAATCGAGGAAAAAAAGAAGAAGAAGAAGAATAAAATGAAAAAGAATTCCACGTTACGTTCACGTTTAATTTTTTTCTTTTTTTAGAGGTTCAAAAATTGATTTCATCACAACCAACTTTTTTTGGTAACGAACGAGTCATGGGAGAAAAACGACTTTGACCTAGGATCCAAAAATCCTATAGAAATTTTTTTAATTCTTTGATTTAGATGATCTTTCACAAAAAAACGTTCTATGATGTCAAACTAGATTGAAAAACTCGCAAATAAATCCGGTAAAAAAACTATTTTTTTCATCCTTAGTCTTTGATTTTTTTGATGTTCTTTTTTTACTTGTCATGCAGATTGCGGAATAACGAATAAACAATCGAAATGAAAAAAATAAAATGAATCAATTTCTTTCAAATTTTTTTCCACTTTTTTTCCGTCTTTTTCCTCTCTCTTTTTTTAATTTTGTTTAAATCAATAAATCATAATCATTTTGTTGATTGAAATTTCATCAAAAGACATTATTTTTTTAAACAAAAAAACGGCTCAAAAAAAGTATCTTGAATGAATTTCAAGCCTTTTCCGCCTTTAAGAGGCTTTTTCTCACTACCATAAAAGGTCTGGAACGTAGTATTTTTTGAATTTTCTTCAAAGCCACCTAGACAATAAGTCTTTCTTTCTCGAATAGTCTACCTTTTGCTGAACAATCGGCTCTGGTTCGTCGATCTCAAGTCGGTCTTCGTCATCTTCATCCTCTTGCATTTCAAAAGTGAAGTTTTCAGAATTGCCAGGCACTTCGCTTCTGGATTCTGTCGATGGTCGTGAAACTTCAGAAGAGACATTATTTTGAGGCTCCTTCTGCGTCTCCGGGGTTTCAGCGCTCTTTTTGGAGTCGATCGATGTTGGATGGCTTCCAATTGGGTCAGTGTGATCTACAGAATCAACTGAACTGTTCTTGGAGCTTATCGGTGATTTCGGATTCTCGGTAGATGGAGATTCGGACTGCTTAGCTTTCTGAGCTTTGCCAAGCTGTGCTGACTTCGAACTTTCCGCTGGATCGTTCTTGGACTTCTCAGCGGTTCCAATCTCGAGGTCTGCCGGCGTCGTAACTCCATCTCTTTTCGACTTTTTAGCAGGTGCAATTTCGGACTTCTTTCCGGTCAGATCTTTGTCCTGGCCGCCCTGCAGCCTCACAATTTCATTCCTTTCCGTAGTAGGTTTTTCAGAATCGCTTTTAGACTTGCTCCCCGGTTTCGACTTCTCATTTGTTTCAATCTCAAGATCTTCAGGCGACAAATCTTCCTCCAAATCTCTCAATCCATCTGTCTCCAAGTTTTCAGCCGCTTCGATCTCAGACTGTTTTCTGGTCTTCCTTTCCGACTTCGACCTTCCAGCGCTCTTCGCATCTTCATCCCTTCCGGCCTCCAATCTCACATTTTTTGAAGGTTGGACCTGCTTGGATCGCGTTATTGGCTTCGACTCTTCAGTATTTTTCATTTCATCCTCCTTAGCCTTCGAACTTCCGGCATTTCCTGGCTTCGAATGTGCCTTTCTTCTCTTGGAATCTGTTGGCTGTGGATGGGATTCAGGCTCCTCAACAACTTCTTCGCTTCTGGTCTCTGCTACCGGCTTCGGATCTTCATCTTCGGCGGCTTTCTCGCGGCGCTTCTGAAACGGAAGATGTTTGAAGGCGAAACGAAAGCTTTTTCATACTACCTCAAGGCAAGAATCTTGAGATATTAAGCAAACTTGTCGAGCTTTTGATCGCGTACCAATCAAACTACATGAAAGTTGAAAAAGAAGGTATACTTCTGGAGTATTATTAATTCAATATGCGAACGAATTTTTTTAGTAAAAAAATTTCAAGGAAATATTTGAAAAATTCCGGAAACTATACAGCTCGGCATTCTCAAAAATCATTCCTTATGGAAAATCAGAGATATTATTGAATTTAGCGAGACTACTCTGAACGCTACATGATAAGGAGTCTACGTTCGTATTTTCGAAAGTTAGAGACCGTTTGAAAATAAAAAGGAACTTGTTTTTTTTTTCTCTGACACCCTTTTTTTTTACCAGTGGTCTTTAACTTTCGATGACTTGAGCTGTGAAAAGGCGAACTTTTGGTAGTTAGAGACGGTGTAAAAATGAGAGGGGATAAGTTTTTTTTTTCTTCTCTAACACCCTCTTGTTTACTAAAGGTCTTTAAATTTCGATAACTTGAGCCGCGAAACTCGAATTTTCAAAATTTAGAGAGCGTTAAAAAATGAGAGGGAAGACTACATTTTTCTCTGACACCCTTTATTTTCTAGGTGGTATTTAACTTTCGAAAATTCGATCATAGCCTCAATTAAGCAATATGAAAAAATAGAAACCGGCGCTCTCATGGCGGTCATTTTGGAGACTCGCGTAGGTGGTCCAGAAGCATTTTCGGCCGGTTTTTGGGCTTTGACGCGTTGATTTGGACGAGCAGCGGATTTCGGCGCAGGTTCGGGTGTTTTTCGAGACGGATCTTCACATTTTCGCTTCCTGGACGCCGTCTCGGCCAATGGTGTCGTATCTAGAATGAAGCAAACTACTTGAGTGGGCACTTTTTTCCAAACCATTAGTTGGATGGCCTGAATATCGCCTGTTAACGCGTGCTCCGATGGATTCTTCTTTGGAATCAGTTGAAGATCTTTCCAACTGAAAAATTAAATCCAGTGGTGAATGTCAAAAAAAGGCTTCCAAGTCTGAGAATTTGGTTTTCTTTCTCGATCTTTTGGCTCACCAGCGGTTCGTTTCCTACAGATTTTTCTCAATTCCAACTTTGAAAAAAGACTTTTATTTGATGTACTATATCTATCATAGTTCTAAGAAATGTTTCCAATTTTGTTGAAGAAACCTTTTTTTGTGTCAATTTATTATTATTTTTTTCTCTGTTCTCGTTGAATATTTTGATTAAACATTCGGAAAAATTTTTGAAAAAAATAGATTGTGTTTTTTTCAAGAACAAAAAAAGAAAAAGTCGTGAAAAAAATCGATCTTTTTTTCAACCAATCATTTTTTTGTTTTTTTCTGCCAAATTTAATTTTTAATTTATTCCGAGAGAAAAATGAAATGAATAAAAAAATTTCAAAGCTGCAAAAAAATATTAAATTATACAGAAAAAAAGAGGATTTTTTTGAAGATCTGAAAAACTGTTTTTCTCGATTTTTTTTCATAGTTCTTCTGAATTTTTTTCATGAGAATTTCTTCTAGCCCATAAAAAAAGTTACCTGTTGCTCTGAGGACTGACGCGATCTCGTAACAATTTTCGATGGCTCTGGGGTCTAAAAAAATTTTTGAAAAATTCATCTTTTTTTGGAGAAAAAAATTTAACAGTCGTGTCCGTAGATTGACGAGTTTTGCGAGTAGATGACGGTAGATCTTTTGAGGCTGATGAAACCTGGAAAATTATTATTTTTAAACTCAAATTATCCCGAAAAATTTTTAATGATGGCGGAGTTATTGAAAAAACGCTTTTAGCGAATTGTAAGTTTTCGAGTGTCTGCGTCTCTCTGTTCCCTCACCGGCGAGGTTAGAGAAACATGAAAAAAGGACTGCAACATGAGAGGGTCATTGAGAGACGAGGAGGGGCAGAGAAAAGTAGCAGTTTCAAGTCCACAAAAACGGACAATGATGCTTCATAAAAACCAACCGAAGGTACAGAAGGAGTGAGAGAAGATTGACGGGATCTCGTAGCCATTGACGGAGTTTCTACAGACGGAGGCGTCTGAAATCCCCAATTTTCCAAAAATATCTAATAAAACCCTTTAAGCAACAACTGAGGAAAGACATAATAAACTAGAATGGCTCAGGGCGTCGCGGCCGCGTTCGAAAAGATGAATTACAAAAATCACCTGTTTCTTAGTCGATCTCAGATTCTGAACTTGTGTTGATTTGGCGGAAGTTGCCTGAAATGAACAGGATTTTCAAAAAAATATCGAGCATATTGTTAAAATTTCACAAATTCGAAAAGTCGACAAAAAAAAATCAGGTATCTTTACTTCACAGGTACAGGTTAGGTACGTAAAACTACATGCTTTTTCGTCAGGACATAATTAAAATGAAAAGCTCTTAAAAATAGAGGAAAAAAACATTTTCTGGCTGAAAACCAGAAATCTCGAAAAAAACAAAATTTATACTCTTTTTGGAACCGCTAAATTCTGAAAAATATTTTTTTAAAATTTTTATCTTTTTTCAAATTGATTTTCTGATGCTCTTTTCATAATATCAGCCTGAAAACCTTTCCAAAAAATTTCTACTGAAAACGGAAAAATTGCAAAAGCTTTGATGAAATATAAGACAAAATAAATGTTTTTGTTCGACTTTTTTTTTCAAACTTGCGATCGTTAGAGCATCGGGAAAGCTTGAAATTTCATCTTTTTTTTTCTTTTTTTTTTCTTTTTTTTTTAAAGCTAACCGAAGGAGATTCCGAAAGTTGGCGGCTTTTCGAAGAAGTCGAAGAGGAAGGCTAAAAAAATTATTATTTTTCCTAATTTATTAATCTCACCTGAACAGAAGCCTTTTGGGATGAAATAGTAGTATTTTTGCCGGCCTCAGGAGTCATAGATTTTCGGTTCTGAAGAGCGAAACTTTGATGAATTCATTCGATTTGGAAAAGAATGAACCCCTGAAGACGCAGAGGTTGAACTGTTCTGTTTCCGAATTATTTGCGGGTTTCCTTCGAAAAGAAGCTCTGGTTGATCTTGAAGACCGAGGCTCAGAAATCACATTCGTTTTCTGCAGAAACAATTTTTTCATAAGGGCGGTGACCAGACAAAGTTGAAAATTTCAAAAATTAGCAAAACTTTGACAATCAAATTTATTTTTTTTTTCGCTATTTTAAAAAGTCCGAAAGCAAAAAATAGTTTTTCAGACACCTTAAAAACTGAAAGTGAAAGAAATTTTTAAAAAAGCGAAGTTGAAAATCCAAGAGAAAATAAAAAATTCGAAAGAAACTGGAACATTTCGAATCTAGGGAAAGATTTTAAAAAGACAGCTCTCCAATTTTTCTCAACAAGACTTTTGTGTTCAAATGTTTTTCTCCGCCTCTCAAATAAATTGAGATACTCAGAAGGAAAAGAATATCTTGTAAAATTTCAATTTTCCTTTTTAAAAATTGTCTCGAGGTACAAAATACAATCAAACTTTCAAGGGATCCAAAAAAACGATCATTTCATCTTTCTCATTCTAAACCTACATTAGACATCAAAATTCCCAAAAACTTTTGATTCGAACTCCAAAAAATCCTAGTAGTTTTCTAACGAACCGAGATATTCAAATAAGCCGGTTTCATCAAAGCCTTCTCATTATCCGAAGAAGAAGAGCCGTCTTCATCGTCCGAGAGTGGAAGCTTAGTGGCTTCCGAAGGAATACCCTGGAAATCCTTCCTCAATCATATATTTACAATCGGAATCGAACCAAGTTTCTCAAAGTGTTAGTCGAATTGATTCCTCGAGCTGAGACGCCGTAACCGCTTACCTGAACCGGAAAAATTTCAAGAAGTGAAGAATGGGTAAAAAAAGATAATAGGTTATTCTTTAACTTCTCTTCCCTTATTTTCCCAAACCTTTTCGCTTCTCAGTTTCGTTAAAACTTTTTAAAGCAAAAATCGATTAATACAAACGCGATATCAAGATTATACGACTATTCATATTACGTACTGAAAAATTTTTCAGAAAAACAGAAAAAAATGCTACAAAATGCGAAATCACGCCACCCCTGCACAAAAAAATCGTCTTATTCTTATAAAAATCCATTTTTACAATAATGGTCTTCTAGCTGAAATTTAAAAAGCAAAAAAATGCGAACTGACAAACAGCCTTTTTTTCTAAAAAAATCTGGCAGTGTTTAATTTATTTTTTTAGATTTTCTAATTTTATCATCTTTCAGAAAGAAATTCACGTTGTTGGAAGATTAATAAACCGGTCAAATTCATAGACCCTATCTTAACACTGGAGCTATTCCTAGCATTCCAGCTCTTTTAAGATGAAAATTAACATTTTTCGGAGTATTTTTTGGAAGGCGTCCTTGGCGATGAGCTGGTGTAGTTGGAGGGATAAAACTCGAAGTAGTTTCAGCCTCTGTATTCGGACCTTTTTTGTCCTAAACTCGGATCTTTTTTAAAAAAAGGTGGAAATTCGAACCAACCTTGACAGAAACGTCTTCTTTTGTAGATATATTTCCTTCAGGCTCTTTCGACAAGGGATTTGATGCAGATGATTCAGGGTCCTTAAATATAGCAAAAGTTAAAATTCTCAAAAATGGATGCAAAAAAAAGTTTGCGAGGAAAATCATCAAGTAGAGATTTTTATAACGTTCCAAAATTGAAAAAAATATTAGACTAAAAGTTTAAAGCAGTACACAAGCGAAATTCTGAAGAATCGCAAGAAACAAAAAAAATTCAAAACCAACGTAAAAAAGATTGTATCGTGTTCTTTCTACTGCCGTGTTCATTTTCACGAAATTCAAATCATCTCTGACTCTCCAAAATTCAGTTATCTTTTCCACTCTCTGACGACTGTTTTGAACTTTCGCAGAATATCTTCAAAACGGCAAAAATATTTTGATTTTTTTCTTATGTTGAAAAATTGTTTCTATTTCAAATATTTGCTGTTTCATTCAGTCTCTATAAAAAAACAAATGTCCCATATTCTTACAATAGGATTTGTAAAATTAGATTTTCTAAATACTAAATATGGAAAAAATGTTCTGTGTAGTTAACTTATCATTGAAGGATCTTCGAAAAGTCCTGTTTCGGTTTAAAAAACTATTTTCTGAAGAAAAAAAGTACTTATCGGGATAACCTGAGCTCAACTTAACGACAAAAAAATTTTTTGATCGCCTATAACTATGAAAAATCACATTTTTCGGAGTAGCCCTTGGAGGACGTCCTCGGCGTGGAGCTGGAGTAGTTGCAGAGGAAGAACTTGGAACAGTTTCCGGCTCTTTTTCCGTAGAAGCCGACGGAACGACTTCATTTTCCGTGGTTTTTTCTGACGTCCGCTCAATTCCAGGCTCCGAAATAGTCGTGGTATCAGCTCTATTCATTTCTTCAGATCGAGTCAAAGTTTCCTTTGTCTTGGCAACTTCCGGCATGCGAGATTCTTTTTCTAGACTGTTCCCAGCCTGAAAAAATATTTCAAACCCCATTCATACTGTAAAACCAACAGGTGTTTGAATTTTCTGCGGCGACGGGCTCATATCCAGTCCGAAAGCGGTATTATTTTTCACAGCGGCCTCCTGAATTTAAAGCTTAAAAAATGATGAAAAAAAAAGTTACTAGGAAACGTTTTTCACTCTGAAGAAAAAAGTTACTTATTGGGGTAACCTGAGCTCAACCTCTCGGCCAAAAAAAAAAACAATTTTGATCGCCCAAAACTATGAAAATTCACATTTTTCCGAGTTGTTCTTGGAGGACGTCCTCGGCGAAGAGCTGGAGTAGTTGCAGAGGAAGAACTCGGAATAGTTTCCGGCTCTTTATCCGCAGAAGTCAATTGTGCAGTTTCATCCTTTTCTGTAGTGGTTTTCGTCGTCTGCTCAACTTCAGGCGCTGGAATAGCCACAGAAAGGGCAGAAACAGTTTTTTCAACATTTTGAGCTGAAGCCTCATTTTCCGGAGCGACTTCAGGTGCACGTATTTCTTTCTCCGGACTCTTTTGGATCTGAAAAAAAAAAGTTCTTTTCTGAATTTACACTGAAACTAACGGGTGAAGTAAAAGATTTCTGGTGGCGATGGGCTCATTTCCAATCCGAAAGCGCTTGAATTAGAACCATCATTATTTCCAATGACCTCCTAAATTCGAAAGAAATTAATTATCAATTATTCTTATTAGGAAAATATCACTAATAACTTTAGTAAGCTCTTACAGTCATTCATTCACTGAATGAAGAATCTGAAATCCCCAACCAAAAAAAATTTTTTTTTTCGAGTAGGACGACTTTTTTTTTGATAATTCTTTCACCTTTTTTGTCGAAAACTTATAAATTTCACAAGTTTGTACCGTTCAATCCCTTAATAACTCTCTCGGGGAGCCCAGGAAAGCATTATTAAATTTCCAAGGAACATCGCTCAATTGATAACTTTTTCTTCACTGAAAAAAGGACTGTTCACCTTATGTAGTTCATTTTTTAGACTAAACAAGTTGGAAAAGAAAAAAAACCGCTACAACAACTTTATAGTGTAAAAAAGACCTAGAAAAAGGCTATTGGAATCTAACAAAATATCTTTTTTTGAATAAAATTGAGCCATTCCGGCCCTTTTTTTGAGTGAAACAAACCTGGTCCAATCCGCTTTCTTTGGAGATCGCACTTTCTTCAGAAAGAGCAGGATTTTCTTGGGTTTTCTTCAAAAAAAATTATAATGAATCAGTTTTTCTATAAATTACCACAGGCGTCATGAAAGATGTCGACGGAGCTTCTTCGGGTTCAAAACCGGGATTATTTCCATTCTCTTGGGGCATATTTTCTCCACTTTCAGCCTCTACTTCGATTGATGACTTTTCAACAGGTTCAGTACTATTTTCAACGTCATTTTCCAGTAGAAATTATTTCCAAGCCTGAAGCCAGTTTGAATTTCAACTCGTTTCGACAATGATGAACCGTCTTTTTCCATGGTTTGTATATTGTGAATGAGTGGGATGGCGGGTTTCATATCGACGCCTCCAGGCTTGGCGATCTCGTAGGGGGCCTTTTCGGACCGTTTCGAGTTCTCTGCCTTGAGTTTCGCCACGCGCTCTTTCACGTCCACCTTCATCATCGCCGCCTGCTGCTCCCGAACCGAAATGCCTTTTCGGCCGTGGATCCTGGAATTTTAAAATGTTAAATCTTGAACTCAATTCTTGAGTTTAAAGGCACAAGGTTGAAAAAATAAAAAGAGGCTAATGGATCATTTTTTGTGTTAATTGAAAATTTATATTTTTGGTTTTCTTTTTCTTGAATTATAAAATAAGTTTTGCCCTAGCAAGAGAAATTTTTTTTTGAACTTTTCGAAGGACAGCTAAAAAAACTGAAAAAAAATTTTTTACTATAAAAATTCCGACAATAAAAAAATTTCTTTACAGATATTCTAGCAAAATGAGGTCCTCACTAGTTTTTTTCAGCCACCATTTGTTCAAAAAAATTTTAAATATACAAATTGAAAAAAATTTTTCCTATTCGTAAACTGAACCATTAAAAGCCGAACTCAATCCAAAAACTTCCACTCATTTTTGAAAATAAATTGTTCCGATAAGTTCAACAACGAAAAAAAAACTATAATTTTTTTAGATTAAAAAAAGTGAAGCTTCTAAAAGTAGAAAATGAGAATTTTTCAAAAAACCCCCAAGCCTTCCAGAAGCTAAAACTTTAGGGAAATTATATTTTCCTCAATTTTTCAATAAGATCATCTTACGTCGAGGTGATCAACTCCTTCGGATTTTGGAGAATTTTCTCCGTTTCCTGGTCTCGAGTCAAAAGAGCCAATGCTGAAAATACGAGAAAATGACACCAAATACTATGTAAAGATGTCAAACTTCGAGCCGTGGCCGCAGTGTTGACCTGTTCAAAGTCATATCTTCGATTTGTATAAAGCGTCGGCATCGGGTATTGGTTGGGTTGCTTTCTGGGCGAAGTTCGAGCGGCAGATGGCGGAGGGGCGACTTTAGGGGCCACGAAAGTCTTCGGGGGTTTTTCAGTCTTGTTAACGGATCTCGCAGGAGCTGTTGGTTTGACTATGCGCTCCGAAGAAATCGGAGGCTGCAACATTTTTTTTTTTTTGTTCCAGATTGAAACTTAATAATTAGAATGGAAATTTAAGGTTTTTTCAAGGGTTTCTGAGAAATGATTCGAATTTGAATGGAGTTTATGTCTAGCAACCTTCAGAGTAAAACATAAAAGATCAATCAAAAACATGTTTTTTTACCTTTTTTTACAACCTTTTTTTAAAAATCTATTTTTGAGGCAATGAACGAAAAAAATGATGAACAGTGGATCATACTTAAAAACAAAAATGTCTCTGCAAACTAAAATGAACACGGAAACATTTTGAAAAAACAGATTTTTTTGAGTTTTTTTATTCGACTGTCAATGAAAAGTCCACATAAAAGAAACTATTACTACAGCGAAAATTCAAAAAAACTCAAAAAAATTACACAACGATCCCGGGTGAAATATCCTTATTATTGAGAAAAATATTTTTTTCGCATAGGAAAAAAATTCAATTTTTCTTCGAAAACTCATTGTTTTGAAGAAACGCCTACCAAATGATACCCAATTTCGCTAAAAAAATAAAGTCAAAATTCCGGTTTTTTCGAAAGCATTTCTAGATTTTAAGGACCACTTCAGCCCAGGAAACGCGCTCTATTTTCATTTTATTTTTTTACTATCTTATCCGCAAATTCGCAGAAAACATTTTAAAAAAACCTCAGGCTGTTTTCGAAAGAGACGCTGTCGGCGTCACGTCTTCATCGTCGCTCAGAGACAAGCCCAAACCTACAAAAAATAGATTATTAGGTATTTCTGATATGAAAAAAAAGGGAAACCATTTAAATCATAAGCCGAAGAGCTGGAAAACTGAGACGGCACCGAGGTCGATTCTTCTACGTCTTCCGGTACAACCGGATTCGAATCGTCTATCGAAGTTCCAACAGGGGATCCGAAAACGATTCGAGCATCGCCCCGTCGGAAAATTTCAATGTCGTTTTTGAGATTCGACGGCAAATCTTGGAAGCTTTTCGATTGCGCTGAAAATAGTGTAGTTGGTAATGAGCGCAGTTTTCGATAATACGTAGGGAATTTCAAACTAAAGAAATACTGAAGCATTAAAAAAAAGAAGACCATTTTCATACCATTTTATTGGCTTTTCAATAATTTTTCTTTAGGGCACATTCAAAAAAACCCTATTTAAAAATCTACTAAAAATTCTAAATTCCCTCCAAAAAAAGCCACTCAAGGCCAATTTTTTTCATAACCTTTCTGGTCATTTTTGAGACCTCTAAAAATCCGTATTTCTAAAAATGTTTTCTATTACAGACCTTAAAAACAGCTTCAGAAAAAGCCTTTCAAGGGACCTTTTCATATTTTAATAAATTTTACTCGTTTTGATTGCCCCCAAAAAGCCTACAAGCAACTTTAAATGAAAAAAATCTGCAGTTAAGTGATTCAAAACCCTACCCAGCGCGTCGACGAGCCTCATCACTTGAGGCGCGTATTTTTTAAAGCCTTTCAGCTCGTTTCGAAGGTTCTCCGCGTGATATTTCGACGTTTGAAGACGCTTTTCGAGCTCCGCTGCTCTGAAAAAATTTTTAAATTCAGATTTTTATTCTCAACAGCATATCCAAAGAAAAAATATCTGAACAATCTCCCAACAAAAAAGATGATTTTATTTGCAGTTGGGAGTTTCCTAAAATTCGGCCGAAATTCTCCTTGATATACGAGAAAAAGATTCTGGAAGTATCCACTTCATTAATTTTTTAATTTTTGCGAAGATAATATTCAAAGCTTTAAAACAGCCTATTTCAACGAACTTTGACGGTTTCTTCAACTCTGAACTGAAAATGTCTGCAGGTCAAGACTTCCAGGATCTTTTTCTAGTACATCAACAATCTTTCTGGCCAATTTTGAGGAAATTCCCAGACACAAACTAAAATGACCTCCCTTGTGAGCCTCTCCAAAAAAAGTACCTTTTCTGACTATCCTGGGCGATCGTGACACTTGTCATGTACTTTTTCTTGATATCACTGCGGTTGACGTCGAGTTTCTCGGCATACTGTAGAAGTGTGTCGTACTTTTGCCGGATCTCGTTCGCCTTGGCGATGCTGTTCTGAAAATGAAAATTATTTAGAAAATAAGAGAAGATCATGAAATCACATTAGCTTCCTCTGCGTGTTTCCTGAAGACTTCTGCTTTCTCCTTCCATTGCTTCAACTCGGATTGCATCTGAATAGTGAGACATTAAAAAAATCCACTTATCAACAAAAAAAAAGTCGGAAATTTTCAAGAAAAAAAGGGACAACAAGTTCAATATTCTTTCTGAAGAAGGGTATGACTCCTTTTTTTCAAACAATTCTTATAACGCTGAACGCTGAAAAGGAGAGATTCTAAGTAGATGTTGGATTTAGAGTAATTTCATCATACTCTTGAAGCTTTTTTTCTCGTGACAAGCAAAAAAATTTTTAAAAAAATACCTGAAAAAAAGTCATCTGAGTTGGAATCGCAATTTTTAACTTTTTCAAAAAAACGAATTATCTTTTTTTGGATTTATAATAAAATTAATACTTCTGAACAGGCTCTTGAAGCGCACTGAAAAGGTGAATGGAACAACGAGAAAGAGCTGAAAACGGTCAAAAAAAGGAAATTCTCAGAAAACGTGTAGTCTTTTTTCGAAGATGTCCATAACAAAGCTGAAATGAAAAAGACAGAAATGACCGTTACAAAATAAAAAAAATCAAAAATAATGCTCAAGTATCTTAAAAAAGGTCTAATTGATAAATTAAAAGTGAGTTTCTAGAAACTCAATATTACAGGAAAAGTTATCATTTTCATAAACTGGCTTTAGTGAGAAAAAAAAGCAAACCAAAGCTGCATCGGCCTCAAATTTTTTGATGAGATTCTGCTCCCCCAACAACTTATTCGTCTGCTCCCGGGTGATCTGATCCAAAGAAGTCACTTTTACTTTCAGATTTTTTTGTTTTCCTGAAAAAAATATTGTAAAACACTCACAAAAAAACTTTGAAAACCTGTTTTATCGCTCTGAGCTCTTCATCACACTCGTTCTGTTTTCGCAAATTAGCCGCCAATGACTTAGCATTTTCCCTCAAATTCTGACAGAGTGGATTTTGGCAGCGTCCGTCGGGGTCCTGCAAAACGTTACTTTAACAAAAATATCATTAAAAACTACTTCCTCCATACTCCGATTGAACCCAAAAAGAGATCGCAGGTAGTTCTGAAAAAAACGAATATTGAAAAGAAATGAAGAAAATGTGCAAAAAAACGGAAAATTTTTATGAAACAAAAAAATATTAGGTTGATTTCGAAATGTATTTTCAACTACGTTTATTGAAAATAGGTGCTGTTAACACTTACAAAAATTTAAAAATAAATGGAAAAAGAAAAGTTGAGTTGAAAAACTTCGAAAAATAAAAATTTTTTTCAAATTAGTTGCGCTCAACCCCCGCGAATTCACAGAAAAGTTTTTTTCGAAGAAAATTTCGAAGAGATCTCGAGAATTTTTAGAATTTTTTTTAATCAAAACTTATAATCTATCGAAGATTTTGTGATCGTGAGATTTTTAAAGCTGTTTATTCGATTTTCAAGTTTTGGAAAAACTATCATTCGAAATTTTTGTTTTTTTCTGTAATAGTTCATTTGCTTATTTATAATATTTTTTTAAATCAATAATTCTTTTTTTACGCGAATTTATTTTTCCTAACAATGATTCAAATAATATTCTCGGAGAAGTTTGTAAATTTGAATTTTATGTAAAGTAATCAACTTTTTTTAACCTGAAAAATATTTATTTTTAATAAAGTTCTGTTCAAAAATGTTTTTCGAAAAACGAGAATAGATCTAGTTTGAGTCTCAATAACCTCAATAAAACTACTGAAGAAAAAAAAATTCAAGTGTATGTTTTCTTTTTTTAAAGTAGTTTTTCGCGACTCTCAAATGAAAACTCTGTCGAAACTTTTTGATCAATTTATTAAGAATATTTCGAGGAGTTATTCAATAACCATCACAGTAATCCAGATATGTTCGAGAAAAAGTTTAAAAAGAATATTTCGGCGCTGGCAAAAAAACATGTCGAAGCGGAATTGATTTATTTTTTTAACAGAAAAAAATTCTATTCGCGCAAGTCATTTTCGATTTAAAAAAATATGACATTATTGTCATCTATGGCAGTATGAAATTATTGTCAGTTACAGCGTGTTCATCGTACAGAACGAAAATTGTTCCAAAACGCCGCAAAAATTGCTCCAAAACAAAACATGATTAGTTTTTTGAAGCAAATTTGGAACGGCGATGGACACACTTCTACGTTTTGAAACATGCTCCGTGTCTTCGATGAACATGCCATTGAAAATTGAACAATAAAATCGAAAAAAGTGAAAAAATTGTCGCCTAAAATTTTTCAAGTTTTTTTTTGAGGCACAATTTCGCCCTATTGTGAAAATTCATTATTTTTCGCAGAGCTCCGCCCATTTCAGTATTCAATTTTGTTTTGCTTCATTTTTATAATCCAAACTGTTCGATAAATTGGTTGTTATCCAATTCTCTACCCTATGAACAGAAAATTTCGGATTTATCATTTACATTTCAGTAGCTTTTCGATGTTCTCCTTAACATCCGGAGATTATGAATCATATAAAGGACCGCTATTCCGTCACTTTTTGGGAAGCGTCGAAAGCTCAAACAAAAAAGGTTCCAAAGCCCCGGAGGCGGAAAACGACGAAGCTCGGAAAAAGGTGCAGCAAAAGTTCATCGACAACTACTTCAGGCGTTTCATCAAGTATGTGTTCAGAAAAAGTATTCTTTTTGAGAATTGTGAAAATGGTATAGGATTATGGGAACAATTCAGATCAGGCGGAGAAACAAATGACCATTTCGACGGGACAAGGGTCCGACGCGATGAATTGGGAATTCCACAAGACCTTGGGAGGCAAAATTTCGTTGCAGTTCAACGAGAGTTCCACGAAATACCTTCACTTGAGCACGTTAGTTACAGTTTCCTTCTGATTTCAATTCATTTCAGGAGAAAAGGGTTTATTTTCCTGATAATGAAGGATCTGTATTATCTTAGACTTACTCGAAACCTTTATCACTTATTTTTCTTTACAAAATTCATCTTTTTTTCAAAAATTTTGAATTTTCGCCTTTGCATTCTTAAATATATATAGTTTTAAGGTACCTCCTTGGCTCATTCGACATTTTGAATACGCTCTACGACTTTCTATAGATTTTTCTAAACGATCTGAAGTTCAAAAAGATGAAGGTTCTTAAAAAAATTTTTTTCAATTCTTTTTTTCCTCCAGGAACTTCGACGTCTTCAGCGAGAGTTGCCGATAGCGGAAAGAAGCAAGGAAATAATTGAATTATTAAAAAAATGTGACAAATTTTTTTCAACTTTTTCTGCTAATATTTCAATTTCAGAATCAAATTTTGATCATCGCCGGAGACACGGGATGCGGCAAGAGTACTCAGGTGTGAAAAACTTAAAATTTAGGTAAGAAGTTTGTTTTTAGGTACCTCAATACCTTCTTCAAGCTGGCTACTCGGCGATCGCTTGTACCCAACCGAGAAGAATCGCCTGCACGGCTTTGGCCAGAAGAGTCGCCTACGAGACTCTGAACGCCTATGGAAGCGACGTCGCCTACCAAATTCGGTTAGGAATAGAGTTCGAAGCTATTTTTCGTCATGAATTGAACGCTTGTAGAGCTTTGGTGCCACTTGGAGTGGCTCAGAGTGTCGCGGGTCTAGTTGTAGGGATAAACAGAAAAGCTCCTCAGAAAGCCTTTTGGAAAAGTTTTTAAGGGTCACCCACAGATCTTTCAAATTCTTTTTTTCTTCTTTTTCACCTAATATATTAAACAAAAAAATGTGGAAAGCACTAAAAAAGATTCCAGGGGATTCAAAAAGGCGGAGTTCTCATATTTTTTTTTGCTTTCTTCGGAGGGTCTCTGAACGAGATTTTCCGTTTTTTGTTTTTAATGACCCATTCTTAACGACTTGAAACTGTTTGAACTGTCTGCACTCTCTTTTCTCTAACTGACCACGTCGTAAAGACATGAAAGAAGACCGTAGAAAAGGAGAGAGCGCATAGAAATCAGACTGTTTCAAGTAGTGAATTTTTGTATCCAGTTGTTTTTGGACCCTCATCAAGTTGAAGTTTTAGTTTTTCTCAGTTTTTTTTTTCAGCTTGTCAAGTTTTTTTCCTCAAAGACCGTATTTCTCTATTACATATCTCGGTTCGAGACCTTTTCTTTTTGCAGTTTTTTGAAGCATCTCTAAGCGAAGGCGCAAAAACGTTTTTGTTTACGGCATCTTTTTTGCTGTATTTTAAAACCTGTCCGTGTCGCGCGGAATACTGATTAGTTGAGTCTAGATTTTTCAATTTTTTGATTTATTTTCTAAAGCGAAAATACGTGCTTTTTCTTAAAGCTGACTCGAAATGACTCTATTTTTGCATTCTAGCTTCGAAACAACAAAATCGAAGAAAACGAGGATGCTTTTCCTCACCGAAGGACTGCTTCTGCGTCAGATGGAGAATGACTCGCTTCTAGAGAAATACAACGTCGGTAGAGATATCCAAGTGATCATTTTAGGAATTCATCAGTTTAGGTTATCATTCTCGACGAGGTCCACGAAAGACACTTAACATCGGATTTGTTGATTGGACTCTTAAGAGATCTGGTCAGCAAGAGAGAAGATCTGAAGCTGATTCTGATGTCCGCCACCATCAATCTCGAGCTTTTCAGCAACTATTTCGATGGGGCTCCAGTTATTCAGGTCTGAAATTCTTTTCGGAGTTCGAGATCGCATGGAAAATAAAAATTAAAAAGAAAAGAAATAACAAACTACAAAAAATCCGAAATCTTGAAATTTATTGAAAAACCTTCCAGAAATCGGGTCCAAAAATTTTTCAGTGATAGTATGCTTTTCACAAAAATTTTAAATAAGGATTTTAAAGCAGCATATTTTTTTGCACAGCTTAAAAAAACCTTGAAAAATATCTTTTTCCTTGCTGCCTTCTTTGAAAATTCCTGCTCAGTTCGAACAAGAATAAAATTTATATATTTTTTTAATAAAAAAAGTTTTTTTCATTCTTTGTCGTAGGTAATGTTCAAAATAAATTCATTCACTTTAGGTTCCCGGCCGCCTGTATCCAATCGAAGTGAAATGGCATCCGATCAAGCAGTTCATTGAAGTTTCCGAGAAGAAGAGCCATAAAATCGACCCGGAACCTTATTTGAGAATCCTTGAGGTTCTAGCTTGTTTTTTTGAAACCAGACAGAGTCCGTAAAAAGGCGTTAAATTTTTCGAATCGGCTTCTGGATAAATGCTATCACAGACTAGCTTGGCAGTTTTCAAATAGAGACACAAAATTTCCTCGAAAATCTATAAGCCTCGAAAATCCATTCAGAGTTTTTAGAGAGTGTCCCCGTAACTCGTAAAGCGCATAAAGAAGCACTAAAATTTTTTAAAAGATCTATTGCTTGTTTCAACTGTAATTTCCTTACTTTATTGTGTATTGTAGGAGCTAGAATGATTTTTTCATAGGTAAAACGAGAAATTTCCTTTGAAGCCCGAAAAAAAAACTGGAAAGGTTCCGCTAAAAGCCTCTAAAATGATGAAAAAAGATTTTGAACATTTTTTTCGCATCCCCTGGAATCTTCATAGTTGTCTTTCAGCACCTTTTTTTATTTAAAAAGGACGCAAAAATTTTGAAAAAGAGGAAAAAAATCTGTTGGGACCCTTAGAAGATCTTTTTTTTTGAAAAACGCTTTTGAAGTGCTTTTTCTCGTTTTCCCTCAGTTTTCGAACAAAAAAAAATGAATTTTTTCAGCTAATAGACAAGCAAACGCCGTCGACCCAACGCGGAGACGCTCTAATTTTTCTGAACGGAGTCGCCGAAATCACAACGGTCGCCGAGACCCTGAAAACCTATGCGGAGATGACCAAGGGCTGGATCATTCTCATGCTTCACAGGTTTTTTGTGATTATATTATTTTTCTGGATTGTGTTTTTTTTTAAGTACCTTGTCTGTGGAAGAGCAAGACAAAGTCTTCGATATTTCTCCAGCTGGCGTCAGAAAATGTATTTTGTCCACGAATATTGCCGAAACTTCCGTTACGATCGACGGGATCCGCTTTGTGATCGATTCTGGGAAGGTAAAAATATTCAATATGACTTTTTTTTTCATGTATCTGATCGCTATGGTAAATTTCGCGCTATAAAAAGTTCCAAAAAAATGCCAAAAATCTTCTTATATTCAAAAAAATTTTTCGAATCTCGCAAAAGTCTCGTATTTTTTTCGAGATCTTGGCATTCATAAAAAAATAGCTCCCGAAAAAAATTCAAAAAAAGCTTAAATTTTTTTTTCATCCATAAAAAAATAATGAATATTTTCACTTATTTGACTGAAAACTGTCAAGAAATTAAAAAAACAAAAAAAAATTTTTAAAAAAGTAATTCTTTGTGAGTCGTTTTCGTAGATATTTTTCTTGACCCTCAACAGGACCTTCAATATAAAAATCGATGAAAAAGCGCTATCAGATTCTTTTGGAAAGTTATGAAATATGAAGGAAAAAAGGAAAACTTTTCTCATCACCTCTATTCCAGGTGAATCTGATCAAGCACGAGCCAGGTACTGGCTCTCAAAAGCTCACGGAGTTCTGGGTGAGCAAGGCTTCAGCAAATCAGAGGAAAGGTTGCTCAAAGGGGAAAATTTGGAAGATTTCGGCTCTTCAGGTCGCGCTGGCCGCACTGGCCCTGGAACTTGCTACCGACTTTATTCCCAAGAACAGTTCGAGAAGATGGAAGATTTCACAGCTTCGGAAATCAACCGTGTATCTCTTCAGGAAATGTCCTTGAGGATTATCAGTTTGAATCTGGCTTGTAAGATATTCTTTGAATTCCCTGGGCTTTTGCAAGGGCCGGCCCGTCAGATTATTGTTCCCAACACTGCCCGGCTTAAAAATCGCGAATCCTTTCAAGCCAAATATAAGACATTTCTATGATAAAAGCCATTTTGGTCTTTTGTCACTGAGATATAGCTGATTCACGGCTGGCTTGAGCCATTGAAAAAAGGGTCCTGACATGATAATGCCCGAGATAGCGCTTGGCTCGTGGAGAGCGCAGACATGACACGCCCCCTTACTATGATTTAACAAGCGCAGATTTTCACGCAAAAAAATCAAGTCCAAAGCCCGGGCCGGCCCGGTCTGACCCACAGTCCTTCAAAAAAATCAATAAAGTTCAGTGGACCCTCGTACTTTCCCCTTCATCGAGAAACCTTCAGAAGACTCACTCAACGAAGCCTTGGAGATTCTGAAGTTCCAGGTTTTCATTAAATGTTTATCGTTCCAAACTGTCCCATTTTTCTGGGAGTTTTGCGAACTGACCGAGAAAATTTGGCTCTGACAGCTCTTGGTGCTGCCGTTTCCAAGTTGCCTGTTGATGTTCCCATCGCCAAGGTTTTTCTTCAATTTTGGGGATTTTTTAAAAAGGGAAAGTTCAGATGCTGGTTTATGGATGCGTGGTCGATCAATTAGAAGTGATGTTGACTGTGGCGGCCGGGCTTTCCGTTCAAAGTCCCTTCACAAATCGATCTTATAGGTTCGATTTCATCACTAGATAAACTATTTTGGCATATAAAATATGGAAAAATTTGAAGACTGATTTTTTTAATGACTTCAGAGTATGATGCTAAAAAAATATCCTTCGATCTCCTACTTTTTTTGAAGCATTTTTCTTGAAATTTCAATAAACTCAAAATTCTGGTAGTGTAACTGCATCTTTATTCTAAAATTAAAAATTTTAAAATTGACAGGGAAATTCTCGTTCAACATAAAAATATGACACCTTCATTAACAAGAATAAAAAAATGAATGAAGATTCTTGAAAAAAAGAAGTTGTGATTTGAAAAAGTTCATGGGTGGACCTGCTCCATATTTTTTTCAACGGGTAATTTTTGGAAAAAGAGTGAAAAAAATTCAATTTCATTCTTTTTCATTGCTGGAAAAGGCCTGTTGGTTTTTTTATGATAGCTATTTTTTTGAAGTTTTTCAAATTAAAAAGGATTTTTAGACAATTTTAAGGCGTTAACGGTTTTTAAGATACATGTTTCTTCATAATAAGACAAGATTCGAAGTCTGGTTTTAAAAAAATTCCGGTCATTAAATTTGTATAAATTCACCTTTACTATTTTTTATTTATTTTTTCGCAACATCGGGATGGTATGGTGATGTTGCAGGAGAGGGAAAAAAAGACCACTATGTGGATTAACTACTGAATATTTATATTTTTCCTCAAAAAAATGCTCTCAAGTAATTTAAAAAAAGTTTGTTTGCACAAACATATTTCGATTTCAGGATACATTTTTTTCAAAAAAAGCTTCATATAAAAATTCACTCAAATAATATTTTTAAAGAATATTATAAATTATCAATCAAGCTTAAAACGACGTGTATCATCGCTTAATGACCAGAATCATTTTATACAGTTCACGAAATGGGTTTGTCATTTAATTCATTCTTTTCCAGGGAGTTGGACGTCGTTGAACGTCGTGCCTCCCTCACAAGTCCACTCGGAGATCCGTTCACTCTGATCGCTGTTTTTCGGTAGTTTTAAGAAGATTTCACTCTATAAACCTGTGGAGTTCAGGGAATGGGTTATGCAAAAAGCTTTTGAAGGCGGGACCAGAAAATGGACCATGGAAAACGGTATTGATGAGCATCGGTTGTACGAAATCAGCAAGCTTCGGGCTCAATATCGGTTTTTTTTTAATCTGAATAATTCGAATAATTTGAATAATTCTTTATCGTCCGTTGGGTTAACATTTGTTTAAAATTAAAATTATGAAAATCTGAATATTGGGTGGTATGAAAAAACACCAGCCAAATTTCAAACGGCGACTTTTCTGAATTTCTCATATTGCCAGGGAACACCTTTCCGCCGAATCTTTTTTTCCGACTTTTTTTCTCGATAAAACTCTTCGTTTTTAAATCTTCCTATATAAAGTAGGTAGTTGGTTCATGATTAAAACACAAAGAAATAGGAAAAAAATGTTTAAAAATGTTTTATAAACGAAAAACATAAAAGAAAAAAGTCGGAAAAAGATTCGTCGGAAAGGTGGCCGTCGGAAAGTTCCCTAGCGATATGAAAAAATCGGAAAAGTCGCCGTTTAAATTTTCGCTGTTGTTTTTTTCATACCACCGAATATTGAAAGTTTGTTTAAAATATTCGTAAGTTGATTTTAGTCATTTTTATCATAATATTCGACAAACTGTGTGGGATGCGAATTTATTAATAATCTTCATGAGACGAAACTTTTTTTGAGGTATCAGATTTGCAGTCTAGAAGTTTTTTTAGCTCTAAATTCATAAAGTTTAAAAAAATCATTAAAAATGAGCCACGTAAATTTATGTTTACCGTTTTTTTCCTTTGCCGTAAAAAAATGAATTTTAATTTTTCTTGGTTAATGCTTTGGTGTACGGTTTTTTTCAAAAAAATTTATTTTTGCATTTTTGATCAGATACCGAAAAAAATTGCCCAACAGAACTGAGATAATCACTGATTTCATTTAATTTCCCATTCAGTCAGGTCCTTGAAGACGTCGGAATGATCAAGAAAGCTTCGGCTTCGGAAACCGGGGCCGACGATTCAAGACAACGTCGGATCGACCAGGGAGAAAGGAAGAAGTTGTTCGATCTGAAAAGAACCGCCAGGCAATTTTTCCCGCAAAAATATCAAAAATTGGATTTTTCAGAAATAGTGACAAAACCAAGAAAGTTCTGAGCGCCAGCAAGCATTTCGACACGATTATGATGGAAAAGGAGGAGGAGGATTTAGGTGGGAAACTTAAGATCCCTGTTTCCAGTTCTGATATAATATTATCGAATCTATCGATATCCATTGAAAAGAACTTCTTAAACAAAGCTTATAACTCAAGTTCATGGTCTTTCTTTATTTAGAAAAAAATTGAGCTAGAGCTATAATTCTTCATTTTACATCATTTTTTGAAGTATACAGTACGTTAAAAATTATTTCTGAAGACTTTGAAGTCCCCAATTCCTATAAACAACAATGATACGGCTTTTGCCCTTGAGACCTCCTTTAAATTAAACGACGCTCCTTTAAAACTTCGAGTAAGATTTTTTGAACGGGCTTTTCTGAAAAACAATCGAAAAATTGATAACGGAATTTTTTTTAAACAATTAAATTTGCATTTTCACTTGATTCTCTGTTGGAAAAGTTGGCTCATTTTTGCTAATTAAAAAATTATTCCTAATATTTTTGACCTGTGATTTTTTTCTATCTCATTTTTTTGACTCATTTATTGATGATTTTTAAAAAAATCTATTTTTTTCTTGACTGTGGGATTTTTTTCCCTTTTTTTCATTCAATCTGTAGGAATCTCGCTCAAAAATCTCTCGATTTTTTTGATCTGATTTCAGTTTTTTTAAAAATTAAAATTATTATAAATAACCAGAATCTATAAACTGACCAATTACTTGGTCATTTGAATAATCTCCCGCGCACGAAAAAAAAATTGGTCTGAAAACTGATTTTTTTAGCTCCAAAAATGTCTTACATCGAGTTTTTTTTAAGAATAAAATAAAACACTGCCATTTGAAACTTTTAAAATTTTTTCCCAATTTTATCGGACTTCCAGAAGCCGAGGCAGATCCTCTGAAGGCTGACGTGAAAACGATCGAATTTCTTCTCGGCCACAAACAGAGGGACGTCGACGCCATCAGAAGCACCCATCGGTTACGAAGACGTGACGCCGAGGTGATTCAGAAGACGTCATCAATCCAAAAAGTTGTTTCAAGGTGATAAGGACGATCATCACCTGCGGCCTGTACCCGAATTTCTCCGTCCTCGATCCGGTTAATAAGTATCAGGTGGGCTTGACTGGTACTTAAAACCGACTCATTGGCCAGAAAATTGGTGGAATTTAAAAAATAGTTCCAAGAAAAAGCTACTTTTTCGGCCTCGTTTTTTTTTTCTAAAATGTCAATTTTTAGCACGGCCAAGAGATGTTTGTACATACAAGGATGAAACCTTTCACGCAGATCCATCCGAATTCGTCTATTGCTCAGTATCATGCCGGTAAGTCTGAATTTAGGGACCACCGTGAGGAGCCTTGAAGGTCCCCCTCTAGGGGTCACTTTACCTCACCTGTAGGGTCAATAAAACTTGCAAAGATGGCCCCTATAGGGAACATTTTATTCGATTATTTTTATGAACTCTATAAGAAGAAGCATTTCCATGCGAAAAAATCAGAAAATTAGCGTTATTTGAATGAAAATATCAAAAGAGGATGAATTGACCAAGTCTTTTTTGGACTGTCGAATCTTAAAAAATATTATTGAAAGACCCCAAAGGGACCACTTGAGCTTAGGGGTTAGTGTTCGGACTCTAAACCCCTATAGTGTTCCTAAAATTTTGACCACAAAAACCTCTAAGCCCGAACCCCTAGACACCTAAGAACCCTAAGCCATAAGTCCTAACCCCATAGACCCCTAAGAACCCTAAGACCCCTAAAAGGGTCCCTGAAACAACAAACCCCTGAAGGGATCCTTTAAAAATTCCTGGAAGTCACCTGAATTTACCCCCATAGCAAGCACTTTTCTGTCCCCTACGAGGGCAGATCTTCCCCTAACCCCTATAGGGACCACCCTGGCGTCCCTTGAAAAGATGAAGTCCTCTAATTGATTGCATTTATTTAGAAAGCATCGATCCTCGAACAGATTCTGAAGGGAGGTCCGCCTTTCATCAAATTCCTTTCTATGGGGTTCTTTTGGAAACAACCAAGCCTTATATTTGCAATTTGGTGCCTGTTCCCGCACTTTCTCTCCTCTTGGTCGCAAAAAAGGTTCTTTTTTTTTGTAATTTCATTAAATAATAAAAATTTCAAAAACAGATTGTCTGTGATGACTCGGTGACTTTATTGATCGACGACTTTGTTGAAATCAAAATGAGGAATTCCGAAGAATGCCGTGAGATTATATTGGATGCCAACGAAATTCGGTACGACCTGGCAAGAGGTATTTTCTTATAAAACTTGAATTGAAGAATGTCAATTTTCAGGCTTGGCCGCAAAATTGTCCGGGGAAGAGTACAGCTGCCGGCGGCTGATTCGCGGAATCGACAAATTTTGTGAACTTTTGACCGATAAAGGCAGGGAAATCTCGTGAGTTTTGCTAGAGTACAGAGTATGTAGCCTAATCATGGCTATAGCCTATTCCGCGCCAGCTTGCCACGTTTTTCTTTCCGCCAAAAAGACCGTATACCAAATGAGATCAAACTTCTGCGTTTATAATGGCAAATAACAAAGGTTTTGAAGCGAAAGGTGGTTAAATTTGACCTGGCCTTTTGGCGGAAAGAAAAACGTGACAAGCTAGCGCGGAATGGCCTCTAGCTCGGGACAGGGCCGTCTGCGCTCTCCACCATTCGAGCACTGTCTCTTTATCTCAAATCAACCAACGTCATTACTATCAGATTAAAACGCCTGGTGAGCCCTCCAAGGCAACTCGTCGGCTGTGGAATCTTCATGCCGGAAGGACGAATTGACCAGCACGGCGACCTGGACGACATCCTCGAAGCCACCGCCGAAGACGTTGAAAGACGAGAAATGGAAGAAGCTCTTCGGAAAGAACAGGACGACGAAGACCGGAAAGTCCTCTCCCTGCTGGTTTGTTTGAAAATGAGCGGAAGCGAGAGATAAGGACCACCTGAAGAGACGCCAGAGAATTCGGTGGTCGTTTTTTTCTCTGGCGTCTCTTCAGACCGATGCTGCTCTCTCGCTTGTGCTTTTTAGGCTTACCGTCATAAGCTGTGATTACATCTTCGGATCATACTTTGAAACACTTTTAAATTTTTTCCCTACAATTTTCCTGACATTTTTCGAAAAAATATCCCCTTCCAGGCTGGCGACAAAATGTGCCCTCCTACGAAGGAAATGGTCGAGGAGGCTGAAGAGAAAAAACAAGTTCCCCAAGTCAAGGAGTCGTACTACGAGAAGCTTCTCAAGCGCCAACAGCAGAAAAACGCGGAACAAGTGGAAGTTGTCGAAAAACGGGTCAAAACTGAACACTTTGAAGAAGAAGAAGAAGAATAAAGACTTTTCAAATTTTTTTATTCGAATGAACTACTGTTGGTGTGGCTTTCTTCCGAGTCTTCTTCCCATATTGTCCCTTGTTCGATGGTGATGAACTTGGGCAAGTCTGTTCTTTGTTCCATTATCGATTTGAGTTTTTCTCGTGGCTCCAAGTAGAACTGTAATTTGAAAATGTAGATTTTAATAGCGTCCTTTGCGCTTGATCGAAATATTCTTTGAATTTCCTGGAGTTCTGAGCTTGTTTTTTTCCCAGCTCAAAAATTCTGGAAGAATTTGGAATCCTTAAGCTTCTGCTCCGAAAAATAGAAAGTTGGAACTTCTCGGGCAAAGTTAGAATGATGGATAAGGCCGCTAAGAGGCTCAAAAAAGGCCGCAGAAAGGCAGCAAAAGGAGTCCCTTTATCGAGCCTTTCATTTTAATAGGATTTTAAAGGATCAAGAAATGGTGGAAAAGGGAAAAGGAGCAAAAATGGTACATAAGAGCTGAGAAAATGGAGCAAAAAGGCAGCAAAAAGGAACCTTTCTCATCCTAAAAGGGAAATTTCTATGAAGCCTTTTTCTTTCCGAATTTGCCTATGCTCCAAGGTCTTCATCCAAAACATCAAAAATATTCTGGACGTTTTGGAAAGAATTTCTGGTAAACTAACCTCGTAGGACCCCATATGATAGGTTCCCCAATGGATTCCTATGCTCATTTTGGACCGAATCATTTCATGCATTCCCACGGCTTCTTCAGGATTGATGTGCTGAGATTTCATGAACCAACTAAACTTATTTAAATTTCCATCTTTTTCGAAAATAAGAGAAACTTAGGCTCATAGGCTCCGATAGGAATGGCAGCCAGGTCAAAGGGTCCAAGCTTCTGGCCGATCTTCCGGAATTCCTTGTCACAGTTGCCAGTGTCGCCACTGTAGTAGAACCTCCTTGAAGGCCCAACTACAGCCCAGCCAGCCCATAGACGCTGGAAACTTTCTTGAATATCTTTTTCGTATTATTCTTACTCTATTTCTGTCCAGTGGTCCACGCTGTCCCCAATGCTGAGCTGGGACACACCAAATCGTGAAGTTTTGATCGTTTATTCTGATCTCAGTGTGTTCTCCCCTGTATGATGCTTTTTTTAAAGTTTGCCAAGAATTTTATAACAACTTTTTGATGAATATAAGTTTGTTATGTGCGGTTTTTCCCGCTAATTCGAAATCCATGCTAGAAATTGCCTTCAAAGTTTGTGAGAGAAATTATAAGAACTCAAACTTTGAAAAAGTGCCCACTGAAAGAATGGGACGCCTTAAGCGAAAAATATCTTTTAGGCTGATTTTTCTTTCGAATAAACACGTTTCTTTCTGATCACCAAGACCAGTTCTATCTACCTCCCAAACATGAGCTCAATCAAAATTTCAATGTTTTTTTAACTTTATAATTTTTTTTTTCAAAGGTTTCAGGAGCTCTTTTCAGGCATTTATTTAAAAATTAGAGTGAAAAAAACTGTGCCTAGTGACCCTAGTCTCCATCAGAATTCCTACTGTGCACTATAACATTTCCGGTGAGAATCTAGTACTTTTTTTTTGTCCCAAGCTAGCGATGAATGAACTAGACTTTAAAAAGTACCAATTCATTTCCTTGACCCGATGTGGGTGTTCTTCCGAATTGGATATTCCTATAGTCTTCATCCACCCTTGCATTCCCAACGGCACGAACCACTGTATGTTTGGCGACATTCTGCAGAAAGGCTCAGTAAATTTGATAGGATTCAAAAAATTCTAGAAAAATATGTTACTTCCAGATCTCCAGACGGAGTTTTCGTGTTTATTTTTTTATTTTTTTAAGGCGGTCATAAAAAAGTAGAGAAAATAAAATTCAGAAATTTGGAGATTATAAAAAAACGATCAGAAAGATCCTCACTCTGTGATCTTTTTGACCGCGTCGGCATCAAGGTGATCGTAGTGATCATGGGAAATAACAGCAAAGTCGAGCTGTGGGAGGTCCTCAATGTCCATTGGTGGAGGCCGGTAGCGTTTGGGACCAGCAAAGGAGAGGAAAGACGCTCTTTCGGCCCAGATTGGGTCTGTTATGAACCTGGGAAATGTTTGCTTGAAGGAAACCTATAGTTTAAAGCGACGGTAAATGAAGTATAAATTCTCACTTGGCTCCTTCTAAATTGACCAATACAGTAGCGTGGCCAAGCCAGGACGCAAAAAGTTTCGACGAGACATTTTTGCTTTCGAATTTGGTCAATTGATGTACTGGAATTGTTTTGTCAAGCTCCTGGAAGACAACGAAGTTCAAGTTTTCCATATCCGCGAACTAGGATTATGATTGGCTGGTCCCACTCCGAAATCGCAGCCAATCAGAGGCGCAGTCTGTTCAAAAGCTTTCCTGATGTTTTTAAAGGAGCATGGCGAAATTTCATGAAGGCGAATGTTTTCAAGAACCACGAAAAAACTTTTGAAAATACCAAAAATCGAAAACGGAGAACCTTAGAGTCGCTTGGAACATTCTCGAGATCCTTCTCGAATAATCTCCACTTCAACGCGGCTTTTAGTCCGGGAAGTCCGCCCCATTTATCGAATGATGGTGGGTTCGCGAATCTGATAATGTTTCTAGAACATGGAAAAAGAAGAAAACTCACGATCCGGCGCTGATCAGAGGCTTGGCGAATTCTTTCTCGGATTCTGAGGAGGTAGAGGCCGCTGGAGCACTCATCACCTGCAAGGACAGGTGAAAAGTTGAAAATAACGGAAAAATACGGAAGCTTGGTTTTTTTTTATGTGGCAGTGGAGTTCAATTTTTCCTAGAAAACGGCTTCATTAAAAAAGGAAGGGTACAAAGAAGAAAGTTCAAAAACGCCATAATCTGTCCACTGACGACACATTTTATCAGTCGATTCATAGAAAATGGAAACGCGTGTTATAAAAATATTTTTCAAATAAAAAAATGGATTTTCGGAAACCGCCATTTTATCAAGCCCAGCCACATCTCCAGTACTTTTTTTTAAACAATTTTTGATCGAAATACCTAATAAAAAACCAACCTTAGTCCTTCCACACATGAACACCCCGAACGAAAGCAGAATAAAATTTCTCATCGACGTGAAATGAAACATGAAGCTATATAATAATTGAAAAATAGATGAAAATGATTAATTGAAAACTTTAGAGCTAAAAACACCTGCGATCACGTTTTTCATATAAGATTTTAGGTATGACTGAAAGTGTAAGGTTTTTGAACGTACTAAAAAGATTATCGTCAAACACAAAAACAAAAACAGTTGGCAGGAAGCTTTTGAAAAAACAGCTGTGCTTGCCTTGGGCGTGGCTTTACATCAAGACGACTTCCGCGATGCTTTTTTATTTCTTTATTTCTGTTCCTTCACGAATTTTCTCTACATTTTTGATTTATATAGGAAGTTCAAAAATCGTTTCTGAAGGTTTATAAGACCCAGAATCCAAAAATAACACAAAAACGGCTTCAAGCTTTGAGAGTATCATAAAAAAACAAGATTAAATCAAAAATTAACTTTTTGAACATATTCTTTTAATGTGTGGCATAATGGCATATATAGCTAAAAAAACTGAACAACGCGGCGATTTTCATGAAACGTTCATATTTCTAGAGTTTTTTTCTAAAATTTGAAAAAAACCACCAACCTTTCATTTCCAATTTTGAAACGTACGCGTAGTTCAAAGTTCAATTCAATTAACTCAGGCACTGACGGCGCGTGTTTGTTGCCAAAAGTGCGCATGCGCGCCGCCTGCTGCGCGCACGCGCGGGGCGTCTCTTTTGTTTTTTTAGCTTTTTTTAACTAATTGAAAAGTTATAATTTAATATTTTTTTCATGTCTGTTCATCTCTTAACATTGCTCTGCACCAGTTTATAACAATTAGATTGCACAAAAATGTGAAATATCAAAGTTTCACTTGGCAACTTTTTTTCATAAATTTGTTCGAAAGTGCTCGGAACAACTTTAAAACGTGAGCAGGGGCACTGGGTAATATCAAAAAAATATAAAAAATATATTTCAAAACCTTATTTCAGTGGAAAAGGCGAAAAAAGAATCAGTACCCCCGCGCGTGCGCGCACCAGTGCCTGAGAATTCAATTTCCAAAAAAAGCAACTCCTCGTTAACTGCGCTCTAACGAACAAATCTCTCCGATTGGCGGAAAAAACCAAAACAGTGTTTCTTTTTTTTCAAATTTTTGCTGTGAGTTTTTGCCGTGTTCAAAGTAATTTCCGCGAAATGCAAAATGATCTTTGACTCTCCAAAATTTAGTGATCTTTTCCTTTCTCTAACGGGTATTTTGCATTTCGCGGAAATTACTTTGAACACGGCATTTCTTTTCGCGATTTTAAAGAGCTATAGTCTGTTCAGATTTTGAATGTCAAGTCGTCGCTCAAGCTCCGCCCCTATAGGTGCGATAAACCAATTAGAGAGAGCGAGCCATCCACAGAGTGTTTTGTATGACGTCATTGCACTTGACATTAAAAATCTGAACAGACTATAGATCGCTAAAAAAAAACGCCTCTTTTTTTTGATATTTCTATGCTTCCTTAGAAATTCCAACAAGAAGTTTTTAACAATCAGTTGAACAGACACTTTTTGAAATTTCTCGTGATTAATGGTTCAGTTCACTATAACACTAACTTTTTGGTCTAATCTAATATTTAACCAAAAATTCTCACTCGTGACCACAATACTGACGACCGAAACGCCAGACTGAATTAACTGGATGCTTTTTAGATGGAACTCAAGTAGATTGAACTCCAGTAATTGTTTGAATTGGCCAATCGGGCTCAAGCTTGAAGCATAATGTAATGAGCTGTTCGGTTTGATTGCGTCTGTGAGTTTCGAGAGTGCAAAAATGTCGCTCACGAAAACGCTCACTGATCGATCCACCGCGGCGGATTCTTCGCCCTCTCCGATTGGCCCGCTCTTTCGTCGTTTTTTCCCCCACCGCAACACCGGTTCCCTCTTACCGCTCGTTTTCCTTCTATTTCTTCATTTCAATTTGTCTTTTGTCAGTCAACTTCCTTTGCCAACAAGTTTCGGTAGGAATTCTTTAGTCTTCTTCGCATTTTTCTATCAAATATGAGGTTTTTTTTTAGCTTTTCTTAATTTTTGACAATTTTCTTTGTTTTCTTTTTGTTTAATGTGTCTATAGCTTCATCAAAATGTATACAAGTGTCTAGCCTTTGATTGGTTCACAGGTTATTTTTTAATATTGCTTTTTGACAGATTTTGATAGTTTTAAAAATTATGTCGTTTTTTATAAACTTATACGCTTCTAAAAAAATTAAGAAAAGCTTGATCGTTTTTAGGCGAAAAACCATTTTTATTATTATTCTCTTTCTTTTTCTTAATGATTACTACTTTTGCACCTTACGAGAAGCTGGTCTGAAAAGAATCGAAATTATATTTCCACTGTTTTAATAGTTTCGCCGGTCACCTTCTAAATATCATTATAAAGTGTTGACCGTGAACGTGCGATAAATTCTTTCGAACGTCTTATCAAAGGTGAAAAAAGACCTGATAAGAACGAAAATTTTCCCTTCCTCATTTTTGTGAAAACTTTTGTCGAAAACTACTCATTTTAGTTATAAACTAGACAAAAATTTATCAGCTAAAAAATCCAACATACACCTGACTTTTTCCGAAACGTTAACTCTGTGAGTACGAGAGAAAAGTTCATTCCTTGTAATGGTTGGTCACAATTATCCGTTCCGCGAAACCCCGATGTGCTACTGCTCAATCGTCCCTTATCCTCATTTGGGTATTTTCTAATTTTTTTTTATTTTCGTTTCACGAAACACGAATACTAAGTTGGATTTTATCTGTCAATACTCTCAATTTCTGCTCAAAAAGTCCTTCTCGGTGTGTTAAAATGCACAGATGTTTTACATAATTGAAAAAGAGGAAAATTATTTGTTTCGAAACCTTGAAGAAATGTTCCGGTCCGTCTTGGAACCCCCAGGAAGAAATTTTCCAAATTATTGAGCTGTGGTTTTATTTTTCAAGTTTCGCAAGCGCTCGATTTTTTTTCTTTATATCAATTATTTTTCTTTGAATTTTTTTGAAAAAAAGTTTTTATAGAACACGATTGGCGACCTCAGCTAGTTTCGTGGACTCGACCTTGTGTACCTGGAGGGATTCCGCTCGAATTTGGAGGCCAAGGCGGATTCGACAGGCCTTTAAGTAACGCAGTCGTTGTGCCACCTGGTTTCTCGTGCCGTCATCGATTTGGGTACTTCTGCCCTGATTACGGTTGGTTTATCGATTTTCAAAAACTTTCAAATTGCTGAGAATATCACAAAGCTATTATTTATTCTGATGACAGCTAAATTCCATCAAGTGTAGTCTGTCAAACTGAAATGAGTCATCACAAACATGATAATATTTAACAACCAGAAATTTGGTCAAATCAACTTTTTTTAACATTCCATTTTTTAGGATACTGTCCGTCACACGCCACAACGGCGCAGCAAAATTATTATCAGCAGTAAGTTCTCATATCATTTTTGATAACTTTCCATTTTTTTTTTCAGTCCTTCTGCTAGGTCGCGTATTTCTCCCCAATACGTTTATACTAGTCAGAATAACATGAGCAACAATATCAACGGGATCATTGCCGGTTTGAATCTTTTTCTTCTTCAACAGGAAATACTTAACGTGAAATGATTAAATGAAATTAGCTGTGTGGTATAAGGATATGACAAAAAAAAAACATTTAAAATTTGAATTCGTTCAATTTTTATTTGAAAAAGCTTTTTATGTGTTTCGGTCTTTTTTCCAGATAGTTCTACGGTTTTTTGCGTCACGTATTTGATTTCCTTTTGTTATGAAACATTGTATTTTAATCAGAGGCCTTTAGGAAACGGATTGCCGCCAGGCGTCACGGCTTCGTCGCAGCAGCACGGTCAGGCGCCGCAAAACATGCAGGCTCAACAAGGCGTCGCCGTTCCGCAACAAGCCAAGACGTTGGCACGAATCCAAGGAACCTCTCCGGGTTTGTTTCTTCTTCTGTTGCGAGCTGTCAGAAGTATATTAAAAAAATTTTTATGTTATTCTTGAGAGGGTCATTTTTTTCTTTCCGGTTGGGGGATTTTTCTAAAAAAATTGGCCGTTAATGCGCCAAAAAAAGATGCTAAAATTCTCAATCTGAAAAAACTTTCTTTTTTTGTGAAAAAAAGGACGCTTCAAGGTCAGATAAAACTCTCAAAAACCGGTAAAATGGGTTTTTATTTTCGAAAAACGAGGAAGTTATGCATGTTGAGACTCACTATCTTTTTCTGGTTCATCAATGCTCAATTTCTGAAAAATTCTGTTTGTTTATATTTTCAAGACTAATGATCAAAGGTATAAATATTCTGCTTTCAAAATTTATCGATGGGGATGTGTTTTTTTCAACGTTTATTTTCATAGATAAATATTGTTTCGATAACCTTTTTTTCATCTTTGTCTGTAAATATAAGCCGCAGAAGGTCTCCCGTACTTCTCAAACTTCAAACCGCTTATGTTTGGTCGATTCGATCACAACTTGCTTCATAGACCTTGTGTTTGACCAAAAATAATAAGCTTATCATCGGAAAATACAATTCATGTGGTCGCTCAGCTGATTTTCCTTGTTCATTTGCTGATAAACAAACAGTTTGTAGTGAAATATTGTACTAGCTGATGACTTCTCTCAAGTGTAAGCTGTGTTTCAAGCCTTCGCGTAGGTTTTTTGTCAAATATTCTATTTTTTTAAAACCCGTATTTTCATTAATCATATATTGAGACAAATTTCCCATCTCTTTATTTGTTTTTGTACTGGTCTTGGGTCTTATTATTCATTCAGTGAGACTTACGTTTTTTTCAAATGAAAAAAATCAAATAATTGCAAGAAAACTTTTCTAGAAAACCTGGAATTTTATAAATTTTTCATCCATTATCTTGTTGAGGAGCAAATTGATAAAAAAACTTTCAAAATTATCAACTTTCAATATTGCAAATTTTTATCCCTAGAGTCTCTGATGGTAAATTTCAGGCTTCCCGCTTTACTGAACTCTTTTTTTTCGATATTTGTAGTATGTATTGTTCGAAAAAGAACCGGATAATTTCAAAAAAATGAATGACACGATTTGAAGGAAAGTTACTTGAATAAATCACTTGGTAAATTTTCTCATATGTATAACTCTATTCCGTTTCAACTATTAAATAAAATTTCCACGGCTGTTGAGAGAGATATATGTCAAAAATTCTTTCTGATAAAAGATGAATAAAAAAATTGATAGTTTTGTTCCAAGTCGATAGATAACGGAAAACTATAGCGTTTTACAAAAAGAGTACGGTACGTGGAAATCCGCATTCTTTTTTGAAGTTTAAAATAAAAAGGGAAAAAAGCGGAAACGGACCACTCAGAAACATCACGCAAAAAAGTGCAAACACACACTGAAAATTTCAGAATGTGGACTTTCACATACAGTAATCTTCAAAAAAATGAAAAACACATTTTTATCGGAGTACCCAACTTTCAGCAGTGCTCTCTGTCGTCGGCACGGGTTCGGCCACGACACAAAGCGTCGCTCCACAAATTGCCACAGTCGTTCCTTCAGAAAACTGCGACAGCAATGCTGAGGTATTCCGTCGAAATTTCCTTTTTTGTTGAAAACTTCTATCTTTCAGGTCCTGGCCGTCTTCGAGTGTCCGGTGTGCCTGGAATACATGCTCCCGCCGTACCTGCAGTGCCAGTCGGGCCACTTGGTCTGCTCCAACTGCCGGCCCAAGCTCCAATGTTGCCCAACTTGTCGCGGCCCAACTCGTGAGCCTTTCGTTTACTTTTCCTCTAATAATTAGATTTTAGCCAGCGTTCGGAACTTGGGATTGGAGAAAATTGCCAATACGATGCGTTTCCCATGCAAATTCGCCTCTTCCGGCTGCACTCACATATTTTTCCATTATGAGAAGATTGAGCACGAGGAGCTCTGCGAGTTCAGGTAGGCTCTAGGAGTATTTCTGAGAAAAATTCAGCTTTTCCTAGGAGATCGTGTATTGACTTTCATTATAATTTTAAGTTTTTTGGAAACAGAAAATTGCCTCAAGTTAGGGTAAAATAACTTTCTTCATCCTTTTTGCTAGCTATTAGTTCATAAAAAAAGAATCAATAAGATTTTCTGGAAAAAAATTAGAAAAATCAGAAAAAAACAAATTTTTTTAGGTGACTTGTAAGTTTGAAAACCTTGAATTTCAAAATTTGTTTCGAAATTGAAAAAAAAAATGACTTTTTAAACTGTTTTTTGGTGGCTAGAAGTATTAGGAATCGTTTTGTATCTTATGCAAGTTTTATTTTCTCCAAATAGCTTTTTGTATCTCTTATGAGAATTTTGTAGAAGCATTTTCGTTGCGAGACCCTTATTAGTTTCTAAAAATGATCCTTTGAAAACTTCAGCCAGCTCTCAAATTGACATATTTTTGAACTCTCCAGGAAAAAGCCTCCCTGTTTCTAGCCAAATTTAGACCTATTTAAAAATTTTTTATCATATTCTTCTAGGCCCTATTGCTGTCCGTGTCCCGGAGCCTCGTGCAAATGGCAAGGCGCCTTGGCCGACGTGATGGATCACCTCAAAAGAGTCCACAAGAGCATCACCACCCTTCAAGGCAAGGATTTCGGAAGAAAGCCTAACTGAAGTTGAGTTTTCAGGAGAGGATATCGTCTTCTTGGCCACGGATATCAACCTTCCCGGGGCCGTCGATTGGGTCATGATGCAGAGCTGCTTCGGATATAATTTCATGCTTGTTTTAGGTCTTTATTTGTTTATTTTGAACCTATCTTTTCATTTTGGAACAATACTTACAAGGAGCAAGGTTATAGAAGCTTTGAAATGAACAAATATCGACGTTAAAGTTCGATTTTGTTCTTTCTCCGAAACGGTAGTCTCATCATTTACGAACCCTTCGTTCTTATTTTCAAATTTTTTTTGCAGAAAAGCAAGAAAAGTACGATCCGTCCCAGAGTCAGCAAATGTTTTACGCCGTCGTACAACTCATTGGCTCGAAGAAAGAAGCCGACACCTTCATGTACAGGTGAGTGAAAAAATTCAAAAAAACTATTTCCAAACCATGATAGCTTGCTATGATGTCCAAATAAGCAATGTTACTAGTTTTATGTTGAAAATCTTCTCTAGCGACGGGTTCTCATTAAGACTATCAGTGAAAAGTTCACTGGGTATACATTGAGAAGGATGAATATTCACAAATTCGCAGACTGGAGCTGTCGACGCAGCGACGTCGCATGGCTTGGGAAGCGACGCCGCGGTCGATCCACGAAGGCGTCGCCTACGCGATTCAGCAGTCGGACTGCCTCGCCTTCGACACGAACGCCGCCCAGCTTTTCGCCGGTTCGTGAATAATCTGATCATCTTTTTCTAACCTTTTTTATTTCAGAAAATGGCAACCTTGGAATCAACGTAACTATAAGTTCTGTGGAAAATATGCGGTGGGTTTTTTTTTGCCCGAAAGTACAAAGAAGTTAGAGCAGCGTGGAAAAAGTGATTTTGAGAAAAAAACGCTTGAATTTTCTTTTTCATTTTTATTTTGGAAATTTCAAAATTTATCTCTTTCCTTTTTTTGATTGAAAAATCCTGAACTCTTTTCATAATTTTCAGTAGTAATTCATTTTTTTATAAATTACTTGAGAAAAAAACGAAATAAAACTTCAAAGTCCATAGCAAGTCGAAAAAAATAATTGAAAAGCTAATTTTCTAAAATTGGGACAGAATTTTGAGTTTCTAAATTTGTTTTCTTTCAGTCAGAACAAAATGCGTTGATACTTGCTTTTTCAAATTATTTTTTTAGTGATTAAATACATTTTCAGTTCGGAGCGGGAGCAAAGCTGAACAAAAACTTGCGTTTTCAACTCTTTATTACTTTACAAAAGTATCATTCATCGTTCATTTTCCTTTTTAGATTTACAATGTTAATTTTTTTGTCTTTTAGTCAAAAGCATAGTCGCGGTACAGAAACCAAATCTCGGGATTTTTTTTCATTTTAAGAACCTATTAGAAGAATTTTGTGTAAATTTCCCTTTTTCTATTATCATTTCAACCTCATGGATATTTCGAAACAAAGCTTTTGATTATTGTTATGGTTTTTTTTTGATGCAAGCGTCTTTCCCCTAGTCTTGATTGCTTTCTCGGTTCGTATTCGTGTTTTTTCTTGTACATTTTCAGCCGCATACAGTCCTTCTGATATATAGTGTATTTACCGCTTGCTTTTGCTAAATGGAAAAGCGTCAGGATTTTTTTTGGTACGCTGCCATGCGTCTTCAAATTTGAACACGATTTATTTTCATTTTCATCCGAAAGAAGTTAACCACTTTTTTTTAAAATTTTATTGTTATCAAATCAATTCTAAAGCGGACTACTGAGTTACTTTCATGTTATAGAAGACATTAATCATGGAACTTGCTCAAATTCATAAGCGCATGGAAACCACGCCAAAATATATTCTGAAGCAAATTTTCCGCAATCCAGCGTGCCGATTTCTCTCCAACCACCGCGTTTTTTTCGACCCTTTCGAATTCGTTTCTACGGGTACCTGACGGTCTTTTTTCTTAAAATTCTAAACGCTCATCAAACTGTTGCATGTTTGTTTTGTTTTTGTAAAGTACATCTCTCAAAAATGAGCTCTTTGAACTGCTTATATTTTCATTTCGCCTGACTCATCTTGTCGGTTTCATTTCGGTTCGCAGTTTTAAAAAAACTTTCTTCGTCATTATTAGACCCATGTGAATAAAATTGTCCATGTTCGAAAGATTCATCGGAAAGAAGGAAGTGACCACTAGAGGGGAGAATCGTTTGGAGCGTCTGGCTCTGCGACTAATGGCGGCTGGCTCAGCGACCGGCGCCAAAGGCGGCGCGAGTTTTTCAGCGATGTCGCCTGAAAAAAAACGCCCATCTTTTTCGCTTACATTCGTTTTTCTATGTTTCAATAGTCGCAAGTCGCATTTTTCAAATTTCCAGGTGTTTGCAAAGGTTTCCCGCTGGAAAATCTTTATTCTACGAGAAATCAACTATCTGAATCCGACATCACGAATAGAGAAAAAATAAAATGTTTTTTTGCTAAAATTTGTTTTCTAATTTAACAAGACGGGTTCAAAAATTTCCTGAAAAATAGTATTATTAGATTTTTTTTTTTTTCTAGGAGCTAAATAACTCGAAAATGATTTGGAATGAATGAAGAACCGGTAAAGAAGGTTTGAAGTTTGAATTCGAGAAACTGAAGTGGTCATTTCAGGGGTTTTTCTCACCTAAAAATTGGGGACTTGAGAATTTTCGCGCAACAGAACTTTTTTTGGCCAAAGTCTGAAATTTAATATCTTTATGCTTGAAAAACGTCAACAGCTTGAGAAAAAGCACAAGAAACTCAAAAAAATTTTTCAATAAAATGAAGAATATCATTGAAATTTGGGAAAAAAATTTGTTGCGCGAAAAATATTTTTTTTCAAGGCTCTGGAATGTTTAGGGGACACTAGGATAGAATGGTCGATTCACCGCTATTTTTTTATAATTATTCGAAAAAAAATTCTCGAGGGAGGCTTTTTGTAACGAAAACGAAAATTGTGAGTTGAAACTTAATTTTTTTTACGGAAAATAAAATCTTGTTGACGTCCCGCTCTACTGTACGTCTCTGATTGACTGGTAAAATCTTTTTACGGTTTTAAGGCAAAAAACTTACGGATTTCTGGATAGAAATACTAAATAGCGGTGAATCGAGAGGAAATCAGGCACTTAAAATAAAAATCTTGAAGGAAAAACTTTTTCGTTGATAAATATTGCATTTCTCACAGGAATCTCAAAGACCCGAGGTGAGTTAACTTATTGGAGAGGTTCCTAACAGGCTGACGGATGAGTTATAACTTCTCTGCCTGACTTCATTTTTTGAATCAATGTGAGAAGTTAGAGATTAAGAAGGAAAATAACTCATCAGCTACTCTAGAATACGGTAAAAACAAGGAGAAAAAGAAGAAACGAGAGGGGTCAATGATTGGGAGAGCTGTCTGCGGTGGCGGTCCCGCTGCGACTGCCGCCGCTTTTCGTTTTAACGGGACTATCCTTGCGGCGGAACATGTCGTGTCGGATCCGAGGCGACGCGGCTCTGTGAGGAGGCGTCGAGGTGTGTGTCGATCCGGAAGGCATGTTGGGCACTTCGACGGACGGAAGGGCGTCGACCCCTCGTACTCGCACCGGTCGATGCTGAAACCAGTTGAAAACGATTTGGAAAGAAAAGTCCGCTGAATTTGGAACTAATCACTCACGATCTCGGCGATGTTGATCTGGACGGCTTCCTTGGGCGGACTGGTGGCGTCTGTCCTCGTCAGTCCGGACTCGCCGCGCTCCTCGACTGTCGCCACGGTTGGGTGCCATTCTATCGTCGTCCCCTTCAAGTACATCATTATACTCATACTCGTACATGACCTTTTGACGCACTAGAAAAAAAAACTCTCAAATAGGACATTATCATCTTTTGAAAAACAGAGAAAAAAATTTTTTGAAAATTTTAAGCAGTTTCCTATGAATACTAGAGAATGATAATCGTTGAAAACATTTTTCATAATTAAAAGAAATGAAATAGTAAAATACATAACTTTTTCCGTTTCCTAGTGAGGATAGAAACAATTTTCATAATGATCAAAAAACAACTTTTGTCAGTATTAATTTACAAAGCCATTTTTCATTCATTTACCTTCAAAGCATCAGAAATTCATGTTCAATAGATAACAGTCTCAGAGACACAAAACAGTGCCAAACCTCATTTTGAAGACTTGGAGGCGCTGAGAGAAGCATATTGTTGACGCTCTCATCAGTCTTCACCTGAAATAAAAACTGCAAAAAGGATTTGGGCCGAACCGGGAGTCGAACCCGGGACCTCTCGCACCCGAAGCGAGAATCATACCCCTAGACCATCCGGCCACTGGGAGCGACGCAGCGCTTTCGCGTACACTTGGTTCCTGACAGAGCGTGTGTACTCAATGCACCGCTAAGCTAGTCCCAAAAAAGTTCCTCTACTTGTCTGGTGTCTCTCGCCTTTGCAGGGAATTTTCGCTGACTGTGCTGACTTGCAAAAAGAGCACGAATATTTTAAAATTAGTGAACTCTTAGTAGGGAATTGAGCATGAAAAGCCAATTTTCACTTCAAAAAAAAAATTATTCGAAAATAAAAAAGTGGCAATTTTCAAGCTACGGAAGAATCATTTTCAATATCACATGTTATTTCAAATTTTTCATGGAAGGTTCAGATTTTAGATTGAGTTCGATATTATAGCTTGAAATTTTGAAAATGTTTTTTCCCCCATAATCCGCCTTCATTTTTGCAATAAGACAACGATACTTCAAAAAACCGGGATCTGTAAAATAGCTTGAAGAGAACGGACACCTCAAGGTTCGAAAGAAAAAAACTTCCACTTTTTCCCCTTCAAAAATGAATTTCCTCACTTCGGTCGTGGTAAGAACCGGCCGGACACGTTTGCTGTGCATGGTGGCGATCCGCGTCGGCGTCCTCGACCTCGACGGAACCTTCTCGTGGTTAGGATCTTCGAAGACAGGCTCCAGAAGGTCGTGACCATGTAGCAGAAGCACCGCTTGCTCCGCGCCGACCTTCTCGATCGTGTGGATCACCTTCAACTCTCGTCTTGGAAACTGACTTAGATTCGGATCTGAGAACCTTCTTTCCAATATTCTTCCAATTGTATATGGCCTGTTTTCTCTGTTTCGCCCTGGTTTTCTTCGTTTGTTTGATGACCATCAGTCCACGGACCTCCATTCCATTTGAAGTCTCCTAAAAGGAGATTTGAAGCTCTTTTTTTTGATTCTTTGCATGAATTACATTTCTGCCATAATTAGGATTACTGGTGTGTTTTTCGCTACTTCATAGGTAAAATGAAAATTTTCTTTGGAGTACCCTCAAAAGGACCTAAGAAGGCTTCTCCCAAAGCTTCTAAAATAATGGGGAACCGCTTTTGGGCTCTTTTTTTATATCCTCGGGGGATCTTTTTTTGAAATCACTGGAATCTTTTGATAAAAAAATAGAAAAAGCAAAAATGAAATGAAAAGATCTGTTGGGAGCCACTAAAAGGTTTTTTTTTTGAAAAAAGCTTCAACTTAAAAGTTTTTGAGTGTCTGCGTCTCTCTGTTCCCTCATCGACGAGGTCAGAGAAACATGAAAATAGCACTTTCACACGAGAGAGTCACCAAGAGACGAAGAGGGCGCAGAGAGTCGCGAAAAACGGACATTTTTGTGATTTTTGAAACTTTCGCCCGAGGTTCCTAGCCATTCTACGTGCGGCCATGAAGTTGTTGAGTAAAAACTAACCTGATTGTCCAGTCGAATACTGTACTCCAACTGGCTCGCCACCAACCGTTCGCGATTTACAGATCGCTCCAAGACCATCACGATTTGTGCATACTGTATTTTCATTTGAAAATAAAAGAGCTTACAAGGGAAAGCTTCACCTGCTGCCTCCAAGCTTTCTCAGCTTGAGCGATGACCGTCGTGTAGGTGTTACCCATCATGGCGATCAAGATGTTGATCATCATGATCGGCATGACGAACATGTACAGGACAAAGAGGGTCTTGGTCAGAGGCTCGTAGTTGGCGCAGGAGAATTCTTCGTACTGGAAAGACAAAAAGGTGCCTTGAAACCGAGTTATACTTCATTCACCGGTGTTTTCGGACACAAAAAAACAATAGAGAGATGTCTAGACCTCTTCTTTAAGCACCGTTCTCTCTAATCGTGTGAACTCTACTAAATTTTCTCTTATAGTCTTTTCAAATCTCCCTGAAAAACTAAGTCATGCAACTGCCGCGTTGCGGTCGCGTCGCGTCTTTTGGCGGAAAATGACAATTCAAACGCAAACCCCGTTTTTTTCTCTTTCTCAACTTCAGACTATGCTTTTCTATGGTTCTGGAACAACATTTGAATGAATGAGAATTGAAAAAAACCATTTTCTAGATATTCCATGTTCATGTTTGAATCCACGTTCCCCGCCGCAAGTAGCGACCGCAAAAAAATTGCCCTGGTGGAAATGCTTTCATTTTCTCAAGGTCAGGAAAAATTGGATATATTTTTCAAGTAAGCTAGAATGGACTGAGATATTTTTGAGCATTATATAATGGTATTTGAAGCTATGTAAATCACCGCCATCCATAACATATTTAAATTTCAGTATATTCTGATAGTTTAAAACGAAATTATGGTCAGAAAACCCAAAAAGGCATGTTTTAATGACCAGTACTGTATCCCTACATCGTAACCGCCCATCGAAGCTCGAAACAAGGTGATGAACGTCTCCGGGAAGGTGTTGTAGGTGTAGATTGTGTAACCTTCGACCAGACAGGCGTGCGGATTCGTGTCCTCGAGCTTCTGCTTCGCGTCCATGTCCTTTCCGACAAAGTAGAACACTGGAAACGTTTCATAATATTTGCCTCATCTTGAAACTTTCTGACTTGTCTGCGCTCTCTGAAGACTCACATGCTACTTTTTATCTCCCATGGCCTGCAGGTGAGAGATCAGAGAGCGCAGACAGGTCAGATTTTTTCAAGCCGTAGCGCAGGATGTGAAAATTCAAAATTAGCAGTGTTCAAAAAAAGGAAGAAGCTTCTAAACTTGTTCGAAAGCGATGAAACTTGAATTTAAGCCTCGAGGAAACCTAGATCTTTCAAAATTTTGTTGAAAAGAAACTAAAAATATACGAAAATGTAAGAAATCTTTGACAAAGTAAGAAGTTCAGCTCTCACGTCTAAACTAAAAAGAAAACTAGGTAAAACGTTAAAACTTTCGAAATTACGGTAGATGATCATGTGATCTACGAACTCAGCCTACAACCCCCGGAAAAATTTGTATTTTGAAGGCTCAACTACAATTCAATCTGAAATCCCATACCTTGAGAGAAGGAAAAAAGGAAGATGGCTGAAATGATTGCGAAACGAATCATGTCACCAGCAATCATACTATAAATCATCTGCACGAACGGACCCGTCAATTTGGCACTTCTACAAAAAAAAAAAATTAATTTACAATAAACCGCGGTCGCAGGGAGAATGGCTCAAAGCGTCGCGGTCGTCTACACTTTGAATAAAATTCTCTCAAAATTTACAGGCTAAAAATTTGAATGTTTCATACAGAAGTTCCTTGGAACGGTTTTCCTTCAAAGAATAAAAATGACCGCTACGCGACCGCGACGCGTTGGTTCATTCTCGATCTGGAGTATTAAAGGCAGTAAAACATCAGTTTTCCAATATTATCGCCTAACTCCAGAACCGAAAAAAAAAACAAAACTCATTTTTAGCTTCGCACCGAGACATCGAACTGCACAAAAATGATTACCGTAATCAATTTTTCAGAAAAAAATATTTACGCAGCTTCACACTAGTTAGGAGCTCTCATGGCGAAGAGCTTTATGTCGTCAACAAAAAAATTTTTTTCTTCGGGAAAATAAAGAGAAAATTGAAAAATGACGATTTTTTAAAAGTAAGTTCTTTGAAGCCTAATAAAAAGGCTCGAAGGGTTTCAAATTATATCTAAAAATCTCATTTTTCACTGGTCGTATCATTGAATATATTTTACAAGACCTTGCGAAAAAGAGAAGGAAAATCCAGGAGCCAGGAAGAGCGAAGACGAAAAGAGCTTCTTCGAGCTCGTGCTTCCGGCAAAGTCGACAAGGCAGACACAGTATCAGAAAGACGTTGGCGACACAAAAAACTGCCTTCGCAGGCGCCGTTTTCTACAAGGGAGCGTTTATACTTCATGCGTCACAACGTAAGATACTCTGACGTGTCTGCACTCTCTTTTCTCTCACAAGGAAGGTAATTTTACGTTTTTCTCAGGTGAATGATAGCCATGATACTTCTTAAAGTACCAGATGAAGAGTCAGAGATTCTAAACCTGCAAAAATCCCTAAATTTCCAGTAAACAGCCCATTTTCACAGGTTTCGAAGTTTTTGTGATTTTGAGGCATCTTTTCCCGAAAACACCTATAGAGTCACCAGTGAGAGAAAAGAGAGCGCAGACAGTTCAGAGAATTCAATTCATTCCCAATTAATAAACTCACCAAATTCCGGAGGTAACCTCTGAATCCCTGAGTTCGGATCTCCCCCAGTTGCTGCCAAAAAACGAAAAAAAGACAATTGAGCACGGTCAAAACTTCAAAAAAGGCGCGAAACTGAAACTCCATTATATTTTCCTTTAAAAAAGGTTGTTGCCTTGTCGTCAGTCTGAGGCTCGTCCATGTAGAGCCGCTCGAGCTCGGTCGGTCTCACATAGACGACAAAAGAGAGCATCACCAGTTGGGCTATCAAAAACGCGGCTCGCTCTACCAGTTTTCTCTAGAAATCTTCTTTTTTAGAGGATTAGCCTAATTTTTTTTTCATAATGCAGCTAAAAAAAATCATGCAAATGTCAAAAAGTTTGGATTTTCTATAGGCTGTCTACGCGATATATTTTATAATGGCGCTGCGTAAAAAAATTCATGATTTTTGTTTTTTTGGATATGATTTTTTTAATTGTACAGTACAGTGGATTGCTTGGTTGAGAATCAGCTTTCTTTTTTTAAAAAAATGTGAATAAAAAAATTAAAAGAAAAAATTCCTGTTCTGAACGCAAATCATTTTTATTTTTCCGTACGATTCCGCTGAGACCCAATAAAATAGTTCGAAAATCTATAATTTAATTTTTCTTCAATACTTCTACTTAAACTTTAACTAAATTTAAAAAATTCCAATTTTCAAATACTTTGCTTCTCTACTAAAGAAAAAGATACACTAATTTGAAATTTTATGGGTTATAAATATGAAAATCAAGCGAAAAATCTCAAAAACACGGACCTGAGCGAAGGCCTTCCATTTATCTGCCAAAAGTCGCTGAATCACTTCGTTTCCTATCATGTCCAAATGTTCAGGCGTCGATCCGTTGATCACGGTCATCAGAGCAGAATCGTAGTCTGGAAAGAAATCTTGATCAGGGGCAGACTTAACAAAGCAATTTAGCCCAACTTCGTTTCAAAAGGGAATGTACAGCTATAATTCATTTTTGGTAGCTTGAAAAACTTCTCTGAGCCCTCCTCGTCTCTCGGCGACTCTCTTATGTTGACGTGCTATTTTCTGACGCCGGTGAGGGAACAGAGAGACGCAAACACACGAAAACTCTCAAGTCGCGGCGAACGGACTATATAACTTTTTTTTCGAAAAACCAACTGATAGAGCCATCCGGCTGAATGGTGTCAAGGGCGTTAAGCGGATAAGCCGAGCAGGTCATGTCCGAAAATCGCCAGAATTCCTGCAAACATGGGTTTGGAAAAATTCTGATCCAGCTTGAAACAGTGACTCTAACTGACCACTTTCATGAGCTCGAGCATTTCCTCGAAAATCTGCTTTCGGCCGAGTTTCGTGGCGAGTGTGAGGGGTGTAAATCCGGCGTGGTTGACGACGTGCGGGTCTGCCGGCTGAGCCCAGTGCCGAACTGCGTAGGAGTACATCGACTGGAAAATGGTATGTTAGAGAAACTATGAGCTGAAACAGACTTATTCTTCAAATTATATTATGTTAGGTTTTGAATGTCAAGCAGAAAACTCCGCCCCTAACAACGCTCTGTGGATTGCTCGCTCTCTGGTTTGATCTACGCATAAGGGGCGGAGTTTGTGGAGTGACTTGGCATTCAAAGAACAGACTATATGTGTCTTTGAATTCAAATTATTGTATTGAAGTTAGTTATTTTCATTTTCCTGAAATATTTTGTGACAAAAAACCCACGCTGCTGTAGTTGATGACACACATGTGGAGGATGGTGTTACCAAACGAGTCCTGGAGGTTTGGATTGGCGCCAGATTGAACCAGAAGATCGTAGATGTCCTTGTTGCCGAAGCAGGCGGCAAAAGCCAGTGGATACTCTCCATAATAGGCATAGCCTGGAATCGCACTTTTTTCATTACCAAACCATCAAGCTCTACATAAAAAATTCCCGTTGAATTTTAAAGAAAAACTACGGAACCATGGCTCTGAAAACTAAATTTTTTGTCTTCTAGTAAAGTTAAAATGCCTCAAAGTTTCACTTTTACTTTCAAAAATGCGCCTACAGAGGGAATTTTAAGGTGAGCCCTCAAGGAAAAACTTCAAGCTCCCTAAGGTTACCCCTAAAGGGACAACTCTGGCAATCCCAAGAAAAGCAAGAATCATCCAAGCTTCATAAATTCTCCAAAAAATGACTTTTCGTTAAATCCTTGTCAATTTTTTGATAAACCTGTCATTTTTATAAAACTTCTATTAATCTATTTTTCCCTCTATCTATCTTCTAAACTGAATTTTTTTTTTCATGGATCCACCTTGATAATCAGTGATCTTGTTGTTAAGCTTGAAATCCTCAGGCAGGAAGAAATTTCCGCAGGCACGAGCGTTGACGTCAGATTTGCAGGTCAACAGCAAACTGACAGTTTCGTAATCGTCATGGACAATCGCCAAATGAAGCGGAGATTGTCCTAAAATTCCGCGAATTAAAAAAAACCCCCTTCGAAAAATAAGAATCACTTACCAAACTGCTCGTCACCAAGGTAAATGTCGTTGGCGAGGCCAGGAAATCTCTTGATGAGGATTCTGGCGATTTCGTAGCATACTTGCTGCTCTCTAGAATATTTTCATTTACATTTAAAAAAAAACGAAATTCTTGGCGAAATTACATTTGGAGAGGAAAAAAAAATAATTACAATGAAAATTTTTTATTATGCAGAGTAAACCTTTCAATATTTGATAACTTTTATCTGGTCCTGGTTTTTCCGTAAATCCTTCGAATTGAAAAATTTGTATATCCTTATTTGAAAGTTTTCCTTGATACTTTTTTTCAACTCAATAATTAGGACAAAGACAAAAAAACAGGAAAAAAATAGAATTTTGATTTTTCCCCATTTTGTTAAAAAAATCACCAAGAAGCAGAACGACGCAAACTTGCACCGCGACGCGCAAAAAAAGTTAGTAATTTTTTTATTTTCTTTGTCTGATAAATCATTTAAATCAGAATTAGGCAGTGAGATTTTGTGAAGCATCAGAAACAGAATATATGGAAATTTCAACCGTTGAAAAAGAAAAACCCAAAATTTTTTCAAAAATATACAATAACCATCTTTGCAAAATAGTTTCAGAAATAAGAAATTCAGATACTCAAAAATAAAAATTTGAATTTCTCAAATTAAAAAGCACAAAGTTGCAAAATAACGCAAGAAAACTTTTTTTAAGAAATAACCCAAAAAAAGAAAGATCAATTTATGAAACTTTATTTTCATGGTCTGAAACTGAAACCTGTTGAGCAGGAGATGGATGAGGTTTTCGCCTTCGACTCCACGTTTATTGAGTTTCCAGAGGGCGTAGTGCTCCTTGAACTTGCTCGCCTGCATGTCGATGCCTTCTTCGTTGAGGCCGAGCTGAACGTTCTGAACAACTTTCTTGGCTGATGTTCTCATTTCTGTTCACTAACGACGCCCTTCTTCCACTTGACGTAGTCGGAATACTTGACGAGGTGCGGCTCGCGGCCTAAAAATAGTCATAATTTATATTCTGATCAATGGATACGCTAGCTGGTTCTCTTTGAACTCAAATTTCAGCAAAAAAGTACAAATGTTAATCAAAATAGAGAAGATGAGAAGTACGCTTTCAAGGAAAATCGACCAGTAACTTCTTTAAAAACTTGTTGAACCAAAACTTAGAAGTTAATTCTTTCCAGGTGCGCATTTTTCGAAGGGAAATTATTGGAAAACAGACCTTCGTCGTAGAGCATCGGAATTATTTTCTCCTCGGCGAATTTCAGGACTCCTTCTTCACCATCTCTTTCGTAGATGTTTATCAGCTCACCACCTATTTTTGAACAATTTTATTGAAAGTTTAAAACCCCAGAAGGAAGGTAATTTCACTCTCTATAAACTCGAGGAATTTCTTAAAATTGATCAGAAACCTCTGATGAGGATTCTTAGAGTCTTAGCCTGCAAAACTTACTAATTTGTGAGAAATAAATGCTCGATTTATGAAGATAGTCCATTCCAAGAATCTCTGATGGTTTTTTTTCGACTTTCAGGTTTTTTTTCCAAAAAAGTTGGGGACTCTCAAGGTTGAGAACTTCAGGTTCTACTTCTGACTCAGTTTGTTCTACACTATTCGGTCTTATCAATTTTTCAAAGGGCAGAAAACTGGTCTCAAAGCGATCTTGTTGATTCAGTTTTGTACAAGAAACCAACTAGTTGATAGAAAGAAATGCAAGTCACTTTCCGAAAATAGTCAAAAATTGATACCTTTGCGTACTCCGACCCATTTGTAGAGGTGATTTTTCTCGCGTTCACGATACAAATTCGACCATTTTTCGTCTGGATCGAATGCCAACTTAAATTATGAATCACTTGAAAAGCTCTACGAAGTTCAAATCAAGTAATGAAAATCTTACGCGGACGCCATCCGCCCGTGGTTCGGTCTTATTGCGAGAGCCTGCGCTGCCCATTTTCTTCTGGGCAACTGCGAGTGTCTCTGAAAAATATCTCCATTTTCCCGAGAAAAGTGATGAATCTACAGGAAGCTACAACATAGAAAAGCAATAGTGTTGAGAATTTCAAAAAATAAAACGACTTCTTGAGTTTGTAAAAAAAAATTTTGGCTCAATAGATTTTCTCGATCTGCAAAAGCCTCTAAAATGATATGAAAATTGGAAATCCTTTTTTAAAAAGCCTAGAAATGCGCGTACCTAAGAAATAATCGAACTTTCTTATTTAATGAACGTTTAAGGTGAGGCTCGACATGTAGCGGCTGCCAAGGGCTTGTTTTGAGACGCGCCGGACCAAAAACTACTTGCGCCCGATGGGGTCAGAAGAGATCAGAAAAAGTTGCTAAAATACCGCAATGCTTCCATACTTTCATCAAATAACGTCTTAAGACGAAAAATACAAAAAAAAAAATTAAAGTTCGATCTACAGTACCCTAATCCACAGTTTCCTTCAACTTCCAAAAGTAACACGGTTCCTATGGACATGAAGCCCCATACTCATAATCCGTACAGTAAACTATTAAAAGGTGATCCCGAAGCCTACTGTGGACGGAAGGAAAGGCGAAAAGCCCCGGTCCGAGCTATCAGCCAATCAAATTGTAGTTGGGCCTTGCCGCTGGCCGAATCGATTTCCCTTTCCCTCTCTCAAATATCCAAGAGAACGTCAAGGCGTTTCATTTTCCAGTAGCACCTGGTTTTGTCTCGGCCCAACCGAGATAACATTTTCGTTTCCAGAGGGCAGAGGAAAAAAACTGGGGGATTTGTAGTCTTCGAGGCGTTTTTTTTAGAGGCAGACCTTTGTTAGAAGCTTATCTAGACGGTATCGGAAAAATGTCTAGCTCATTAGAAAATACTGATATTTTTTTCAAAGCTGTGAGAAGCGTTTTTGACTGAGAAATATTCATTTCTTCATTTTCGCGTGAAGATCATTTTAAGACGTTTTCTGCGCCTTTGAAAATCTCAAAAGATTTTGATGAATCGACTATTAAAACAGAGGTTTTCAAGTCTCAAAAATGTTCCATTCTAATTTTTTTAACGATATTGAAAATATGTGAATGTGTAAAAATAAAAAAATACGATTTCAGTAAGATTGAAGATGGTATTCAAAAAAATTATAGAAAAACGTAAAAAAATTAAATATTTTTTTCACGAATTAAAAATTGGCTGAATGAATTGGTGAAATCTGAAACTCTCGTTCTTTAAAAATCGTCAAAATTTTTCAAAAATTATGAGAAGAAGCTTCAAAGGTTTTGGTTTTTTTGAACTTTTTCAGGCTTTTTCTCACAAGAAAGAACGATTTGATTCGAAAATCTATTCCTTTTTTTCGAAAACAAAAAAACGAAAAAAAGGAACGAAAAATCGACGAAAAAAATTTTTTTAATAAAAAGAAATGGGCATGCGTGTCGCGTTTTTTTATTGAATCAAATCTCGGCAGGTTCCATGCGAAGTGGTTTCCAAGACCAACTATTTCGAAATTACTCTTTTTCTAGAAGTTTGACTTCTTATATGGACAATAATCTCAAGAGCAAAGCCAAAAGTATAAAGGAAGGTTTTTGGCTTCAAATAGAGGTTTTCGCTTTTTCAATAGATGATTTTGAAACAATATTTGGAATCAATATAAAAGTATGCATCTGCTATTGTAAACGCTACCAAAAACCACTCCATAGACGGAAATGGTCAATTTTTTTTGTTAAAAAAATAATTTTTTTGGATGAATTCTTTTTTGAGAATTCAGTTCTGTGTAAAAAAAAAACGAAACGTCGAGAAAAATAAAAATAAAAGTCCGGAAAGCTTATATCTGACTTTTCAGCTGGACTTGCTCCTGTGCGAGGAGGTATTAACAAAAAATGGCAATGTTAACTTCAAATATATTTCTGTCTTACCTCAGGTCGTAAGTTGTAAAGAACCACAATAAAAACAGATAAATTACTTTTAGAACTAGATTTATAAGAAAATTGGCATCAAACCGGATCCGAACTGATATATTTCGTTTTGAGTAGCGCTTCATGAAACTCAGGAGAGTATTAACTTATTATTTTGCAGTTTCAACTTCTTCAAACCATTTTTCATATTAAAAACTACACTTACCAGGCATTTTGGAGCTCAAATAATCGAAAAGAATGGAGGTTTGGAGCGAGTAAAGTTGGAAAATGAGCATGACTGGCAAAAATTTTCCCAAAGGCGTGAGAAACTGCGATCACATTCATTACGCACGAAACCTCATGATAACATATTTTGCTCAATTTTTTTTTCTTGTTCAGATCTTTCCGAGTTTTTCAATCAATTCAAGGAAGGGAAAAATAAATAGGGAAAAGCTTTGGTTTGAGAAACGGGAGAAGGAGGCAGCTGAAGGTGATTGCAGGTGGTTGTTATGGGCGCCGGGGACGAAAATTAGAAAGAAAAAAAAATTGGAGAAAATTGGAAATGGCGTTGGTCTTTTGGAGTGGCAAGGAATTCCTGGGGAATTTCAAATGGTTGTGTCGGAAGCAATTCGAGAGGCTTAACGGCCGGCCGCCCCACCGCCGTCCAGCCTGAGAACGGCTCCCGGCTAGCACCTGCCGGTCACCCGCGTTTTCATAATTGCGAATTCGCAACTTTGTCTCCAACTAGTGCTGTTTCTGTAGTTTGTAGGTTTCGAACTTTTCTTAAAAAGGAAGTTTTTCACCTGAAGCTCTGATGAAACTTTGGCTGAGTTGTACTTCTGATTGGCCTTCTGAGCTATAGTCTGTGTGCCAGAGCTTGCAATTTAACGACATTCCGCTGTTCCGTTGCGTGCGTTCGCGAAGCGTTTTTCGAATCTAGATCACGCTTTCGATTGTTTGTTAGCGTTGTGGGAGCACATGAAAGTAGAGTACCTTAATGAAAGTGAAAAAAAAATTAAAAGCGCGACCAAGGTTCGCAAAGGCGCGCAGCGGCACAGCGGAATGTCATTTGGTGGAATTTCAAGTCGTGGTACACAGGCTATATACTCCATTCATCACAGCATTTCGAACTGTCTGCCCTGTCTGCCCTCTCTTTCGTCAGAAAACCGCGAAAATAGCGTTCAAACATGAGAGAAAAGATGGCGCAGAGATATAGTCGATTCCCGGCTAACTTGGGACGCAAAAAGGCGTGGACTGTCTGTGCTCTCCACAAACCAGGCACTGTCTCTTTTCTTATTGTGCCAGGACCCTTTTTCCGATGGCTCAAGCTAGCCGTGAATCAGCTATAGCAGATATTTTCAACTTTTGGCGATGTGCGTAGGACGGTTCCGCAGCTCCAAATGACACTTTCATATTATAAATTTTACAGTTAAAAGTGGCGAAATTTCGAGGTTTTTTTTTGAAATCAAAAGATTCAGAACTTTTGTTCAGCCAATTTTCCTTATTGCATCAACATTTTTGGCGATTTGTCTTTTTTTTCCGATGGGAAACCTCGTTTGGCGTACGGAAAGTCCAAAATTGTAGTTTAGAAGGTTGAGGGCTCGATCTAACCGAAATTCCGTAGTCTATCAGCTCAGGAGCTCGCATTTCAAAAATAAAAATAGAACGACGTTAGAAACCATGATTTTTTGATAGAAGCATCGGAAAAGAGCTGCCAGTTCGATGAAAAAAGTGACACGGTATTTATTATCAATTCTTATTCTTTCATTTAAGATACACAGATATTATTCAAAATACTTTCAAAAAACTCAAAACAAGCAGAAGGCTAGAAAAAACGTGATCAAATATGTATACAGAGACGATTTGAGTTCGGTGCTCGCGACGTAGAAGACGCTGTACTCTTGAAGGTAAGAGATGTTCCTGAAAAATCAAAACAACTTTGAATATTATCATATATCTCCTAATAATGACATACTATGAAAATAAATAATTGTGAGCGCAAGGGCGATCCTTCTAGGGGCAACCTTACAAGGAAGGTAAATTTACTTAGCGGTTGGGATTTTCCTGGTAATTGGCCAGACAATTTTCGAAAATCGGAGGGATGTGATCAAGTTCCAAAAATTCTAATTCAATTCAAGCGAAACCGGTTTAAAATACGTCAAAGGGAGTAGAAAATTTTCATCATCTGACCCAGTTTTATTCAGAATAAAAATTTCATTCTGCAAAAAAAAAACGTGAACCCCGTGGCAAGGCGTCATTTTTCTGATATCGAAAAAATTAACACTTACAAAAAACCACGTGGCAACGTGTCATTTCTTATTTTATGACCTAGGTTCAAATATCATTTCTCCTTTCCACACGACCCCGTCTCGCTTCTTCAACGTCAAGATAAGTTTTGAGCCTTCATAAAAGTTCTAACTGCTAAAATAGTTTATGGAGTTATAAGCGCTAGTAGATTAGGCCCGCGGGACTCCCGGAGTGCCGATCCTTTTTGCTTGCAAATCGGATACGCAAAGTCAAGCTGAAGCCCATTCCAGTGGCCGAAGCAGAAACTGTTGGCAGCGCGATGCTGACAAAGCGATGATGGGACCCCCGCGGAAAATGCCGTCACGGCCTTCGGCGTCTAGGATTAGTTATGACAAGGCCGAGCGGAGCTCTAGCGCACCGCCTAGTTAGTTCTTCTGACTGCATAAAGCTTTTCTATCTTACTTGACGACTTGACATAGCTAATCAGTCAAAACATTGTGATTCGAATAATGCAATCGACTTGCTTTTTTTAATTTTGAAATTATTGCAGGAAGCTTTCTACGAACTTGTTCTGATCAGACCATGGAAATTCGACGGAAACTTGAAGTGCAGTTTGATATCTAAATAATTATTTTTCAATCATTTTCTTTTAGAACGTCTGGATCATACGATCGAAAAATGGGAACGTATTGGAAAAAGAATCTCTCGACTACTACTGGAACGTCAGGTTTCGAAGGTTTCATTTTCGAAAAATCTTATAATGAGGAAAAAGAAGGCTTAGCGTGTACAAATTTCATCGCGATTGCGATAAATAATCGATTATGATTCGAAGCCGCAGACACTTTTGCTGCGGAAAAATAATTTAACTCTACGAGCAGCTCTTTTGATACAACCTTTTTTTATCCTCTTTTCCGGTGGTATGTTACGTATGTAAAAAAGCCAGCGAACTTTTGAACGGCGACTTTTCCGATTTTTTTGTGTATCGCTAGGGAGTTCCGACGGCCACCTTTCCGCCGAATCCCTTTCCGACTTTTTCCCTCATATTTTTCGGTTTATAAAACATCTATTAGCATTTTTTTCATATTTCTTTGTGTTTTAAAAATGAAAAACTCACCTACTTTATATGAGAAGATTTAAAATGAGGTTTTTATCGAGAAAAAGTCGGGAAAAAGTTCGTCGTAAAAGTGGCCGTCGGAAAGTTCTCTAGCGATATGAAAAAATCGGAAAAATCGTCGTTCGAATTTTCGGTAGTCTTTTTTCATACCACCTCTTTTTCCGCATTTGAAAGTCTTTCATCTTTGAAAATTTCAGTTGATCGCGATGAAAATAAATGCGCCTTCCTTGACCGAATTCGCGGCAACTTCTTCAGACGATGCCGGACGGAGTTAGATCAACTACGAGGCCGGCTAAACAATGCCAGGTACCAGTCCAATGCTCTTAAAAGCAGCTGAGGGCTTTTTTTCTGTGTTAAGTTGCAAAGGAGGAAAGAAGTAAAAATAAATTCACAATGGTTGAAATCGCTTCTCGCTGTCCGCTACTTTATCTCCCCCCTTAAGGGGCCACTAAAGCTTGCAAAATGGCCACTCTAGGGGAGCATGCAAGCCGTTTATTGGTATCAACTATATGTGAAAAAGTCTTTCTCGTGCGGAAAAATCGATATATTAACGTTGTCAGAACAAAAAATATCGAAAGAGTATGAATTGGCAAAGCCTGTACTTTTAAATTCCAAATCTGGAAAAAGTTAAAAGTCCCTATAGGGACCACTTGAGATTTACCCCTTAGTGAGCCTTTGAGTCTCCTACAGAGGCTTTTTTTCTCTATCCCTTATATAGTCTGTGTGCCACGACTTGAAATTTCATGCAACGACACTCCGCTGCGTGGCCTAGTGGCCGTGAAAGCGTCTTCCCCTTTGCGAATCTCGGTCGCGTTTTCAAATTTTTTTTAATTTACCATTTTCACTATTTTAATTATATTTTAGTTTGTTTTTCCGTGCCAAACAAAAAAAAAATAATGAAAACATAATTATTATGATGAAAATCTAGAATTAAAGGAAAAATGAAAAAGCGACCGAGTTTCGCAAAGGCGAGATGCTTCGCGAAAGCGCGCACAAGAACCACAAGGACAGCGGAGTGTCGTTCCATGAGATTTCAAGTCGTGGCACATCGATTACACGGGTGATAAAAAAAATACAGTTTGAAAGTTTTTCGAAAATCTAGCAATCAGCTCTGATTAGTGGATGAAATTTGATCTCTCTACGCCTTCAGCGACGCTCTCGTTTTCACATGCTTTTTTCACGTTTCTTTGACCTCGTCGGTAAAAAAAAAGCCGCAGACAGGTCAGACAGGAAGACTAATGCATGCATTGATAAAATTCATAAATAAAGTCTATTTACTTGTAATCGGCGAGTTCCTCAGGCCAGGATTGCTCGGCGGACCTCAGGTCGATGTTGCAAAGACTACTGTCGCAAATCCATTGTTCTAGACCGGTGTAGGAGCGCGTGTAGCCCACCTTAATGAGTGATTTTTCAAGAATAGTCCACTCACAGCCGGCTTGGTTTATATATGAGGTTATTATGGTGCGGTTAGTTATCTTTCTAGTGGTCTTTGTGAAAATAAATTGATTGATTGATTGATTAAAAAAAAGTGAAAAATGTCTCACTCCGAGCTGCTGAGTGGCAGAAGATTGGTCCAAAGAAGCACATCCTCTGTAGACCTCGCCTCGCGATGTCGCCGAAATGAAGCAGAACTGGCCGAAGCACGTTCCGCCGGTCTGGACATAGGGCAAAAGTGGAGAGAAGTAGTCGACGTAGCACTCGACGACTGGCGTCGAAATCTCGAAAGACGCCGTTTCTTCGATACCCTCAAAAAGTTCATTAAGAAATTGTACCAGATAATAAGATTTCGGCTCCGACATTAGACTAGGATACCCAGATTTATTTTTTTCATTTTTACAGTGCTCTCAAAAAAAGCCATGTTTGTCCCCAGCAACCGCTAAATAATTCTTCAAAGAGCTCACATTGGCACCGTAGCAAGCGGTGAGCCTCGGCTGTCCTCCGTACTGCAGAAGGACGCAGGACTCGGGATACAAGTTGAAGACGGTGTGAGTGGAGAACAGATCGAAGTCGTTCTCCATGGAACAGTCGGAGTCGCTCCAATTGAACGTTTCGTTGGAGATGTTGAACTGGAGTTGTGTCGTGAATATACAAAAGTCTCTGAGGGAATCTCACTTCGCTGCCGACAAAGGTGCAGAAGTTGGCGGCACAGGGACGCCGCCATCGGATCGGCGGATTGTTGTCTTGACGGCGAGGTTGGCAGGTCTGCAGGGGAAGCCGTGAAGGCGCCTCCGTCGTCATCGTTTGGTTGTAGTTGCAGTTGGGGGTTCTGATTTGAAACTTCAACGTTTCTTGCAGATAAAGTTATAAAAACTTTACAGAACCATGAAAACTCTGTTTGCGAACCCGTTTTTGACTCCAATTCAATAATTGAAAAAGGCTTAGTCTTTATTCCAGAGGAGGATGTTGAAAAACTTGAAATCGAGGGTTAATATACTATTCAGTAGCATCTATTTTAATACGATTTCAAAAAAAAAATTAGTTGAAAAATTTTGAGAAAAGGTCTATTTTAATTCTATAAATTTTAAAAAACGGCTAAAGAGAAAAAAATTATGAAGGAAAGCTTGAAAGATTCTTAAACGATGGACTCACGCGCAGAAGCACATAGTATTGCCGTATTGATTCGTACGACAGCCTTCAGAAGGCAAAGCTCCGACGATGCAGCCCTAAACCCCGGAATCAGTTCGATTTTGCAATTTCAAACCATTTGAGTCACAGAATCGATCGTGTCCCCGTAGAAGTACTCGGCAGTGAAACAATAATCTCCGGTGCAGTTATCTAACTCGCATCTGATTTATTATAATTGGTTAACTTTAAAAGGTTGAAAACTTAAAAAAACGTTCATCAATTGTTTCAAACCTTCCCAAAGCTTGTAAAGAATGAAAATGTTTTTTCAAATTTCAGAATGTCAAAAAGCTAGTCTACATAGTAGAATCCTCACTGTTGCTCGTAGGAATTCAGGCGGTCACATCTTCTGCAGGTCACCAAACTGTCGACAGAAGCGAACAAATAAGCGAACAGAAGCAACAACATTCCGTCGAATGCCACTGTCGCCGCTCAGGAAACTCTCCCGGACATTTTCATAATCCGTGTGACTCAATCGAATTGTGTGCATTTGTATGCCCAATAATAATAGAACCACATTTCATGGCTCTTTTGTCAGACTCGACTGAACATAGTTTTTTTTTTCTTCTCGAGAATTGACCGTCAGAAAATCAGGAAACCTGAAATTAAGAAAACAACACTATAACAAACACCTACGAAAAGTTAATGCCGTGTTCAAAGTAATTTCCGCGAAATGCAAAATGATCTCTGACTCTCCAAAATTTAGTGATCTTTTCCTTTCTCTAACGGGTATTTTGCATTTCGCGGAAATTACTTTGAACACGGCATAACGAAATTTCAAAAAAATAATTATTATTTTTCCGAATTTTTTTAATTCCCGCGAGGTGGAAAGTCCGGGGCAAAACTGCTCCATTGACTAGGCAAAAATTTTTTTCGATTAAAATTTTGTGCTCATTTTATTTTTTTCTTCGTTTACATTTATACAATTGGAGACGTGTGGCGCATTAGGTTCAATGACTCATTTATGAACATTCAGAAGCCCTTCAAGAAATTCTTGGTTTCAATTCACTACGCAACTAAAAAAAGTTTTAAATCGAAATTAATAATTTTTCTTTTTTTCTGCTCGAGCGGCCTTTCCAATCTTAAAAACTTGTAAAATACTACTTTCAAATATGATTTCGATAAAAAAACTGAGTCATATGATTACTTACTCATTTCTAACCTAGAACCTAATTTGTATGAGAGGGAATTTAATAAAAAAAGTGAGCTTTATATTCAATTTATTAACCAGTATCGGAAAAATTTGTCTCCGCTTCATTGCACTTTCTCTCTAGTGTCAGAAAAAAAGCTTGTCACAGAGTGATTTGTAGTAATCCCGGAGTATCAATCACCTTTCGAGCTTGTCTTCCTGTTGTTTTTTTTTCAATTTCAATTAGATAACTTTGGTTTATATAATTCGCAATTTTTTTTTCTCATTTCGTTTTACAAAGGATCATTGGCGAAACTCTTAAAGAATTTTAGTTTTCAGTGTTGTTTTCGATTCAGCATTCAGAATTCAGCCGTTCTGAAATCGAAACAAAAACTTTGAGCAGACTGTAGGAACTCAAATTCCTTATTTTTTTACTAGTATTTTCATTACTCACACGCATGAATGAAATAGGAACCTATTAGCAATTCATAATTTTGTGCTCAGTTTTTTTAAATTAATTTTACAGATTGACATTAGAAACCTTTTGATATCAAAACTTCTAACCAAACCTACAGTGCAATTATTCAATATTGAGCCGTAGATTCAAAAACGGACTTTTACATGATTGACAGTGGAACTTGTTTCTCTGATCATTTAACAGCTCCTGTAGAAGACACGTCAATTATCTTTTATGTATTCGCGTGTGGAAATATATGTATTTGAGTGCGCGACCCACGGCCACCGTAGGCGAACTGCAAAGGAGAGAGCGCAGCGAGACCCATTCTCGCGCAGGGACGTGAAATGCATGGAAGCAGAGGGTGGCGCCGGACTTCGCTCGCGTGCTCGCCTAATTCAGCATCATGAAGCATCGATTTTAATTTCCGCCATATTCTTCTCATCCTTTCTCTTGCTTACCACACGTTTCGACTAATTGATAATGGCGTAAACATGTCTCTAAACGCAAGAAAATTGCTTCAAAACTGGAGAAATTAACTGTTTCCTAGCAACCAAAGCATCTTCCATTTTTCCATTGAACGTGCTATAGGAAAAGCTCATATTACTTTCAATTTTCCTAAACCCGTTCAATGGAGAAACGAAATACGTCTCGAAATCATATTCGACGTTCAATGGGTTGCTCCAAAAAAGGACGAACTTCAGGTTTGAAGCAAATTTTTTGTGTTTTTGACCAACGAAAACGCTTTTTCATCTTACACTTCGAAACAGATTTTTTTTTTTGAGAAATTAGGATTTTACACCCTGCACGTGTGTTTTCTTTTACACAAAACGCGGGAAAGATGAATTATCACTACTGGAAAAGATTTATAGCTTTCGAGTTTTTTTTTCTCTTTTTGAACCTTCGCAATTATTTGAAACGTAGCGCTTTGTATGTCGGACGATTCATCAAATGTTTTGAGAAAGTCATGTCAGCCACGTATTTGTTTAGAAGGAAAACGTCCCCAAATCGAGCTGTTCTGTTTTTTTCTCAGTTCAAGAACATTACTTTTTTTGCGAGATTTTTGAAGCTATTTTTAATTTGAGAAAAAGTTCATTCTGTAGGTAGTAGCGACAAAAATTTTTTTATAATATTTTTTTCTTATTCGATTTTTTGAGAAAAAGTTCATTCTGTAGGTAGTAGCGACAAAAAAATTTTTTTTATAATATTTTTTTCTTATTCGATGAGGTTATAAAAAGCAAAAAAACTTTTTGCCATGTTTAAAGCGATTCTGCGAAATTCAGAATAGCAGTAAGAGAGTAAAAAAAAATCTAAATTTTGGAGAGTAAGAGATAATTTCAAAAATAAAAATTTCACACGTAGTCACATACTATATTTATACATTCGTGAACCTCTACTTTTCATTCAAAAAGAGCTGAGTTAATTACTTTTTTTCCAGGTAAAAAAACAAAAGCGATGGTCGAGGCTCGTCGAGGAGGTGGTGCACGGCACAAAAAAGCGACTCCGCCCATTTTGTCGCACGATTTCGTGATCCAAAACCATGGAGACATCATGAGCTGCATTCTCATGGTCTTCATCGTCGGCCTCATGTTCCCGGTGCGACTTTTTCACTTTTTTTCCTTTTTAAAAAAATCACGAGAAAAAAACTTTTATTTTTTTCAAAAACTAGTGATTATTCCGGAAAAAAACTCCCCTTTTTTTGGATCTCTGAAATTTAACGTTTCTGATTCGTTTAAGTTTGAAAAATTCCCCATAAATTAAGGGTGAAAAAAATAGTAAAAAGCGCTTTTTGAAAGAAAAAAAGCCCCAATATATTTTCTCTTTTGAAAAAAATTATTCTTGGATCATAAAAAGCCTAAAAAGAATTTTTTTATGATCATTTGTTGCATTTTTCGAACATACGTGGGCTAGCAGCCCATTTAGCACATGCGGGCCCCCTGATCCTTTAAGAAGGGTCGATAAGTTACAGGAAATCGGTTTATTTTATTCATTAAGCCTTTTTGAAGTTTATTGAGTGGTGAAATTATTGACAAAAATCTTATACTAGCGCCAAAACGGTCGAAAAATACTGAGGCGAATCGTATAAATCATGTCCTAAATACTTCAGAATGATAGGTATCGATTCAATTTCTTTTTTTAAAAGTGAATATTACACATATTACATGTTCTCACAAAATTTCAGGCCAATCGGAAGGGTTTGAAAATTAGTCATTTTCCGGCCATTAGAAAAAAATCAACTTTTTATTTTCGCTTTTTACGGCTCAAAATCATTACTCATCTTGAGATAACACCTAATAACGACAAATTACTTAACGTCGTTATTAGGTCTTATCTCAAGATGAGTAATGATTTTGAGCCGAAAAATTGGAAACTTCAAAAAATCACTTTTGAGAGGTCGGAGAAATCATTTTTCTCAAAACTCATCCAACCGGCCTGAAATTCGGCCAGATCGTAGATTCTGATTTATGATTATTTTTTTAACATCGAAATCGGATCGATTCTCGCAAATCGGGATAGGCCGGGGGGCGGGGCCCGCAAGCCACCAATTGATATTTATTCTCACAAGCGCAAAATCTTGTAATTGGACTGAAAAAGCTTCCAAAAGGTTGCAAATTGAGTAATTTGTCGTTATTAGGTGTTATCTCAAGATGAGTAATGATTTTGAGCCGAAAAAAATTGGAAACTTCAAAAAAATCACTTTTTGAGAGGTCGGAGAAATCATTTTTCTCAAAACTCATCCAAACGGCCTGAAATTCGGCCAGATCGTAGATTCTGATTTATGATTATTTTTAACATCGAAATCGGATCGATTCTCGCAAATCGGGATAGGCCGGGGGGGGGGCCCGCAAGCCACCAATTGATATTTATTCTCACAAGCGCAAAAATCTTGTAATTGGACTGAAAAAAAGCTTCCAAAAAGGTTGCAAATTGAGTAATTTGTCGTTATTAGGTGTTATCTCAAGATGAGTAATGATTTTTGAGCCGAAAAAAATTGGAAACTTCAAAAAAATCACTTTTTGAGAGGTCGGAGAAATCATTTTTCTCAAAACTCATCCAACCGGCCTGAAATTCGGCCAGATCGTAGATTCTGATTTATGATTATTTTTAACATCGAAATCGGATCGATTCTCGCAAATCGGGATAGGCCGGGGGCCCTGCAAGCCACCAATTGATATTTATTCTCACAAGCGCAAAAATCTTGTAATTGGACTGAAAAAGCTTCCAAAAAGGTTGCAAATTGAGTAATTTGTCGTTATTAGGTGTTATCTCAAGATGAGTAATGATTTTGAGCCGAAAAAAATTGGAAACTTCAAAAAAATCACTTTTTGAGAGGTCGGAGAAATCATTTTTTTCTCAAAAACTCATCCAACCGGCCTGAAATTCGGCCAGATCGTAGATTCTGATTTATGATTATTTTTTTAACATCGAAATCGGATCGATTCTCGCAAATCGGGATAGGCCGGGGGGCCCGCAAGCCACCAATTGATATTTATTCTCACAAGCGCAAAAATCTTGTAATTGGACTGAAAAAAAGCTTCCAAAAGGTTGCAAATTGAGTAATTTGTCGTTATTAGGTGTTATCTCAAGATGAGTAATGATTTTGAGCCGAAAAAAATTGGAAACTTCAAAAAAATCACTTTTTGAGAGGTCGGAGAAATCATTTTTCTCAAAAACTCATCCAAACGGCCTGAAATTCGGCCAGATCGTAGATTCTGATTTATGATTATTTTTTTAACATCGAAATCGGATCGATTCTCGCAAATCAGGGATAGGCCGGGGGCCCGCAAGCCACCAATTGATATTTATTCTCACAAGCGCAAAAATCTTGTAATTGGACTGAAAAAAAGCTTCCAAAAGGTTGCAAATTGAGTAATTTGTCGTTATTAGGTGTTATCTCAAGATGAGTAATGATTTTTGAGCCGAAAAAAATTGGAAACTTCAAAAAAATCACTTTTGAGAGGTCGGAGAAATCATTTTTTTCTCAAAAACTCATCCAACCGGCCTGAAATTCGGCCAGATCGTAGATTCTGATTTATGATTATTTTTTTAACATCGAAATCGGATCGATTCTCGCAAATCGGGATAGGCCGGGGGCCCGCAAAGCCACCAATTGATATTTATTCTCACAAGCGCAAAAATCTTGTAATTGGACTGAAAAAAAGCTTCCAAAAGGTTGCAAATTGAGTAATTTGTCGTTATTAGGTGTTATCTCAAGATGAGTAATGATTTTGAGCCGAAAAAAATTGGAAACTTCAAAAAAATCACTTTTTGAGAGGTCGGAGAAATCATTTTTTTCTCAAAAACTCATCCAACCGGCCTGAAATTCGGCCAGATCGTAGATTCTGATTTATGATTATTTTTTTAACATCGAAATCGGATCGATTCTCGCAAATCAGGGATAGGCCGGGGGCCCGCAAGCCACCAATTGATATTTATTCTCACAAGCGCAAAATCTTGTAATTGGACTGAAAAAGCTTCCAAAAGGTTGCAAATTGAGTAATTTGTCGTTATTAGGTGTTATCTCAAGATGAGTAATGATTTTGAGCCGAAAAATTGGAAACTTCAAAAAATCACTTTTGAGAGGTCGGAGAAATCATTTTTCTCAAAACTCATCCAACCGGCCTGAAATTCGGCCAGATCGTAGATTCTGATTTATGATTATTTTTTTAACATCGAAATCGGATCGATTCTCGCAAATCAGGGATAGGCCGGGGGCCCGCAAGCCACCAATTGATATTTATTCTCACAAGCGCAAAAATCTTGTAATTGGACTGAAAAAGCTTCCAAAAGGTTGCAAATTGAGTAATTTGTCGTTATTAGGTGTTATCTCAAGATGAGTAATGATTTTGAGCCGAAAAATTGGAAACTTCAAAAAATCACTTTTGAGAGGTCGGAGAAATCATTTTTCTCAAAACTCATCCAACCGGCCTGAAATTCGGCCAGATCGTAGATTCTGATTTATGATTATTTTTAACATCGAAATCGGATCGATTCTCGCAAATCGGGATAGGCCGGGGGCCGCAAGCCACCAATTGATATTTATTCTCACAAGCGCAAAAATCTTGTAATTGGACTGAAAAAAAGCTTCCAAAAAGGTTGCAAATTGAGTAATTTTGTCGTTATTAGGTGTTATCTCAAGATGAGTAATGATTTTGAGCCGAAAAAAATTGGAAACTTCAAAAAAATCACTTTTTGAGAGGTCGGAGAAATCATTTTTTTCTCAAAACTCATCCAACCGGCCTGAAATTCGGCCAGATCGTAGATTCTGATTTATGATTATTTTTTTAACATCGAAATCGGATCGATTCTCGCAAATCGGGATAGGCCGGGGGGGCCCGCAAGCCACCAATTGATATTTATTCTCACAAGCGCAAAAATCTTGTAATTGGACTGAAAAAAAGCTTCCAAAAAGGTTGCAAATTGAGTAATTTGTCGTTATTAGGTGTTATCTCAAGATGAGTAATGATTTTTGAGCCGAAAAAAATTGGAAACTTCAAAAAAATCACTTTTTGAGAGGTCGGAGAAATCATTTTTTTCTCAAAACTCATCCAAACGGCCTGAAATTCGGCCAGATCGTAGATTCTGATTTATGATTATTTTTTTAACATCGAAATCGGATCGATTCTCGCAAATCGGGATAGGCCGGGGGGCCCGCAAGCCACCAATTGATATTTATTCTCACAAGCGCAAAAATCTTGTAATTGGACTGAAAAAAGCTTCCAAAAAGGTTGCAAATTGAGTAATTTGTCGTTATTAGGTGTTATCTCAAGATGAGTAATGATTTTTGAGCCGAAAAAAATTGGAAACTTCAAAAAAATCACTTTTTGAGAGGTCGGAGAAATCATTTTTTTCTCAAAAACTCATCCAACCGGCCTGAAATTCGGCCAGATCGTAGATTCTGATTTATGATTATTTTTTTAACATCGAAATCGGATCGATTCTCGCAAATCGGGATAGGCCGGGGGGCCGCAAGCCACCAATTGATATTTATTCTCACAAGCGCAAAATCTTGTAATTGGACTGAAAAAGCTTCCAAAAGGTTGCAAATTGAGTAATTTGTCGTTATTAGGTGTTATCTCAAGATGAGTAATGATTTTGAGCCGAAAAATTGGAAACTTCAAAAAATCACTTTTGAGAGGTCGGAGAAATCATTTTTCTCAAAACTCATCCAAACGGCCTGAAATTCGGCCAGATCATAGATTCTGATTTATAAGTATTTTCAACTTCAAAATCGGATCGATTTTCGCGAAACGGGATAGGCCGGAGGGCCCGCAAGTCATCAACCGATAATCACTTTGACGGCGCGAGACTTAGCTGAATGTACTACATATGGATCGTAAATCAATGAACATTTGCTAATTAATCCATAACCCAACTTTGAAAAATATTTCACATCAATAGATTTTTCTGGAGGGGTACGCTCTTTTCCAAGGGGGGTACGCTCTTTTTCAAGGGGGGCCCGCTCTGACGTCACGAAAAAATGTGGGTTAGCCCATGTATGTTTTCGAATTCGAAATCTCAAAAAGACTGAGCACATGTCTCTCTCAAATAAACACGCAATCAATCTTCTCACTCTTCATTTTTTTTTCGTTTCTTTTCGAGGAAGTTCATGCTTGTTTTTTTCAAAGTCTGTTGAAAAATCCTGGCTTTTCTCAAGATTAGAACGATGCTGAATCCTTGCATGACCTAGAATATCACTGAAAGCGGCCATTAACTTTTTTTCGTTTATTAGAAATTTGAAAAAAAAAAAGAACAGTGGGAAGTTTCTCATTTTTAGGCAGTTTTCAAAGTAGTTCCGGGAATTTAGAAATATATGCGTTATTCGTTTGGAATGATTTCGGGTGATAGGCGAAATTAAAAATTTCGGAAGTCGTTAGAAAGTTCTTGTTCCAAAATAAAACATCGTCATACCTTCGAACATGAAATTTTCGTTGAAAAGTGACAAATAACCTCAAAATTTTCGGATTTTCGAATTTTTTAAATAATTTTTATCGATTTCAGTTGACTTCTCCTCTCGCCGCCGTCTTCATCGCTCCCCAATACAATGAGACGACCATTATGCCTTCCGAAAACTCGCGTTCGTTTTTTTTGTTATTTAAAAACAGTTTGTCGCTTACTTTATGTTCTGAAAACGGCGGAATGTTATTCAAAAAATTTTCAAAAAGGCTCTAAAATCATGTTCATTTTGCAGAATACGAAGTGACAGGCTATCGAAACGGTATTTTGGACGTTGCCAGCATTATTTTCTACACGATCGCCTGGGTGGTCATCCACGCGATTCTTCAGGAATACGTTCTCGACAAACTTCAGCGTAAGGTTCGGTTTTTCACGAAACTTCTGAATTTTTAGTTCTTATTGTTTTATATTTCACTGGGAAGTTTGAATTTCTAATAATTTTTTCTATTAAAATGGTAGAGAGAAGAATGAAAAATATATTTGTAAGAGATCCAAATTTTTTTAGGGAAAAGTTTATTCCATTTCGAGTCATCTTTTCACAATTTTTTTTCTTCCAAGCTTTGAAACCCTTCCTTTTGATGCTCCTTTAATTAAGACTGAAACTCCATTTATATTAAAGGCGCATGCACAGAGACAGCGCGTGCGCTTCAAATGGAAGTTTTCTGTAGCTTGATGATAAGAAAAAAATCGTGACGAGCTGGCGGTGAATACGTTCTGCTGCAGGGAGTGAGATGTAGCGTTTCATTTTCAAATTCGTTTCAAAAAAGTGAATTATTATGGATTTCGTATTATTTTAGGCTCAAAAGATGATATTTTTATCGGAAAATTTGTGAAAGAGATTTCCTTTTGTTTGGATATGTTCAAGACTTTATAAATTCCGAAATTATGTGAAAATCTACCTGCTTATCGTTTAAATAACCGCCTGAAAAATGTTTCGCTTGAGAGTTCCAAATAAAACGTTCTCCTACCTCCAGGCACACTTGTCGAAGGCCTCCAACTTCAAATTCACTGAATCTGGTCATATGCTCGCTTTTTCGATTTATTCCGTCGCTCATGCTCTTCACATTCTTCAAGAGTACGTCCAGGGATACGGCGATTTTAAGAGGTTTTTTTTTAAAATTTTTTTCAAGAAGCTTCTTAACTTTGAATATTTGTTGAGCTTTTTTTGAAGATTTAAAAAAATTCTTTCTTTTTTTCATTTTTTTCACTCAGGTGTGCTCAAGCTGTGTATTATTTCGTATTTTTGTCAAGAAAAATTAACTTTTTTTTTCCAGAATCTGGATTGGCTATCCCGAAGAACACCGCTGGATGTCCTCTGGCTACAAAATGTTCTTCATTTTCCAGGTTTTTTTTTCTGAAAGTCTTTATTATTGTTTTCTTCTCAGATCTCCTACTGGCTCCACCAGTTTCCCGAGTTTTACTTCCAAAAGCTGAAGAAAGACGAAATCCGCCAGAAGACTTTCATCTCCGTCCTCCACATTCTCTTCATCACTGCCGCTTATTTTATGAAGTAATTTTTTTTATTTTTATGCTTTCGAAAAATTTCAAGAAATATCAAGAGTAAGCTTTCATTCGTGTAGATTTTTTTGGGTGGGTTTTTTTAAAAATATAATTTTCGAAAGTTCATTTTTTTGAAATAAACTAGGTTTATTTTTTTAACTTGAAATCCTTGATTTGTGGTTTTTTTTTTCCAATTTTCGACTTTTTTGAATTTTTTTTTCCCTGTTAATATCAAAGGGATTTTGCGATTTTTCAAAAAACCGTCATAGAGTTCTAAAAATTACCAAATTTCGGAGAATTAGAGTTAACTCAAAACGACATGAAATATCTTTTTTTGACCAAAAAATTTTGAAAAAACCAAATCGTGATTGTACTTATCAGAAGGGTTATACTACTTGAAATTCAAAATTTTGATTTTCGCCATTAATTTTCTATTTATCTTTCCAGTTTCACGCGAATCGGAGTCGCTCTTCTCCTTTTGGAGTACACCTCCCAGGCCGTCTTCCATTTTGCTCGTCTTTCCCACTTTTTGGACAAGAAGACCATCTCCAAGCCAGTGTGAGTTTATCATTTTGTTTAAAGATCTGGAGAAAAAGGCTTGAAAAAAATCAACTTTATCGTGGAATTGATTTCTTAATGTTCTTGATAAGCATGATCAACTTGTTTTCTTTCATTTTCCGTTTCCTCTACATGAACTTTTTTTGCCACGCCAATAGATCACGCAAGAAAAAAAATTAATTAATTTTTGCAGCTTCAAACTGTGGAACGTGGTTTTCGTGTTGGCGCGCATTGGCTCGGCCGTTTTGGCCGTGATGACGTTCTGGTACGGCCTCCGCCAGGTTGAATCGCCCTACGTCGACCCCTCTACCGGAAACTTTAACACCACTTTTGTCAGGTTCGTTCTTTTTTTCATTGAAAAATTGGCGAAATTTGTTTCCGATTATTCTCATGTCTCTATTGAACTTTTCAACGGATCGTTTAGCCAGTTTTTCCTCTGTGTTTTTTTAGGATTTTTCTCTGACTATTTCCTCATCAAATTTACATAGGAACATGAAAAAAATGGAAGTTACGTGAAAAAAGTCATTTTTCATGCGAAAGAAAAAGTATACCAAATTTTTTTCCTAGCTGAAAAATCCTCTTTTTTTCTATAAAAAAACACAAATTTTATGTACCCAAATTTTTTCCAGGCTGAACATCCTCCTTCTGATCCTCCTTCTGCAGCTTTTCCAGCTCTGGTCTTTCGTCACCTTCCATCTGACCAAGTATAAGTAAGAGTGTACCTTTTAAAACAAAGAGAATATGGAAAATTTCCTTAGGGAATCGAACAAGAAGAAGGGCGACAAGAAGCCCGCCGCTCAGCCTATCGCACCGAAGAAAAAGCAAAGAAACGAGGATTCTCAGTCGGTCAGTTTGCGGAAAAAAGGCCACTTTAGTGTTTTGAGTTCCCTTTGGAGCAGACGAAGTAGGGTTTTCCGAAAAAAAAAATAGAGATTTCAGTGGTCATTATAGGGTTGAAGCTTCGAGTGGCTCCTTGAGAGGCTTTGATAATGAGAAAACTTTATAAAAAAAAAATAAAATTTTTACCTTTAAAATTAGAAAATTAGCACACATACAAAGGTAAAGAGAAACCGAATATGTTCTCAATTTTTGAAGGCTTATAATCAAGTCTCAAAAAGTAATCTTCCTTTTGTATGAAGCTCAGAAGGAGGAAAACTCTTCAAAAAACATTTATCACGAAGCTCGGAATCACTTTAATTTTTTCTTGAATTTTTTACATTTTCAAAAAAAAAGGAAATCAGTGAAGTTTCTTAACAGAAAGTTATCTGAAAACGAATTTAGCTCCAAAACTACTCTAGGGACTACTTATAGGTTAAATTAAAACCTCCGAAAGATTGTTTAGTGGTCACTATGGTCGGCTTATAAGTAATCTATACACTTTTTTCTTATTTTTTTCATTTTCAAGTTAACTTGTCTTGATGATTTCGATTTTTTTCAGGAATCTGAGAGTCTCGACCCGAAAACGGCCAAAAAGAAGAACTGAGTCTCCTTTTTCGGCATCTTCTTCTTCTTCTTGGTGAAATAGAGTTTTTTTTTCCAGGGGTAGTCACCTTTATTATTGGTTTCTGAATAATACATGTGCTGTGCATTCTAATAATTTATTTATTTATTCTAATTGAGAGAAGTTTTAATAATTTATTTCCTTTTTTTCTTTCATTGCGCTTGTTCTGTACTTGAGATTCTTTTTTCATGTCTTGAAGATCGCTTGGGTGATATCTTTCTTGTGATATCTTTCCCGAAATCTCCATCTACCCGTTTTTTGTTCAAAATCGGTATCTATTTGTTCATAAAAGTGAGAAAATATCATGGTTTCATGTGGGTTCAATCTTTTGTCTTTTCTTCTTCCTTCTAGGGATTTTTCCTGATTTCTTTCTAGGCTTGCATTTTTCTCTCTATCAATTGTGATCTGTTTCTGGATATCGCTTTCCTTCCTCCTTCGTTGTGTTCAAAACGTTCCACGCTACTTCACTAAAGAGAAAACCGCTATGGATAGATTCTCACAATAAAGTATTGCACTGTTTACTAGTGTTTTTCGGGAGGAAAAAAGCAGCTGCGATCATCTTTTTTATACTTATTCATTTGATAACTTTTCGATTTTTTTCTAGTTTAAAAAAAAGGACGAAAAATTTGATCCGCAAAAACACGTGGCCGTGAAAATTTCGTCCAGGGAGCCACCAAAATTAGAAGTCCACGGCTTTTTTTGTTAGTGGAAGGAAATGCGAAATCGAAAATGAAGGGAGGCGGAGCCGGAACTCCGCCGAACTCCGTTCCATGCGACGTGGGAAACAAGCTTAAAACGGAATATTAAAGGCACATGTTCAATGGGTCATGAGACATTTTCTCATTTGAGAAAAACTCAATTTTTCTGTTGCCATGTTCAAAGTGATTCCGCAAAGTTCAAATCAGTCGCCAGAAACTGGAAAACATAACTGAATTACGGATATTCAGAGATGATTTCGAATTTCGCGAAGATTACATGACAAAACATGTGCGAGAGCGCCGCAGTGCATGCACGCTACACACTACACTTTACGGAAAAAAAAATATGGGCGGGGCGTCGTCAAAAAAAGCCGTGAGCCTTCATGGCGTGTTCATCGGACACAACGAAAATGTTTTCGAAACGCATACAAGTTGCTCCAAAACAAAAATTAGTCCTGTTTTGAACACGATTTTTCGTTTTGAAGCATGTTCCGTTTCTCCGATGAAAACGCCCTGAAGGCTTTTAATTTTAGTGACTCCCAGGCTATGTGGACGAAATTGTCGCGGCTGCGTATTTTTTCGGATTATATATTTCGTCCTTCCATCGTCATTCTTTTTCCGAAACGAAATATGTCGGCCTGGGACCGTCGCACGCGGCTCGCCACGTGCACCGTCAACAACTGGGCTCTCGATTTCAAGGGAAACTACGAGCGAATCGTCAAAAGTATGTAGGAACAAAGTGAAAAGGGAAACTTATCAGAATCAAAAATGATTTGACCCGAGAAGAGCTATCGAGATTTTCAATAAGTGTAAGATTTTATGCCCTGTTCAATGTGATTCCGCGAAATACAAAATAGAGAAAGAGAAATATAACTAAATTTTGGAGAATCTGAGACAATTTTGCATTTCGCGGAAGTTACTTTGAACACGGCATTAAATATTTGAAAAAGTGTAAAGGGAAGAAAAAGTTAAAAAATAGTCAATAAAAACTGATAAAAGGGCAAAGATGTGGCGTTATTGAACCTAAGTCCACTTTTATTTTTTGAAAAGTTAAAATTTTAAAGGTATTTGTTCTGATAACAAAGACCTTTTGACTTAGCGCTCAGAATCAAAACTATAACTATTTTGACCTGATAAAGATAGTGAGGGTTTCAACTTCAAAATTAGCTCACTTTTGAGAAAAGACGCCTCAAAAAAGAGTGGAAAACGGGTCGGAAAAAAGCTGCATAATGGAACTTTTTTTTTTAATTTAGGGCAAAACTGCCGTCCGACGTTGCCAGTTAATAACGGCTATTACGAATTTTTATCTGATTTTTTTTTACTAATAATGTTGATTTTTCTACTTCGAGTTTTTCTAAAACTTGGGCGGTTAGCTCTAGGTTGTAAAGCGGATGAAAGTTTTTCTTGAAGACTTTTTAATGTGGCTCATTTACCACGAAAAAAAGCTGGAATGAAGATTACATTCTCCCTTATCTTGCCGTTGCAGCTTGCGAAGAATCCTATGCAGCGGGAGCGCGACTTCGTGTCGGCCCCGAGCTCGAAATCTGTGGCTATGGATGTGCTGATCATTTCTTCGAACTCGACACTGAACGGCATTCCTGGGAGATTCTCAGCAAACTTTGCGAGAAGAGCAAGGAGGTGAGATATGGAGGGTTATCAAAGTTCGGTGTAAACGCCATTTTTTTTTTTGAAAAGCACTACCAAATTTGGACGAAATCCCCTCGAAAGAAAATTATTAAGAAGTTTCCGCTTTTTAGTTTGTTAAAATTATGACATTTTCCAATCAAATCCAAGATTTATTACGATTTTTTTTTGATAACCGACAAGAAATTTTCAATTTTTTCAGCAAAATGTTGATCAAAATACGTGAAAATATCTTCAAAACGTTATATTTTTTTGTTTTTTTTAATGGATCTGTGTGCCTTTCGAATTTTTTTCTTTCTGTTTTTAAAAACAGTAAAAAAAGGAAAAAAAGTGGTAAAATCGAATTTCATGTTTATAAAAAAATTGCCGAAAAAGTGGCGAATTAATTTTTTGAAAGTTGTCGGAAAAGCCAGCATACGATGAGAAATAGTGTAATTTTTAAAAAAACATGATTTTTTTCTGTGCATACCAGGGCACTGCGAGAATCGATTGCCGAGAATGGGATTTTTACCTTTTTTTGCTGCGATTTTACGATCGAAAAAACATGAAACCGTCTTGATATTATCAAAAATATAAACGAAAATTAATCGCGAAAAAAAGACGGAAGGATTCAGTGGCCGAACATGTTGATAATGACTGGAATGCCTGTACGACATCGCTGTTTGCTGTACAACTGCATGGTCGCTCTTCAAAATGGGTTGGGTATATCTTTTTTGATCTAAGAAGATCTTTTCATAGAGTTAGATTTTAGTAAAAAAAATAAAAAGCCGGCTTTGCCGTAAAAGTCCTTAGAAAAAGCGCCAAGAGGTCTTCTGGTCTACTGTGGCATTTCTTGGCTGCCTTCTCAATCTTCAACTTTTTGAAAAAAATAATAAAAAAATTTTTGGAAGACTCTTGAAAAAAACGACAAAAAAATTGAGTAGAAAAAAACGTGATTTTTGCAAAGGAACTCGAATCAGCAGCCTTTTTTTGAACAAGTTGTTTGATTTTTAAGTAATTGAGCAAAAATATCAGTTTCGTTAGTTTGATACAGAACTTCTTGCAAGAAAAAAACACTATTTTTTTACAAAAATTTTTATTTTAAAGGTTTATCAATCGGAAAAACTTGGATTCATCCCACTTCCATGCTATTTTCGAAAAAATAGTATTTATGGCATTTTTCAGGAAGCTTTTATTGATCCGAGCCAAAATGGCCCTTGCCGACGACGACGTCTACCGCGAATCTCGTTGGTTTGTCCGCTGGGCCCACCCTTTCAAGACCATCGATATGCCGATTAATCAAGGATTTTATTTCGATCAGGTTCTTCGAAGAAGAAGAAAAAATCGAGTTCGATCCTAGTTGGTCAAAAATCGGAAATGAATTCAGTCAATTTTCAAGGAGAGAATTCTGAAAAAGTTTTTTTTTTTATGTATTTCATCCAAAATGTTCTTTATCCTACCTTTCATGGAACTTTTTCATGAGAGCAATTACTGATATTTTTTCTTCAAGTTCATTTTTCGATTAATATCCATCTCAACTTAGCGCTCAAAACTTTTTTTAGAGTTTCAAAAAAAACCTTTTTCTCAATTAAGGACACAGTCCCCTTCGGAGACGCATTCCTTCAATCCAAAGATGGAATTCGCATCGGAATGGAGATTTGCGAAGAGCTCTGGTCGGCAAAATCGTAAAAACGCTTTCAAGAAAAATCTTGATCCACAATCTTCAGAACGAATATCGCCCTTGCCCAACAGGGCGTGGATATTATCTGCAACGGAAGCGGAAGTCATCACATTTTGGGAAAATCCAACATACGCATCAATCAGCTCATTCTTGGATCCAATGGCAAGGTCTCGTCTGGAAAAATCACGGACTTTTGGAAATTTTAGGCCTCTTTTTAAAACGATTCTTAGGAGTTCTTAAAGAAAATTGGGATTCCAGGGAATTTTTGAGGTAGAACTTGTGAAATCTGAATTTTTTTTTGTGAAATCTTGGAGTTTAGAAAGGTTTATAATCGCTTTTCTGAATAGCAAAATCATTTATGAAACAAACCGGAAGCCTCAAAAATTGTGTATTTTTGCGAAAAATAACTCATTTTTTTCCAGCTTTTTTGTAGGTGTGTTCGATTTAGTAACTGAAAAAAAATCTGATGAGTAAAATTTAAATAGAGTGGAGTCAAAAAAACAATAATTTAGTAGCGCACGGGCTTGAAAAATTGACTGCTCAGAGGGTAATTGTTTTAAAAATAACTGGATAATTTTTTAGAAAAAGTATTCTGTTTAGATTTTAAATGTCATTCTGAATGACGTCATCCAAAAACACTCTGTGGATGGCTCGCTCTCTGATTGGTTTATCGCGGAATTAGGGGCGGAGCTTGAGCGATGACTTGACATTTAAAATCTGAACAGACTCACCTAGGCAACAATTTAATTTTAATTTTCGGGATTTTTTTAATTAATTTCGTGAAATTATGAGTTTTTTCAATGAAAAAAAAATGAACTGGAAGTAAAGATCGGCGGCGTGTACGTCTACGCGAACCACCGCGGCTGCGACGGCGACCGCGTCTACTACGACGGCTGCTCCTCGATCGCCCACAACGGCATGCTCCTCGCCCAGGCCAACCAGTTCGACATCGAAGACACGGTAACTAGCTTCAAAGCTGCCCCCGACCCGAACCGACTTGCAGTGCGTCGTCACCGCCCTCGTCGACGTCAGCGAGAACGTTCCATTCCGTCAGAAGAAGTGCAGCACCAGCGTCTTTGTCAGTTTTTGGTATTCTGTCAAGTTCTTCGACCTATCAATCGAGCAGTTGCTAGAAATAGAAAAATAAAGTTAACAAAGAGTTTGCGAGGAGCGAGAGATCAGGGAAAACTGAAGAGACGCCATAGAAACAAGAGGTTTCTCCATCTCTGCTGTCTCTTCAGGCTGCCCCTTCTCTCTTTTTTGGCGAAGTAGTTGCGAAATTTTTTCTCAACCTTTCAATACCGTATTTAGAATCGAAAAACGGGAATTTTGGACCTTTCGGAAGATTTTTCTAGAGGTCTAGGGTGTATAGGTTATTCAAGCGCCTCCTGTTTTTTGTCTTGATTGCAGGTCTTGAAAGGAAGGGCTGAATAATCTATGTATACGCTAGTTTTTCCAATTTCAATGAAAAAGCAGAACTAATTTGCGCAAAGTTCATCTTACAAAATGACGAAGAGACTTTCCAGGCCTCTGCTGTAGTACCAGTTGATCCGATCGAATTCGACGGATGGATGACTGGTGACGTCGCTCCGGCCACCGAGCCCTGTACAGAGCCTATTGAAGGTATTATTGAAAACGGATAATCGTATCGATCGACGCGATTTAGAGCAATAAGGTTTGGGCCTGTTTTAAGTTCAAAGGGTCGCAATTTCGATCTTTGGCGCGACTCAACCAAGAGTTTTGAGGAACTTTGGTTGTGGAAAACCAGGGTTTCATGTCACACACAGGGATGGATATTTCAGTAAAGCTAGTTCCTCTGGATAGGAGTGTTTTGAGCACGAAAAAATGGAATAGTGTCGATTTCCGACGTGGAGAAGTCTTAAATCTAAAATATTGAAGGTTTATATTGGCTGTCTAGTCTTTTAAAAATAAAGTGTTTAATCTCGTGACCGTAGCTTTGTTCTGTATAGTTTCAAAACATCAGAAAGGACTTCCCTAATCTTTTTTTTTTCGAAATCGAGAAGCTCCAACTCTCAAAGACTGAAGAACTCTGCCAAGGTCCTCCAGCCTACCTTTGGACTTACTTGAGACGCAGTGGCATGGTTTGCTTAGATCGACCTTATGAGAAAAGTCGCACTTTTTTCCAGTCCGGATACTTCATCCCACTCTCCGGTGGCCAGGACTCTTCTGCCGTCGCCGCCATGGTCCGACTGATGTGCAACAAAGTCTGCGCTTCCGTCAAGAAACGAAGGGAAACCGATGGTGTGAAAATCTTGTCTTCCATTGGGAACTTTGCTCTGTTTGAGGGGGAGACGATCCGGCTTACTATTTGAACGGGAAGCGAGTTGGAGAAGATCCAGCCGAGCTTTGCAAGCAGGTCAGCGCCGATGTTATCTTGCTTTTTCAAAGAACTTATTGGGATATATTGAAAAAATATTTTGTCACCTCACTTGAACTGTCTTGATTAAGGTTCTATACACTTGCTACATGGCCAGCGAACATTCTTCGTCCACAACTCGGAAATGTGCTGAAGGACTCGCCAAGAACATCAACAGCTGCCATAGCAGGTTCGAAATCCGAAAAAATGTAGCGTCTTCAGATTCAGGCTCAAAAAAAAGAACAAAAAATAACGTTTTAAGTGTTTATATATTGGGATTGTTCAATTTAAAGTTTGTTATAGTTATCTTCTGGAATTTCCCTCCAGGCTTGTGTGTGCAAAATTTCGTTCAAGTCAAATATCAGACTTTTTTCGCTACAAAAATCTTCCTTTGATTATTTTTTCACTAAAATTCCAACGGAAACTATGATTCAACTGGTTGGGAGGATTTTTAGGAAAAAATTTTGAGTTAGGATGAAACATTTTTCATGGAGTTTGGGAACCTTTCCTGAATTAATACGTTTCAGCTAAGAATTAAATCCTTCAATCTCGTCAGAAAAATGTTGCAGTGTCCAAGGAAATTGGGATCTTTATTTGATAATTGTTGACTGATTCAAAAACAAAGAAAAAAGAGGATAGCTTCTTATTTTTTCAACAAGTTCAAAATATGTTCTTGCTAAAACCAAAGTAACAAAAGCTTCAGGCAAAGTTTTCAGAAAATGTTTGGAAAGTAATAAGGTTTTCAAAGTTTTGGTAAACTTCTAAAATTCGATGTTCAAGGGACTTCAAACGATGTTCTATGGGGATAATCGATCGATTCAAGACCGAAAAAAACGTTGAATATTACCGGGGAAAGTTTGAGTAATTATAAAAAACAATTGAAATAGTGAAAAATTGAAAATAGAAAAAAGTTTGAAGCGCGACCGAGATTCCGCAAAGGCAAAAAAACGCTTTCACGGCCACAAGGCCACGCAGCGGAGTGTCGTCCCATGAAATTTCAAGTGTGGCACACAGAGATCCGAATTTTCTCGAACAACGCAATATTTTTTCAACGAAATTAAGTTTTAATTATTAGCTGGAACGTATTCAATTAGGGAGTTTTTCCCCATAATTTCTGAAACAATGACATTTCTTTTTGAAATCATCACACTTTCACGGGCTTTTTGCAGCATTCTCATCGACACGATAGTTTCGGCGGTTCTCGGCGTCTTCAACACGGCCTACGGCTTCATTCCCACATTCACAGTCAGAATCGTGATCTTCTGATGGGCGATATCGGAATGAGTTTAGAATAGTGACCCGCGAAACGGAATGGCTCTCCAGAATGTGCAGGCGCGAATTCGAATGGTCCTCGCCTACCTGATGGCTCAGCTTTCCTTAGTCTCTAGTGGCCGTCCAGGAGCCCTTCTCGTTCTTGGAACCGCCAACGTCGATGAAAAGTATCCATTTTTGGTTTTTTAAACCTTACTCTACTATTTTTTGCCCTTAATTTTGTTTATCATGATCTGCGTGTCGAGATATACTTTGAAACGCTGTCCAAGCGCCTTTAAAAGTTAAATAACTTCATATTTTCAAAAAATGTCTCCGTAACACTCATTTGAAAAATTTTTGTGCTTCAAACGGTAATTAGTCGAAATCTCTTCATATTTTCCAAGAAACTAATCTTTTTTTCTAATTTGAAATAGAAAAAGCTCTTGCGGCGGAAAAACGGACTCGTCACTTCTTTTAAGTGGTCACTAGAAAGGTCTGAGGCCACTTGAATGGACTTATTTTCTGATAACTTGAAAAGGCCGACTATACCGTTTTTCCTTCTCAGACAGAGAGTTTTCAAACCGCAACGCGACCGCGACGCGCTGTGTTTTCCGAGGTGCCACCACAGTGTTTTTTTAAATTATTTTGAATGAAGTATGAACCAAATTTTAAGGGGTTTATGAATAGATTGTCGAAGGATAATCTGGAACAAATTTAAACCAAGTTTAAAGGCGCATGATTAGATAGTCAAAAGATATCCCGACACGACAGAAACTTCTTTTTCAAGCCAGCTTTGAATATACTAAATTCTCAGCCTCGTCGGCTACTTGACCAAGTACGATTGCTCCTCTGCCGACCTTAATCCCATCGGTTCGGTCAGTAAGACCGACCTTCGGAAGTTTTTGCAACTGGCGCATGATGAATACGGCATGAGTGCTCTCGAATCGTGAGATTGATAAAAACTTCGAGCCTTAACTAAGAACTTCTAAAGGGTCATCTCTTCGATACCGACTGCTGAGCTGAGACCCATGGAGAATGGAGAAGTCACCCAGACGGACGAGGTTTTTTCACCACATAAAATGGAAACATTTTGAGCTCCAGAATGAGATTGGCCTGACTTATGACGAACTCTCGACGATGGGCCAACTCAGAAGACCTTCCGGCTTGGGTCCGTACGCCATGTTCCTGAGATTGTTGCAACTTTGGTCCGATAAGTACACTCCAAGCCAGGTTCTTTTTCACACTGTATGAATGGAAAGGATTTAGGGTGCGTAAAAAAATAAGATTTGGATAGGAAAAATTTCTTTTTGCCATTGAATAAGTCCGCTTGAGAGTGAAAAAAAGCTGGATTCGACTCAAAATTGCCAAATTTTGAATCAAAAAAATATAAAAAAATCATCTATTGTCACTTTTTTTAGCCGATATTTCACGCTTCTATCAAGATTAGAAGCTTTAAAGACAGTGAACAGAAAAAAAGAAATAATGGAAATCAAAATGAATGATCGAGAAAAGGCAAAAAAATAATAATAAATTTTTGGATAAAACATTTTTTTGGAAAACGATTTTTCCGTTCAATGCTCACACCACATTTTTTTGCGCGACTTTAAAAATTTTTATCATTAGGTTGATTTTCTTTTTGAAAAAAAGATCGGAAATTAGTAATTCGACGACCTTAAATGTTCAAAAATAAAACAAAACTTTCGCTTTTTTTCAGGTAGAGGAAAAAGGTTCAGAAGTTCTTCTACCGCTACCGAGTTAATCGCCACAAAGCTACTGTTTCAACTCCTGGTTTCCTCAAATTCCCCTTCTCTCTGTGAAGATCCGAATTTCCAGCAATTCACCTCGAAAAGTACAGTCCCGATGATCATC